TCCCAGAGAATGGTCTGTGATCGCAAATCGATAAAGAATCAAGCCAGCTTGACTTGCTTGTTGACATCTCTGCTCTCTAGAAATAATTCACAAACAAGGCTGTTGATACGGCAAAGGTGAGGTTGAATCAAGTAACGGTCGTTGCAACGAGTTGAAGTAGATGGTTATGATTGATTAGAGGAGGTGGGCTGCAGCTCGCGTACGAACTGAATCCCACCCCACGGCACGGGCCACGCACGTAGTCACGTGCTCGCCACGTACGTACGGTGGCTCGAAACTAAGAGCAACCAACAAAGGCTTTTGTCAAAGCCTCGTAATCAGAATGGCACAAAATGAGTCGCGCGATCGTATACAGTTGGGTCGTTCTGACCGTCTGCAAATATTTTCACAGTGGGACTGGAATCTTTGAGTATCCGATTCATCAAAAGCATTAAAACAGAAATAGCTTTGACCAGGACAAGTTACCCAGGACCACGACGGTGTTATCTTCTTCAATGTAGCCTGGGCATCAGCCTCAATTGTCCCGGTACACCGATCCCATAGTAATAAAATTTCCAGATACGGCTTCCATGATCCAAAAAGGTAGTCATCTTTCTTGAAGTCGTCAGGGAAAACTTCAATGAACTTATTGGCCACACCCTGTATTGCAGCCAATCGGTCTGTCCACCTGGAGAGACATTTTCCAGAGTAATTATACACGATTGCGGTCCAAATTTGTAACCTCATGAGCGGATGTCAACTCTTGTCGAGCCTTTGTGTGCGGATCAATTGACCTGAAGTATTTATGTGGATACGTACGTCTTATTCCCATTCTCTCCAGGGTGGAGTTTCTCGCGGCCTGAATCGGCATTCACACCGACTGTGCATGGTCCATTACCATGCTTATTCAGATGGCGTAGCATATAACGTCTATCACTGTTGGTCGAAAAACACCCTATGCCGAAACGAAACGAGCTTCCAAAAGTGATTGTTCTTTGTAGCATAATTGTATAGGGTTATAGTCTACTTGTTGGTTGGCTTTGCACTAAGTGCGTAAAGGGAAATAACGATAACTAGGAATGCATTCTGTTCGGTGGTTGTGATTATTGATTGTCTACGAACATAGCTGCTACGAAGGTATACCTAAGCTCTGCGCAAGGTGGGCCGAAGTCGGGCCGAAGTGTCAAGCAGCCGACGTCTCTACCGATACTCACGATCCGACACTACTAAAATATCTTCTGTAGCTGCTCTTCTCTCTAGAGCCTATCTGGAAAGCGAAAATCACGAGAGCTGTTGATACGGCTAAGGTATCGGAATCACCTTCGTTGCAACGAGTTGAAATGATTGTGATTGTTCTTGTTGTTCTATGGAGGTGGAGGGAGGTCGGCAGTAAGGCAGCAGCTAGAGCTCGGACCACACGGCTTAGTAAGCCGTGTAATCCAAGCTCGTGCATGCAGCAACCAGCTGCCTTATCTACCGCAGGTTCGATTCCCAACAAGAGCTTTTAGTGTTATTAATCATTCTGCTTGCAGTCTCTGAAGCTGTTCCTGCTTTTAACCCCTGCTCTACTGTCGCCACCGATGCTTCGCAACTTTTCGGAGGGTCTAGGCGATAGACTACTTGCGCAAGAAGATACCTTAAGCTTATAGTGGTATCCGACACACGCAAACATGTGCTCTAAGATTATCCGTAAAAGATGATGCATAAGCTCTCTTAGCATGTGTTTAAGCGAGCTTCAGTAAAGAAAGCAGGTAGAATTACTTATCTGTATTGTACGTACCCGGTATGCTACTTAAGTTATTTAAATAGAATACCGAGAGAACGTTAACTTGGGCCTTAAAACTAGACAATCTTGCTTACGTTGACGTATATCTGCATTAAACAGTATACTGACCATCTATTTATAGCCTCAAATTGAATCCGCGTAAGTTACATTGCCACACACTCTTCCCTGCGCGTTGACACCGGCGCCCTTGTCAAGCAGCAGCTTCACAATCGCCTCGTGGCCTCCTGCTGAAGCCGCCTGGAGTGCGTTACCGTACTCTCCACCCTGCGCGTTGACATCGGCGCCCTTGTTAAGCAGCAGCTTCACAATCGCCTCGTGGCCTCCTGCTGAAGCCGCCTGGAGTGCGTTGCCGTAGCCTCCACCCTGCGCGTTGACGTCGGCGCCCTTGTTAAGCAGCAGCTTCACAATCGCCTCGTGGCCTCCTGCTGAAGCCGCCTGGAGTGCGTTGCCGTAGCCTCCACCCTGCGCGTTGACGTCGGCGCCCTTGTTAAGCAGCAGCTTCACAATCGCCTCGTGGCCTCCTGCTGAAGCCGCCTGGAGTGCGTTGCCGTAGCCTCCACCCTGCGCGTTGACGTCGGCGCCCTTGTCAAGCAGCAGCTTCACAATCGCCTCGTGGCCTCGTGCTGAAGCCGCCTGGAGTGCGTTACCGTACTCTCCACCCTGCGCGTTGACGTCGGCGCCCTTCTCAAGCAGCAGCTCTGTCGTCCCATAATGTCCGTTGTCTGCTGCGAGATATAATAGAGCTTGGTCGTAGCTATCCTTCCGTTCTAATACAAGTTTTTTCTCTTGCCCTTGACTTGAGAGTAACTTTTCTAGTGTGCTTGATATACCGAATCGTGCTGCAAGATGTAATCCTGTGCTGTTCTTAGGATATTTTTGGCTATAACCGCGGTACTTATATCTCGGAGCTAAGAGCACCTGCGTAGCGCTCGAAACTAAGCAGCTATTAGAAAGGAACAAATAGACTAGCGCGCACGCATCGCTCTCCACCTTCACAATATGCTCTCCCCAATGATTGGCAGCATAGTCTAAGAACTTGCTCTCTTTAAGCCTTTTATCAAACTCTTTGTCAAAGGAGCAGCTACCCGTTTTGAAAACATCGAACGATAGGTAAGTGAGGCATGTTAAGGTAATGTGCAGCGGGGCACTAGGGTCCCACGTGTCTCTGATGCGCTCAAAATACTCTTGCGTAGTGTAGTGCACAAGACGGATAACAGCGCTTTCGCGATCGACAACGACAAGGCCAGCACACACAGATAGTAGGTCCTCGACATCAGGTAGGTTGTCGGGATCGAGCTCCGGTTCCTCTAGCTCCACCGCTAGGGCGCAGCACAGCTCGGCCGTAGTAAGTGGTCTCCTTGCGTACGTAATCCACAACAGGACTTTCTTGGCTAGTTCGTAGTGTCCATCTAACTGGCTCTTAATTCGCTGCAAAGCGTCTTCGTATGCATCATTAAGCGCGGCTGAGCCTTTTAAGAGATTGTCTAGCGTCGTCCTAACCTTCTTCGCCGTTGTCTTGTCTGACAGAGAATCGATGTGTAAGCGAGCAAGAAGAAACCTAAAAACTCGTGAGTCTGTATCACGTTACAGACCTAACAAATGACTTACATGCCGTCTACTTTCTCCGCGATTTTCTCTTCCACCATTTGCTGCAGCGCAGGGTCTCGCTGAATGCATTTAGGTAGTCGGTACATCTGGCCGGCTATAAATCGCCTCACGTCTTCATTGCTAGCTCGGACTTCGAGCCTGTGCGCTTGTTTAAATTCAGTTTCGACTTGGGGTATAAACCGCGAGGTGGTCACAAGGCGAACATCTTGTCCTGCCTGCAAGTCTCGGAGTCTGGCTAGAAACAGGCGGCGAGTGCCGTCGCTGTCTCGACACTCATCCAGAGCATCAATCGCAATATAGACAGTGGGGTGCATTGCAACTACCTCTCGGAGGGCGCCAAAGATCTCCTCAAGCGATGGCTTCGTGCCTCGATCGGCATGCTGCTTGTATAGTCGTTCTACAGGCTCTGCCGTCGATGGTCGACCCTGCACTAGCTGCTTAACGATAGCTGCCAGCATACTAGAGGCATCCTGCTCTTCCTTTGCTTTGTAGTTGCAGTACACATACGCAACTCCCAACGAGCTGCTCTGCGCAGACTTTAGGAGGTGGTCGATCGCGATCGCTGCCACCATTGTCTTGCCGGCGCCGGGAATCCCCGGGCAGAAGAGCGTGCCCTTCGGCTCACCAAGCCACTTCGCGAACTCGGGCGCATCGAGAAACCACTGGCCCGTTCCCTTCTGTCTGCGACCTATGATGTCCGATTGTTGCGCGGGGTAGTCGGTAGGCGAAACCCATCCCACCATCTTCCTGTGCCTTGCATTGGTTTCATCTTGCTAGATCTCGTCTACTCGAGACTGTATTGCGGGCACGTGTGTTCGAACGAAGCCGGTATCGTCCTTAATAGCCTGAGAGAGTTTGCTTCTTTATGTGAGCGGCCTTGCTCTGCGGTCTTAGTTACTATTGAGGCTTACAAATTGTCTATCTGCAACGCGATCCCCACGAGCGTCTTTAAACGCTCGATTCCGGCCAATATGCTAGCGATTTCTTCCTTCTTGAACTTCCACATCAGCGCTTTGCCTGCCTGCTGTAATCTACCTCCATCGGTCATCTTAGTCTGTAGTACCTCCAGCGCCTGCTTATACTGGTCGAGCGGTCCATTCTCGACTCCAAGGGCTCGGATGGCGGTGTGCCACGGTGCGTCCACGCTTCCCTCCTCGAGACGGAACCTTAAGTTGGTAAGGAGGCTGTGTGCGTTTGAGGCCTCAACGGCGCACCTTGCACGATCTTTGGAAGCATCGTTGACGTCGTTTAGGTACCCAAGGACCTTACCCGAGAGCTGGAGAACTGCAATGATGCTAGCTGTGACGCTGAGGGGATCCATACCCAGACAAAATCGGCGGACGAAGCAAGTACGGATGGAAGAGCTACTGGAGAAGAGAGCGGCATCGTGTAGGCAGCCAAGTTGCAAGCGCCTAGGCTGAGGGATGCCGTAGCAAGGCTGAACAGCTGCATACGATGTGCGTTGTGCTGCGCCGCATCAGGTGCAGCCGTGCAGCAGGTTGACCATCAACCAGAGGGCTCTTTCGTTTCGTGTTGAAGGGCGCAAAATGATGCATTCCTATGAAGCGAGTGTTATATTGCGTCGCATGAGCGCGGCAGGCCTCGACCGGCGATCCCTTGTGGCAAGTGTTTCTTGGGTTGCTCTCGTCACGTGTGTTCGAGGCAAACTACAGATCCTGCAGCGTTGCATGAGTTCAGTTAATAACTTATGTTCCAATTAATCGCTTGCTGACTTTACTGACTTGTGCGTGCTTTGATCAAGAAGATACACCTAAGCTTTTTTAGAGTCGTCTATGAAAGGTTACATAATGGCTATTTTTAGCGACTTTGTTGCCAAGAGTCGTGCCAGGTGTCGTACCAGCTGCCACTCCTACCACATACCCGTCACACAACCACACCCACACAGTAGACATGGATCGAGCCAGCCAGGTGCTGGCGCAACCCATCCCTCCAAATGTGCCCAGAACATATGCTGTCCTATCAGAACGGGGCAATGTGCCTATCTCAACACTCTGCCATCGCAAGCACTGACGACGCTCGAAAGAGAAACTGGCAGAGAGCCGGCAATACCTCACCCCTAAAGAAGAAAAAGCCCTCGTAAAGTTTATATTACTGGTGTCTAGTCTTAGGCACCCTGTGCGAATCAAATTCATGCGCTCGCTAGCGTTCCGAATCGCTCTCCGTCGATCCACGAACAGGCCCCTCAAGCCCCCGGGCCCTAATTGGCCCCGCGCGTTCGAAAAACGCCATGCAGAATTAAGAGCGAGACGAGTGAAGGCTATGGATTGGAAGCGACGTAATAGTCACATATACGATAAGGTCACGGAGTGGTTTAAAGTGATTAGCAAAGTACTTGAAGACCCAAACATCTTGCCTACCAATGTCTATAACATGGATGAGACTGGAGTCATGCTTAGTATGCTTGGATCCGTCAAAGTTCTTGTAGGTAAGGACGATATTCGAGACTATAGGGGCGCTAGTGCCAAGCGCCAAATGGTGTCTTCTATCGAATGTGTCAGTGCCGACGGTAGGCCGCTGCTACCGCTCGTTATCTAGCCAGCTTCGACACATCGAAGCAACTAGACCACGTACCCGACCCCTAGATGGCATTACGGGCACTCTAAAAATAGGTACAACGACTCAAAGATTAACTTAGAGTGGCTTACACGAGTTTTCGATCCCCAAACTAAGGACATAGCTAACGGCAAGCCACGTGTCCTTATGAACGATGGTTTTGGAACGCATAAAACCGTCGAAATTCTGGAATTTTGCCTCGAGAACAACATCATCCTTTGTCGCCTCCCCTCTCACACCTCCCACAAACTGCAGCCCTGTAACGTTGGGATCTTCGCACCCTTAAAGACAGCCTACCGCGACGAGGTTGAACGACTCAATAGAGGCGGTATAGATCGAATTGGCAAGGAGCATTTCACTTCTCTATACAAACCCGCACGAGACAAGGCGTTCACGAAGAGGAACATCCTAGCCGGGTGGGCCGCGACTGGTTTATTCCCCTTAAATCCAGAAAGAGTGCTCCGAGGAATTCAAAAGCCCACACCTAAGCTCACCATCCCAGACGTCTCTCAAGGGCAGCTGGTATCTGCTTCGGGAGACGAAGTACTGCAGACCCCGCTAACTCTAGTAACGCCCAAGACAACAGACGCTCTTGCATCATTACAGAGCATGATAGAGAAGGATGCCCACACGCTTGACGAGAAGAGCAAGCAGCGCCTGCAGAAACACGTACGGAAGATTGCGACCGCAGATAAGATGTCTTTTGCCAAGTGCGGCCTACTACAGGATCAGAACCGCTTCCTGTTCCAGGTAAATAACGCCAAAGCTCGTCGATCGACGAGATCAGTGGTCTTAGGGAAGGCGAAGGTAATGAGCTATAAGGATCTAGAGGAGGCACGAGCAAAGCGTGAGGTGAAGGATCAGGCTGCTGCGATGAAGGGAAAACGAGATCAGAAGCGCAAGGCTTCTACAGCAGAAGAGGCAGGTCCATCGGTCTCTAAGCGCAAAGCGGTGCTACCAAGTGCGACTCAGCTAGCAGACGCTACGGAGGTGTCTTGGGTGGCTCCAGTGGCGAAGATGTATTAGGGTCAGGAAGTATCTTGTGCAGCATTGCTGGAGACCAATATTAAATAAGATAAAAATAAGTTAAGAACTAAGTCTATCGTATGTTCACTTGGTTAGAGGTCTCTAAGTCGCTGATCTACAGACTTGTCCGGACAAGCTTAGCATACCTGCTGATATATATAAATTACTTAGGCTTAATTACATACAGCTTATGCAGAGATCTTAACTAGCCTGTGTTAGAACTCGCTTACTCCGATATCTTTGACTAGGGTGGCGATTTTCCATAAATCTACGCGCAGTAGTAACCACAGGATTCCTAATAACTTACTGTTGTGGTAGATAGACTTCCAGCGCTTAGGCGCTTTTCTTATGTCTTTTATGTAGTATAGATCCTACAGCTGATCCTATAGCAAGCATTCGCGATTCTAGCATGAAATGATGCTTTGCGCGAGATTGACAAGACAGCTGTAAGGTAGTGGTAATTTTCTGATCAAAATAGTGCATAGTATAGAGAGACAGCTTGAGAACGTGATCTATAAGCGCTCAAACATTATTAAGACGTGTAGGCAGGTATCTATTCCATTGAAGATGGGTACCTCGCTTATTTTTCGACAGAGTGTTTTTCTACCTACGGTGAGGGACGTTAGAATCTTACGTGCCAAAAACGATTCCTGTTGAACCCAGGCGCGGTTTTTAGTGGGACAAGCTCCGCATCCATGGCGAGCCCGGAGTGATGTGCAGGTACCTCGAAATACTGCTCCTGTTGTCTTCGGATTGAGAGTTTGATCGTTCGGGAAGTACCATCTGGCATACAGAAAGGCACTTCGACGCGTTTGGAAGGTGCGTTGACTCCGCATCCTAAGTCGAGAAAGCCCTCATGCACGTTTGCTGCGCTTTGGGCTGAGATGACGAATTCAGCAGTGTGGTAGATGGAGGACATATGTGGCATCTCGTACATTTGGTCCTCCCAATCTCTTGAATGATGCGAATCGCGTCAATCCACAAGTAACACAGGCCAAAGGAGCGCGTAACGTGAATGGCGTCTGCGAGCGTGCATGGGAAGGTAACCATATCAATACCATCCATGTGCGATCTCAAGTTGTCTTTCATCGTTGTCAAATTCCCTTCCATGCCCCATGCGTAACTGAGACATGCGTAGTCTCCCCGTTGGCGATCCGGCGAAGACAGTATAGATGTACTGTCAACAAGAAGAATACTCAGCAGTGATGTCTAGGACACGACGTGGCCATTCTACTCTAGGGGAGACGCAGAGTGGATGATGTGTCTTGCAGTCCTGATACCATGTCTGTCTCTTTTAGGCGACTTTGAAGGTCATCTTTTAGTTCGCGGTAGTCATCACGCTCGCAGTCTCGAAGATCCAACCAGGGGACAGCGTATCATTCCCCCACATCTGCTTGTCTCTCAGCATTAGCCTGCAATGGGTCCCCACACTTCAACCAACCCATTATACTTTATTGGATCTCAGTGATATAGCAAACAGCACGCAACGCTGCGGTTGACACAATTCATGTGAGTATATGTTACAGTCTCTTCTTACTTGAAACCCCTTATTCCACAATTGACTTGATCGACTTACCAATTGGTGTGTAGAACTCATAGAGATGTGACATGGGCCATATTTCAACAGTGTTATAGGTTGTGCGTCTGATACGAACACGGAAACCCTACTTTTGACAATCGTAAACAGCGCTCAAGACCTGTAGGATGAGAGAGCAACCTGAACAGGAGCTAGCAGAAGCAACAATGGCCTCATTGGTGCTTTCGTAGTAGCCGAGTGGAAAGTTACGACAGACGCCGCATTGGCGGGATACGGGAGAGAAGGCTCTTTTTGTGGTACTGGCTTCATGGTCTCTGAACTGCCTGATGCCTGGAAATCTGGAGCTATCGCTTTCATTGAGACTGAGAGTGATTGCAAGAATCCGATAGGTGGCTTCCGTAAAGGGCAGTGGGTGGATGGTGGATCAGCTTCGGAGAACCAATGTCATTATCCGACGAGTAGATCAGAAGAAGTGATGGTAGTTGTCTGGAAGCCGAGGACAGGAAGTGGGAAGGCGGGACTCAGGTTTAACCAGTTTAACCAGACACGCTTCATGCGCCTTGGCATGCAGCGTTCAATGTCGATGATTGGCTCTTCAGAATCCTGCAGTCTTCTCCCACAAATGACATTCGACTTTACAAACTTCTCAGCCTTGCCATTAATTGCAATACGCCAGTCAGCCTTGCGTGAGCAAAACCTGCTGCCTAGCGATAAGCATAAACAAGTGACAAGACTCAGTATGCATATCAAGAAAAAAGAGAAAGAATAAGGTCAATATCGCTCTTGGCTTCCAAACGCGCATCTCATAAAATAACTCCATAAAGCCTAGGTATCACAACCTATACAGCAAGAAAGCCCGCCATCTTAACGAATCCAGCAACTCCAAGCAGCCATTGAAACCATACCCCAATAACAGAATATTCCCAAACACCTCCTCTTACCCCATCTCTCTACCCCTCCTCCCCATCTAACATCCACCACCACCGCCTCCATCGCCTCCACCACCGCCGCCGCCACCTCCTCCGTCACCACCTCCGCCCCCTCCTCCATAAATTCCTCCCGTATACGCCGCGCCTCCACCCGTATAACCCCCGCCGTGATGTCTTCTGTTACGCCTCGACTGGCGCATGGGAGGAGGATAGTGTTGGAAAGGGGGTTTGGACATGCGCAGCCCATTTGGCGGTTTTGCGTGGGGGTTGTGCCGTCTAAACCGGGCGGGCGGGCGTTGAGTTGAGTTGTGTCGTATGTACGTTTGTGCGATGGAAGAGTTGTTGTCGTCGCAAGATGTCTGAGTCGGGTCGGATTGTGCGATGATATCGTCGATGTCGAGAGATATATTGTACTGTACTGTAGCGTAGACGTATATACCCCAAGGAAGAAATAAGACGTGTGCGAGATACTGATGAAATATACTTGTAATGACCCCCTTCCATCAACCACGGAACATCTCAACCCTTATATATCTACCTCTTACCACTCCAACAACTACCAAACCAGCTGACCAAAACCCGCATCACATCACCGACCCTCGAAAATCTGCCTTACACGCCGCTTCGCCATCAGCCACCATCATCAGGCGCGCCACCAATCCCTCTTCCAGCACCCTTAAGCGCAAGCGAAGCATCTACCCACCCACGAACCACACTCTTCATACGAACCCACCAAACCGCTTTCTTACACCGGGGTCCTCATTACGGCCAACCGGCCAACCGCCCAAACCCACATACGCCACCACAAACGTCTCTGAACCGGATTAGGAAATCATACAACGCATTCTGCCTCCCCGCATACACCCTTTTTTAGGTGTGCAGTGGACTCCGCCCATTCCAAAGCCACACAGCGACCTGGAGGCCTGATTGACGGACGCAGGGCTGAGACAAGCCGTGCTGTGCTACGCTGTGTCGTGCTGTGCCGATACCGAGGCTTAGTTACGTTAGTGTTGGCGCTGGAACAAGATCCATACATGAGGCTGTGCAAACACTAAACCCTGAACCGAACTTGACCATGGTCACGTGACAAAAGCGGGACCCGTGATTACCCACTATTGCGCTAACCCCCATCAGGAAAATACATCGAGTGACGTAAAAGGGAAGGGTACGCGGGCGAAGACAAGGCGACCAGAGGGCAAACAGAGTAGGGGACAAGTGAAACAAAGAAGCTTACGGCGTCCAAGGAGAAAAAACAAAGCTTGGCGAGATGCTAGTTTGTTTATTGTTAGGCCGAAGGGAAGAAAGCCGAGGGGAAAATAAGACCTAATGCAGCTTTTCTAGTCGTAGTTGTCAGGTGCAACAATGACTTGCAGATTAACGAGGCAAACTTGAAGAATGTGCCTTGTCAGCCATGCAACCACCTCTCCAGCCCGTCATCATCACCCAAACCACCCATCTATGCATGAAGAAAGTTATGTCATTGGGAGTATATAGCGCCATTCGGGGAAGAGATAGATGAAGATGAAAAACCCAACCCCAAAGGAAATATATATATGGGGGCTGCACAAAAAAAAGATAAGAGAAGAAATACGCAGCCCGTTCTCTCAGGGAAAACTCCTAGAGGTTGGGAATGGAACCACCGTGTCTCCAGCCCCGACTCATTTCTATCATAGATCTGTCTTCGCTCTGGCTCGCTCGCTCTCTGTCTGTCTGTCTTTCAGGGGCGCATGGGTGTGTAGATGTGTAGAAAAGCAAGTCGTGGATGCCAACTGCTGATGCTACTCTCACTCGCTCGGTCCTGCGCATCGCATGAATCAAAGTAAAGTAAAAACACCCCGGGGATGCCGTATCCAAAAGAAGAAGAAGAAGCCCTGTACCCGCCGAATGCTCATTATACAACAGTTTCGTTTCGTCTCGTCTACGTTGGTGTGGTTCCTGGGGTGTCGCACTGCGTCTCTTACTTTCCACCCTGCTTCTTCGCCTTGAGCGCAAGATGGGAGTATACCCAGCCACCACTTAGCGCAAGCAAAACACCAAACCACTCCCGTCCGCTCAGGATCTTGCCTTCGCTGTACCAACCTATGCTCAAAATCATGATGGTCTTGAGATGGCTGACAATGTTGAAGGTCAGGGCGCTCGTTCGTCCAATAATCAAGAACTGGCTCAAGTTGTACATTGAGGCCATGATGCCGGATGCTAGAACGCTCCATAGGATGTTGGTGGGTACCTGGGAGAGATCTGGGATAGTGTCGAAGAAAGGAACAAATGGGATGAGGAGGCAGACAGAGATGGGGGCCTGGTTAAGCAGGAGCTGAGGCGGCGAGACGCCAAAGTCCTCAATCTTCTTGCCGATCCAGATCTGGTATAAAGCAGTACTGCAGAAAGCCAGGGTCGCAATGATAACACCAAAAAGCTGGGTCTTTGCCGCCTCGTTGATGGTGAACGAGACCCCAATGCATGTCGCAAGGATGGCAGCCAGCATGTACTTGGTAACGTACTTTCGGAACAGGACGAAGTTGATGAAGACGACGGTCGGCGTAGTCATGACCTTGGATAGCTGATAGAAACCGATCGAGTTGAAGGTCAAGCTGAGGTTGCCTAGTACGACGTAACCGGCGAAGAAGCCGCATACGGGCAACATGTTCCAGATGTTTAGTCGCACAGCCTTGAAGGCGTGGAATGGCCGCAGGGTCGAGATGAAGAGGACGAGCGTGGTAGCTGTGAAATGCCACATGACGACCATGAGCTGGCATGCTTTCAGTTGCTTGTCACTGAAGACGCTATTGAGAGTGTCAGTACATGGTCCCCCCTACTAGGGCTGCCTGTGTGGCTCTGTACCGTTTACTAAGGAAGATCAATCCCAGTGTTGAGAGCGTGTTCAGCGCAATCCAGAAACATGTTATCAGCTTCTCCTTGAGCGGTAAACCTGCAGGCTCCGTCGCCGGCTTCTCGAACGTCGGCAGCTCTTCCAGCTCGTGGGATTCGCGGGGGTCGATATTGTCGACGAGGCCCTCAATCGAGGGGCGCTTCTCTACTGCGTGACTGTCAGCCCGTGTCCCCATTCCGCTTCTGATGTACTCGAGTGCCCACAATCTGGACGGTGTTGGAGCTGGACGTACCCATGATAAGCGGAGTGTGGTTGCAACGTAGCGAGCGATGTGGGCGATGTCGTCAGATGCACGCGCGCATGCCAGAAGGAAGGTGCGAGCGGATAGTGTAGGTAATGTGAGCCAAAACGTCAGACGGCTGGCAGTCTAGCGATGATGCTGTTGCACTGTAGCGGGAGGGCCGGGCAATGTGCGGCGGTGTAAGCGCTTGGTCGTCCGGTGCAGGTGCAGGTGCAGGTCCAACAGCGAGCAATGCGGCAACGGCGAACAAGGACAGCAAAGAAAAGGCCAAAGTGAAGCAGCGACTCAGAAGCGTAACCAAGAAATGCGAGTGGCGCGACACAACAGCGAGGCCCCAGGGGGTATATACCCAAGACCGACCTGGTGTCCGAAAGGGATCTTCTTACGCCAAGCCAGCTCGTTGAAGGGGGCGAAGACGAAAGCAGGGTTTGGCGGAACTGTCAGCCAGCCAGGCCGATCCCCCCAATCAACTATGCCTTAGTGCCACCGCACCGGTGGGCAATCTTACATTTTAATTTTAGGCCTCTAGCCGTCTATGCGGTTGCGCTACTCTTTCTGTTTGGCATCGTCGACGTCGTTGCCCGCTGACAGTGACAGCATATTCCAAACACTTTTTTGCTTCTGCGCCGTGCATCGACTTCTTGGTACTGTCACAGATTGCCTAGGTAGACCCTCCTTGACATGCTGTGAGCCCGTCGTCGTTTGGGATGTTGCCTCGAGGTGCCGTCAGATCCGCTGGGCTCCGCCTCGGCCTTGCCCATCCCACCTTGCTCATCCCAACGCCTAGTCGTCCGAACCATGGGATCCCTATTACGGTGAGAGAAAGTACCACCGTATCGTGTACAACCCAGCCGATCATCATATCTGGGCGCATTACCTTGCTCGAGGACATGTGTCCTGTTCACGCATGCGACCGAACAAGTCACCGTCTCCAAACCGCCGTCTTTTGCGCGTCAAATTCATGTCATCAGCCCAAGCCACCCGCGAGTGCGAGCAGCAGGCGCGATCGTCGCTGGGGTTGCGGACCAACACAAGGATGAAACCAGGTACCGTGCACGTGCAAGTAACGTCTTCCCTACATTTTTGAACTCCCCTATCTATGCAAATGGAGCTACAAAGCAGCTCGCCGTGACAACCCTAACGCAGAGAGAAATTCCATAGTGTACACATGCAAGAACCCACTCCGTACAGAATATGCCCACAGGTCAACGGATCCCGTCGCAAATATTGAACCCGCTACTAGACCGAATTATAGAGATAAAAGGAAATATTGTTATCGTGTTACAGAAATCTAGACCTCTCCATCAGCGACTGCAAGACGCTGTTTGGCTGTCTTGGCTTTCTTGCTAAGCCCGCCTTTCTTGCGTTTGCCTCCTGCGGGAGTTTCCGTGGGAGCAATGGGTGTAGCTGCACCACTCGCCTTGGCGCTCTCGTCAAAGTGTCCTTCGCCTAGGAACTAGTTAGCATGTGCATCACCCAGTGACTGGAAGTGCCGGCTTACCTTCGTGGTACATGTCATCAAGGTTAGCCTCGGCCCGCTGCTTCTTCTTGCTGCGCTTCTTGCCTGGTGGAGCATTCTTCTCTTGCTCTGCCAGCTCTGCCTCCTTCTTCTCAATCTCTGCTGCCTGATCGTCGTCGACGAGCCACATAGCCATGTCTTTGGTCCTGTTCTCCCTGGATCGAGTGTTGAAGTCGACTCCGGCTCCTCCGCCTCCAGAAATGACAACGCGCTGCACTTCTTCCTTCTGTAGAGCACGTTTGCGGATACGCTCTTCGATAGTGCCACGAGTGATGAGACGGTAGACAGTGACCTGGCGCGTTTGACCGAGACGATGAGCACGGTCCATGGCTTGTGAATCGATGGTAGGGTTCCAGTCCGAATCGTAGAAGATGACCGTATCGGCAGATGTCAAGTTGATACCAAGACCACCAGCGCGAGTAGACAAGAGGAAGACAAAGATAGAGCGGTCGCTCTGGAAGTCCGCCACAGTATCGCGACGATCCTCGAGCTTGGTGGATCCATCCAGACGGCAGTACTTGTAGTTCCTGTACGTCAGATACTCCTCCATCAGGTCCATCATCCTAGTCATCTGGAAGTACAGCAGGACACGATGATCGTTGGCCTTGAGCTCCTTCAGCAGTGCGTCTAGTTGAGCTAGCTTGCCAGAGTCGGTGACGAAGCGTGACATTGATGGAGCCTCGATGTGCGTGAAGCGTGTTCGCTCGTTGGTGGGTTGAGGAAGCTTGTTGCAAACAGTCAGCGCAGCGCTTTCCGTCTTGGCTTCCAACATGGTGTGCTCAGATGCTTCAGAAACACCGTATAGCGCATTCCTGATGGGGCCGTTGAAGTAGATGCTCTGCTTTTCGGTGATGACACCCTGGCTGGCACAGTACAGTTCGACTGGAGGTGCTGATGCCTTTGGCTTGGCACAAGGCTCAATGACGTTCAGGCCCGTCTTTTCAAACGCAGACCGGGCAACATTGAAAAGGTTATGCATGTGTCCTTCTGTTGCGACTTCGACCAAAGGCAGACGATCCTGGCGATCGACAATGTTGAGCATCGAATGCTTCGGCTCCCACTTGCCGTTGTCATCACTGTACAGTACGTTGAAGCGTCCAACCCGGTTTGGCTTCTGCCCAGCAGCAAGAGCTCGCTGGAAAAGACCGCTCCTGGCAACCTTGGAGGCCTCGCTAGCTGACAGGTCGGAGAAACGGAGCCAAGAGAATGCTCCAGCTTCTCGAGCGGATAGTTCAATGTTGTCTGGGCTCCATACGTTCATCAAGTTGTCAAGGTAGTGTCCTTTGAAGCCAGCCTTCTGATTGTCGGGACCCGCAAGCTCTAGCCGGCCACCCTCACGACCAATAAGTCGCGGTAAGGGGTATTCAATCAAGTTTCGCGTGGAGTATCCGACTCGAACATTCTGGCCTTCGCGGAGGAACGATGCAGTCTCGGCAAACGAAGCGAACGAGAAAGGAGACCATGTGTCGGCGCGCTCAAACAAGTCAGGATGGTTGCAAACCTTCCTGAACTGCATGACCAAGTTCATCAGAGTTGCACTGTCTTGCTCGTCTCCGACTGCCTTCTCGACCAAATCCATAATGTTGATCTTCGCACGGAGATTGGCGTAGTATGCGCGCTGTCGGTAGGTCAGATCGCAGTAGACGTCCAACTCGATCTTGTCTCCAAGTTCCTTCTGTACATGCTTCTTGACACGTCGTAACATGAATGGCTTCAGAATCATGTGAAGTCGCCTCAGCTGGTCCTCATTGAGCTTCGTGTTACTCTGCGCGTGGCTCTCAATATCCTTGGAGAACCATTCGCTAAACTCGTCGTGAGAATCGAATAAGCTAGGCATAATGAAATGAAGAAGGGCCCAAAGTTCTTGCATGTTGTTCTGAATCGGTGTACCTGTCAGGAGCAGTCGGTTACGCGAATGGAACCCAAGCAAACTCTTCCAACGAGAACTCTGGGAGGATTTGATAGCCTGTGCCTCATCGAGAATCATGTACTGCCAGCGCATCTTCTGGAAGTACTGAGCATCTTGAACAACCAGTTGGTACGAAGAGACCACGACGTGAAAGGGCGAATCGCGAGTGTATGTGACGTGTTTTCGATCCCAGAGCTTACGCAAGATCTTACGATCCTTGGCAGTACCCCAGTATGGGATGACGTTGAGGTCTGGAACGAATCTGGTGATTTCTTGTTGCCAGTTGTGCAGTGTTGATGCTGGAGCAATCACAAGGAAAGGTCCCCAGATATTGTACCTCTCGGCGAGATAGGCCATGACGGATATAGACTGGACAGTCTTTCCAAGACCCATCTCGTCGGCTAGGATACCGTTGATACCTTGCTCATACAGGTTGACCAGCCAGTTGAGACCTTTGAGTTGATATTCCTTGAGAGTACAGTTGAGCAGGCCGGGTTGAGGGATCCAGTCTTCCTTGTTCTGAAGTCCAGACGGGTTTTGGAAGTTCATTTCTCCATCATCCTCGTCATCGCCAGATTTGTTGAAGGCACGAGCCCGATCTTGTGCCTGCTGAATAGCGTGTTGGGCGTTCGCCATGGCAGCGGCGTTGAGAGCGCTCTCGTCTTCGTTGTCAAAGTCGAGGTCCTCAAAATTTGTGACCTTGGCAGTTCCGTCTGTTGGCATATCACCAACATCAAGACCAGACTTGTGGGATTCTTGCGGAGCGGCAGCGGCGGCATCAGTGTCGTCGGTGGATCTTTCGATCTCGTCTGTCCTGGCCTTCTTGCCGATGAAATGCGAGTAGAGTTCCGTCTGCGAGATGAGAAAGTTCAACTTGCGCTTCTGTCGATTTGCTTCCCGATCGGCCTCGGCCTTCTTCGCATTCTCCAGCTCCTGACGCTCTGCATTCTTCCGTGACTCGCGTTCGTCACGCTCGTTCCTCTTCCAGAATGCAAGCATCTCGCGCATGCCTCGCTTGGCCCTAGCCTGTGTGTCCTTTTGGTTCTTGTTGGTACGCATTTGCCACCTGCGAGCCTCCTTGGCGGCGAGTTGAGCAGTCTTGCGGAGGTTTGACTGTTTTGTAGACAGCGAGTTCTCCTTGATGCGGACGACCTTGGGGATATCTTTCCGAGCCAGATCCTTGACGATCTGCTGGTAAAGGTTGCGGTACACAGACGAGTCGTAGGAGGTGAGGACAACGGGACCTAGGTCTTCCGTAAAGCTGCGGCCTCGTAGGGAGTCGAGGCGTGCTTCCTCGCGCGGCGCAATCATGGGTAGATCATCGCCACGGTCAATAGCAGCCTGACCTGCAGCCGCGGCGTCCTTCTCTGCTTGCTTTTGTTCCTTGCTCTTCTTAAGACGGCCGGTACCACGATTGCCCTTGCGCTTTCCACCTACAACGTCGTCGGAGGCCTGGAATGAGCTCATGGTGCCGCCCTCCATGTTTGGTCCGTGGGGAGTGACTTCGCGGATGTCCTTGCTGGGGGCGTTGCCCTGCAGGAGTTGACTGGTAGTCTTCGCCTTTCGCTCCGCTTTCTGTGCAGCCAACAAGTGACGCTCTTTCTCCTCCTCGTTTTCAGCTTGGCCAGCCTTTGCCAGAGCTTCGGCCCGCTTGGCTTCCTCGTTCTGGATCGTCTTCTCTCGTCTCCGCTTCCGCTGCATGTCCTTCTTGCGCTCCTTCTCTTCAGCAATCTCCTGGCTCTGAACCTGCTGCCAGGCATCGCCCTCGTGCTCCACATTGTACGAGTGCTTAGCATAGTCACGATGGGCAGCAGAGACATCCTGGAAGCGGATCAGAGTTGCAGTCCGCCGTCGCTTGCGCTTGCTTGCTTCGGCAGCAGCAACTTCGAGAACGCGCTTTTGGCTCCGCTTCTTGTAGTCGTCGAACTCGTGCGGGGTACCTGAGTCGTCCAGATCGGTCATTTTCCTGGTCTCGATGTTTGCGAGTTCAGCCTCGACCTCGGCTTCGTCGGGCGCAGGCAACGAACGGGTCGCAGACAGCTGTGCGGATTGCACGGTGCTGGCAACTGGTACGACGTCGTATACTCGCGGCAGGTAGCCATTCTCGTGCGGAGGCAGGTCAGTGGGCGCTGGAGATGCCATGGCCTCTTGCTTGACGAAGTGTTGATTGGGCAAAGGCTTGGTTGATCGGAATGGGTCGACGATGACGGTCGTCGGGGGAGGCTGAGGCTTTTGGGAAGGCTCGTTGTCTGCACCAGAGGACATTATGCTCGAGAGCGACATGGGGTCCGCGCGTGTTGGCGGCGGTGCCTATTGTGGTGGTGGTGAGCAAGCGTGGTGGTGAAGGAGTTTGCAAAAGCGGCTTCACTTACCTCATCCTTGATGGATGTTCTCCTGGAGTAACTCGGCGGCGGTGGCTGGACAGCGCCGCGGTTCATTGACTGATATACCGATGGCGAGACGGGCGAGTGCGACATTGCCTCCATTCCGCCAGTGTGTTGGTGCTGCGAGATGGGGCGCTGCAACGGCGAGTGGTGCGCGTACGAGGTGGTGACGGGCGATTGATAGACTTTGTCGTAGGGGCTGTGTGCAGGGCGAGAGTCTGGATACGCGTGAGGATCCCGAGCCTGCTAGGGTAAGAAGTTAGCGGCGTATCCCTGAATAAGGAGGGTTTGCAGAGCACACGGCTGCGATGGCCATGGGCGATGGCGGCATGCGTGATGGGCTTGGAGCATGTGGACGCACCTGTGCAGGATATTGGGGGTCGTAACGCGCCGGGTCCCGAGCTAGGCCACGGTCGCCATTGTCTGAAGTCGGGTCGTAATACCTAGACGTGTCGCGGGAATAGAGGGCCGTGCTGATGGGCGGCAGCTCGGTGTTGTTTGGGGATTGGGGAGGTTGATGGGGGTGCAAGTTGGCGTGGTGGAGAGGCAAGGGCGCCGGTGTATTTGGCGAATGATGTTGGTATGGTTGGCTTGCTGATCTATGGTAAGCTGGAGTAGGTTCCCCTTGGTGCCCTGGCGGATTTCTTCCTCCTCGCGAATGCTCCCCATCATCGACCGGATCGCGATACATCAGAACGGCGCGTACGGGTGACTGCACTGGCGCTCTGCCTTACTCCATGGGCAACTCGCAGCGGGCTCTGGCTGGAGGGCGCGCCGGTAGCGGCTTCTGGGCTTTGCGGCGACACGAACGGGTGCGCCTTGGGCGCGTGTGCCGTCGGCAGCGGTCGTCCTGCGACTGGCGACTCGGGATGCGAACAGCGAGCAGCGGCGACGGATGAGTCGGCCGAGATGGAATGGGTTATGTTTTGGGGGAGATGGAGCGGCGCTGTTTGGATCACACAGGCAACAAGGGCTGGCAGCTCAAGGTCAGCTCGCTGCTTAGTGCGGCAGCGCCAACTTTGCTCGACGAACAGGTCCGGACGTGATGGACGAGGCGCGATGAGGTTGGATGTCGAGGCTGCGATCAGCTATGCGACATTCGTATCAAGGCACGGGGGGCTGCGGAGCGCGGGAGCGAGGTAGATGATGATGGTGGCATTACTCGGGCGCCATCCATTGCGACCTGCTCCGCTACTGGGCGCTTCTCTTAACAAAGCACCTGAACCCCATCTCTCGTAGAAGCAGCATACACACGCCCAGATGGTGCATCAGCCAATAATTTGCCTGCACACGAGCGGCCCCATGCAGCCTGCAACAGTGCAGCGTCTTTGCATCGACGTCGACTTGACTTGATATGCCCACCTGCACTGCTGCTTGCTGCTTGCTGACTGTGAACCCGCGTGGCGCCTGTTTTATTTCCCTTTTCCAACCCACGTTCCAGTCTTCTTCGCTGCTCCGCCCGGGTTGAGGCGTTGGCAGCTTCGGCTAATCTACCACGAGTCTATGGACCACATGCACCCTACTCTCAGTACACCCTACATGTACCTGGGTACACTCTTGTCTCCATCTAACATCATGTCTGCTTTATCATTGTCTCGTCATCCCCAATCCAACACGAAACCAACCGGCCAGCACCTGTTGGGGCCTGCAAAGCCCCAATTGGGTGACGCCTGCCACCGACACGGTGACGGAAGGAAGGAACAACCCATGTCGGTGGGTCGTAGCGCGGTCCAAGCGCAGATCACGCTAAAACTCTGGGCGGCTTCAATTCTCGAACTTTTTTGCAGAGGCGCATCCACCCCGTGAGCTGCAGCAACAACTCTCCATCATCGCCATGGCTTCCGTATACAAGACACTATCTGGCGCCGAAAAGGACGAGAGGGAGACGGGCGAGAAGAGGAACAAGCAGCGTGTCCTGATTCTGGTACTTTTTTTTTTTAGTCTTGCGCGGACACTGGCCTCATGCTAACAAATCGCAGAGTTCAAGAGGTGTCACATTCCGACACCGACATCTGCTACAAGATCTGTACTCTTTGATGTGAGCGCTTCTACTTTGCTGCGTAAAGTCACCCGCTGACCCTACAAAAGGCCCCATAGTCGGAAAGAAGCCAAACTCGATACCAAGACCAAGCTCTACCAGCTCAACGAACTAGCAGGTACGATTACCTCTGATTTCTATTTATTCTGTCTTTTTCGACCAAAATCGCTGTCTTCACTTTCCATCCAATCCCAACTTCTAGTGCTAACAATGCCAGAACTCTACAACTGCAACAATGTCCTCTTCTTCGAGGCTCGCAAAGGCAAGGATCTCTACTGCTGGATGTCCAAACCTCCTAATGGCCCCACCGTGAAAATGCACCTGCAAAACCTGCACACCATGGAAGAGCTCAACTTCATCGGCAACTGCCTCAAGGGATCGCGGCCAGTGCTTTCTTTTGACGCAGCATTCGACAAGCAGGCTCATTTGCGCGTCATCAAGGAACTTTTCACTCAGATCTTCGGCGTCCCAAAGACCAGCAGAAAAGTAAAGCCATTTGTGGACCACGTCATGGGTTTCACCGTTGCCGACGGCAAGATCTGGATCCGCGTGTACCAAATCAACGAGAGCGAGCCTGGCAAGAAGAAGCCTGTGGATGGTGAAGAGATGGACGTCGATGAGCCCGCGCCGAAGAAGAAGGGAAAGACCGAGTTCGATGTCAGCCTTGTCGAAATCGGGCCGCGCTTTGTGCTCACGCCCATCGTTATCCAAGAGTCCAGTTTTGGAGGCCCCATCATCTACGAGAACAAGGAGTTCGTCTCGCCTAACCAGATCCGATCCGACTTGAGAAAGTCAAAGGCAAGCAGATTCAACAGGCGCACTGATGCGCAGAGAGATACTTTGCTCAAGCACCAGGATTTGGGTCTTACGTCGCAAGGCGGTCGCAAGAAAGAAAAGGACCCGCTGAGCGACCAGGTCTTGTTTGCATAGATTTCATGTTGTTCTATACTCTGCGAGGGAAAAAGTACGGCGTTTTGGGCTGCATTGACAGGGGACCGGCGTCAACTTGTTAAGCCAGGCACATGCCTGCATATAGCGATATACCCAAAAGCTATTGACTAATGGGTAGCTGCTCTGAGCGTAACTCTTATCTTGAGTTTGAGCATCCTCAAAGCATGTCTTCTCTTGATCTAGCCCCATGTACGCCCTTGGACCCCCAGTATCCTTTACCATTCTCTCTGTGCACCCAAACTCTTCTCCAGATCCTCTTTGTACTCACTACTAACACCACTAACAACCGTATTTCGGACCCCATACAGCGCCCTAAAAGGATCCAGCACCAGCTGTGTTTGTGCAAAATTATTACTATCCTGTACCCGATGTATTCTGCCACTGGGAAATCTCACTCGACTAATCGCACCGTCTATCAGATGTATGTGTAAACGATGCAATTCCGGCGCGACGACCATCAAGTCTACCAGCTCCCGGACCTTGCCCCGTATACCGGCCGGTAAGCCTCGCCCACCGCAATTGTACTTGATCATACCCGTATAATCATCCACCGACTCCACGTTTATGATGTAGTTCCTGATCCGCAGAAGATTCCTCTGCGAGAAGTGATTCAAGAACTGATACGTCCGATTTGGCGTCAGGTTATTAGCCGTTCGCCACCGGTACCGAAAGTTGATGGCGTCGAACTTGACATCAACCACAAAGGTGTTGTCTCCATACAGCATGTCCACTGCCTCTTCGTGCACTTGCCGCGACACAGCTAGCAGGTTTGTGCTTCCTCGACGCCAGACAATGTCGTTGCCTGTTTCGCGATCCGTCCTCGGTAACGTTCGTTGCATGCACCAGACCCCATCGCCGTTCTTCTGCCGGACGCAAGTCAGATTATACTCGGACTTTGGGGGTGGGTCTACGGAGCGCTGCAAACGCACATCGATGGTAGTCGTGTGGGGGAGGACAAGGCCGTAGATAAGCTGACGGAGCTCGATAGGGAGGCGGAGGAGCGCCGATTGCTGCTCTGGTGCCGAGTTGGAATGCTGCATCACGACAACAAAGACTACTAGCCAACCAGCGACAATGGACGATGAGGCTATTCACGACTTGTTGCGGCATGCGTCGCCGGCATTGAAGCCCCTCGGTGGTCCCGCCTCCACGCCGATTGGCTATCCCGCAATACGGGACGCAGTAGCCCCTTGGCGCTATCAACTCCATAGTCGTGACGACAGATGCCTCCTTTCCGTCCTGAACCACCAACAATGACATCTATCACGAAAGACAGCTCGTCGGAGCTTGCAGTTAGCTGCGCGATGTCTTCACAGAATGTTGTCGCATTTTCTACGTATAGCCCCAACGGAGGGGTCCGATCTATCTAAACCACGAGATACGTGTCGGTGTCGAAGCGAAATAGCTACACGCCGAGTGATCTTTTGATCACACTGAACATTAGTGAAGAGGGCAGAAGCGACATACGACCTTTGCCATTGAAGTGTTTCCAGCCCAGTATTGACGACGAGCGGACACATACACCAAACTGTAACTCATAGTGAGTACTGTCATGTCACGACAACGTCTCGTGTGTCTGTACACTACGCAATGCTGACTATGCATCATTAGCCAAAAAGAAACACTCATCCAAATCCTACAATCGAACTCAAGATGTTGTTCGAAGACCTCGCAACAGAGCTCGTTGTACATGTGTTTCTATCCTGCAATTCAGTCACCGATGTCACGGCGCTATCATCGACCTGCCGCCGCTTCCGCAACATCTACTCCTCATCCCAGAAACTCCCCATACTCGAGATCGCAGCAGAAACGCAGCTCGGGCCTCTGGAAGACCTAAACCAACTCCTCACTCACAATGCCAGTCAACCGGCACATATCGTTCGCTCCGTCCCATTCTCCCTCGCCCTTCTCAAGCAAATTGTCCAGCACGGGCGCGTCGCCGAGAAGTGGTGCGATATATACCCATTCAAGAAGTGGAAGCACAACTTTGAAAGCCGCCGTCTACTGACGGCCGAGGAGCGATACCGTGTGCGACGCGCCATCTATCGCTCTTGGCTCTACTCCCGCGCCTTCCACAACCGCGATCATCCACGCGAATTCCGCGCAGCACGTCTCGTCCTACTCAAACGTGCGGCGCTCCTGCACAACTGGAGTACCTGGGAACTTGCCGAAATTGCCGATGTGCACTCCGTCATCCGGGAGGTCGTACAAACCAACGTCTGCCCCTCCAACAACACCATTACACGAAAGTTCAAGAAACGACATCCGGGTAACGAGCACTCCCTCCTCTTCAATATTCATCTCAATTACCCGCCAACAGCCCCACAAGCCTTCAACCCGTTCACCCCGAACCCGCTTACCACTGACTTCCACAACACACCAACTTACACTTCACGCTACGCCTCGTCCAAATACTCGCTGCACCACGAAGTCGGCGCTGAGGGCTGGGGCGACGATATACCCCACTATTACGTCATAGAGGACTACATGAAGCTCGACCCGGCTCAGATATTGTATCTTAAAGAACACGCGCCGCTGAAAAGTATGGTGGAGAGCTATGTCAGGAGTCTATGCCCGGAATATGATTGGTTCACTAATAATGGGGAGACGTGGGTTCAGACGCTGGAGTTTGTGCTCGAGGAGCGTGGAGAGGATGTAGGAGACTTTATGGGGGCTATTGCGGATGGGGAGTTGGGTGTTGCTGTGTGTGAGATGCAGGTGGCGGGGTAGATTGGAGTTTCCATATCTGTGTCTCTGTTGTTCTAACTACTTCACTTCGCACGGCATATATACGTATCTCGAAGGTTGAGGGAAACTTTATCCGTGTGCTTCCACATGATCATCCAACAACTACAAATTTTCAGAAGGCCTTCATGTTACTTGCACGTTGAAACACTATGTTTCCGTCTCTTCTACTACTATACACCTCCGACTCTATGTTATATGACAAACCTCATCTCATGCGTATATCCCAAATTACAATGCGAAGCTAACAGCCCCCAAAGGGATTTGAAAAAAAAACGATTACTCATCTCTCAGCACAACTTCAGCACTCTCATTCGCTTCCGTCGCTCCCTCTTCCTCAACAAGACACTATGGAGAGCCACCGAAACCTCCACTTCCAGCCCAATCTACTCCCCATCGCGCAAACCAACAAGCTTCGTCGTAGCAGCCCACCAAAAAGGATCCCCCTCATTTTCCACCAACCCCTCATCTCTCAACCGCTGCAGCGCTAGCATAACCACCGTAATCGGAATTGCCAGCCTCGCCGCCAGATTGGACATTGGCATTCTTCCTCCCTTCATCTCCTTTAGATACGTCCGTATGCGCACATAGGGCGATATCGCCGGATTGGTGTTTGAATTCCCGTTTCCTCCCTCACTTTCCTTGTTGTTCTCGATGACAGCGTGGATGATCTTGTCTACATCGTGTACGGCGTCACTGGCTGTGAGAGAGACCGCCCACGTTTCCGCGTCGGAAGGGCGGTATTCGGAGTCGGATGGACGATAAATCAGGCCCATTGCTGAGAGGTATCTGATTGCAGGCCATATTCGTCGAGTCGGTACTTGGAGAGCGGCAGCGAGTTGACGCACGGTTTGGCCCTGTCGTTCTAGCGGCGTGCGGGACATGTGCACCATGTATGACATGATGGATTCAGCTAGAGCAGGATCAAGCTCGGGTTTCGTTTCTGATTCTGGTGCGAGTGCGTCTTCGTGCTCAGTTTCTGAGAGGCTGTGACATTCCATGAAGTGATGGAGCCTAGCGGCACTGCTTTGGAATACTTTGTCGCACTGGAAGTCTGGGCAGAGATAAGAATTGGTTACCGTGGGTTCTTTTTCTACGGGTTTGTCTTGTGTCTGGGTATTCGCCCCAATGTTTACAACTTCTTCTGCATTTGCGTATGTTGGAGTCGAATGGGGGCGATCATCTTCGTTTTCTGCTGAATCCTTGGCATCTTTTGGGGTGACTGACACACTTACACTGGGTACCTGGGGATCGGAATCGAGCTGATGCATGGTCTGAGGTGTGTGAGATGATTCTGTCCATTTCATAAGCTTTTCAGCTAGAGCAGGATCAAGTTTAGACTCCCTGGATTCGACTGATCGATTCTCCTGTAATATAGGATGATCAGTGACCTGTTGTGAGATTACCCACGTATCTTTGTCGAGAGTATTGTGGACAGCCCCGTATTTGGCTAGTCGAATGAGAGCAGGAGTGACGTCTTCTTGGTCAGCTCCCAGTGCAGCAGCAATCTCTTTGATGTGTTGGCCTATGTACGACCCAGGTCGCACTTTCAGATCATCGGTGAGGTATGCCAGAATCCGTGTAGGTAGTGACAGCGATTCGACAAATGGCTTGCCTTGCTCTCCGTCCCGAGTGCTCTTCTCGACCGTCTGAAGTAAGATCAGTGAAATTGGAAACATATCAGCCGGTATGTTTAGTTTATCGCGCTTGCCGTTTCTAGCTCCACTGCTGTAGACGTCTTCGTCTGGTGACATTTGCAGGTAATGGACAACGGCTTGGGCCAGACGGTAGCCTTTCTTGCATAGTCCTTGCTCTATCTCGTACAATCCCGATATGTCTTTGCAGTCAATGCAGCTTCGAGCGTGTGACTCAAATCGTATCAGTGCCTCTTCCTCATCGCTGTTAATCGATCGCCAAGTTTCTGATTGATTGCCAAGTCGGACTACGTGATGCTCTCCGCTTAGAGAGGCTAATAGAGATACAGGGTCTGTAGATGTTCGTTTGGGAGACGATGGATCTCCCTGAATATCCGGAGGCTGCATAGTAAACTGTACTGGAGTATAGGCATTATGTTGTGGTAGTGGAAAATAAACCGGCAAAAGGCTCTTGTAGACAAACTCGTCGTTCGAAGAATAGACCACAAATATGATCTTTTCCAGTGTATTATTCGGATCCGCTGATTCCAAGAATCGCTTGACTTCTTCCATGGCCAAAGATGCGCAGTCGCGCCGTGGGTAATTTAGCCTGCCAGTTCCGATGCTAGGTATTGCGATCGAGGTTGCTTTCAATAGCACGGCTGTGTGCAAAATCTCTCGGTATATGTTTCGTAAGATGCCCTTGTTGCTTTTACTGAATTGTTCGGGAGGTATGGCATGTAGGATGTGTTTCGCTGGAAGAAGGTATCCAGGGGTTACTTTGACATCGCCTTCGTTGCATGTGCCGAACTTCTTGATTTGCTCCATCAGTTCGGGACCACCCTTTTTGAAGACGCTGCGATCCAAAACACCCATGCCGAGAAAGGAGCTGTCAGTTGAATTAACCATGATGTCAACCTCGAGCTTCATAATATCTTCCCTGACCAAACAAACCATGTGGTTGAAGGTTTCGGATGGGTGCGCCAGCGTAGGCTTAGCTTCGAGGTCTCCAATCCGGAATAGTCTGGCCACTGAAGGTATTTGCTGTAATCCGATAACGTTCCGATGACGAGAGGAAGCATTCTCCTGTTGGTATTGTTGAGAAAACAATATATCGTCTGAATAATCACGCCCGTCTTTAGTATCTTGAGTCTGCCCCTTGGCCCCATATTCCTTCAGAATCTTCCGTACTTGACGCAATTTGAAGTCCTTGAACGTCTTCTTGTTCGGGGTTGTAGTCAAGCACTCTGCGAAAACATGGACATAGTTTAGGAACCGATCGAGGTCATGCCCATGTGCTACTCGCATTTGATTGTTGGTTTCACCCAGTATTCGTTGGTATACACGTTCGGTATTTTCTGTGTTCTTTGCTGTCTCAGTCATTTCTGCGATTGTACCACAGACGGATGTTGTAACCGAACAAAGCAACATGACATCATCGAAGTTTCGCGCTCTCTCCTGTGGCCTTGATATATAATCATAAATCGATGTGAGTGAGAACTCGGTCGAGCGGAGCGGTTCAAAGTAATCTGTCTTCATATTGGGAAATTCAGACCCAAATACTTCTTGGAGGCCTGTCACTGCCTTTTGTACTTGTGCACGTGAATCCAGTACCTGAGCTGCTGGCCGTGCTCCATCCACGGACAATTCGGCAGTCCTTGCTCTGTCTAAATCACCATGCGTTGGTGGAAAGAAGACTGGAAAGAAGCTCATGTAAGCCTTCTTATCGAAATCTGTTTTCACGCAAATAACAATGCGTTCCAGGCCGTGCTTGGGATGCGAATCGAGGTAGTCTCGAATTTCTTGTAGTGCTATACGTGCAGCGACGCGTGCAGGGAAGCCACATCCTCCAGTACCCAAGCAGGGAAAGGCGATTGTCTTTATCCCATGGTAAGTAGCCATTTCCAAAGCACTCTGATAGCAGCTGCTGAGGACTTTGAACTGATCGTAACCCTTTGACCAATTGTATTTCAGACCTGCGGCGTGTATAATCCAGGAACTTGGAAGATCGTGTCCTTGAGTAAGCCCCACTTGTCCAACCTTGATATCTGCTTTCAATTTTGCCTCTTCTGTAAGACCTGGCCCGGCAGCTTTGAAAATCGCGCTATGTAGCGTGTTATTAGCTGGCGACAGGCTCAGATCGGTAGGGGCGTTGTTAACAATGGCATCAACCTTTAGTCTCGTTAGGTCGTGATGTATGAACGAGATTAGTTGATTGTAGAAGACATTTGGCGCATAGCTCTGGTCGCGCTGTATAATCTGTCCAGTTATGTACAGGGAGCGCAGCGAAGGAATGTTAGCTACCGATATTATCTGATCTTTCCTTGAGCGCTTGATTTCTGGCGTGGACGCTTCTCTCCGCGATGAATGATTCTGGATATCAACGGATGGCTCGTCATCGGACCATGTATCACTAGGATCGCCTTCTTCTTCGTGAGATGTATTTAGCAGTTTTGGAATCATTTGTAGTCGATTTTGGCTCTCATCGGGAAGTTGCTGCAGGCTCTCTGTAGACAGCAAAGCATGACTGGGATTGACCATACGGAGAGAATCGGATGGCTCATCCAGCTGTAAAATACCTGTTGAGATGCGTCAGTTAGTAACTTCTCTATATAAAATGATTCTCTCATGCTGGTTAAGAGACCGTAGACGTACCATGTTCAGTTTCCTCACGGTCGTCGTGTTTATCGGTCGTTCGAGTGGGTAAAGAACTAGGTAAGTATTGTGAATTGGAGCTCCCACGGCTTGCAACACCGCTGGTGCCATCTTCATCGTCATCTCTACTGTGAGGTAAGGCGAAGGTTGCGATGCGCTCCAAATGATTTGCGATATGGCTATGGAAGTCACCAAGGCCTTCCATATCTGCTGGTGCATAGCAAATCGGGCACTGTTCTCTCATGTCTATTGTAGTAGTTTCTCCAACCTTGACGGCGGTCAATAGTTGGATCTCTGAGAAGCTATCGGGATGCTGGTGTCGAAAATGGTTCTCTAGTCCTGTTTGGGAGTTGTACATTGCTGCTGAATGTTCCGGGCATCTCCATACTTTTCGATGGCTCGCTTCGTGTTCAGCCCATTCTCGGCGACTGCGGAAAAGTTGTTCCGAGCTCTCACAGTCTGGGTAAGTACAGCAGTATGGTTGAAGGTCCTGCAACAAATGTGTTTTCCAAGCTCGGCTGTTACCGTACCTAGCCGGGCAAACAATCCAACAATATGGGCATTCAAAATCCTTTTCGCCATTTGCAGTTTGAGGGGGCGGCGGCAAACTGACTGCCTTTCCATGAAGGTCTTTCACGGTCACGGCGTAGCTTGTGACTGATTTGGTGTCCACTATATCATCCAGAGATTGATGGTGCTGTGTCGCCTCTGTCCCTGATAGAAAAGTCCTGCCAGTCTTTTGACTTGGTGCCTCTTGTCTTGTAGTGATAAGGGGTATTGCCTAGAGAAAAGATTAGCAAAGCTACAGCCTGGTGAACAAACATCTCGTGTTATGACAGTACGGAAGTGAGAAACGCATACTGGCTGAGCTTCTAAAGTATCATTTCGCGCCGTACCAGGCTCTTCTGCAGTGACAATTACGCCAGCTTGGAATAATTCGTCGCCAGTCGCGGCGCCTAGCTTGTCACGATCTAGACAGTTAGGTTGGGTAGTCTGGACCAACACGGCAAATCAAACTTACGTCGCTTCCAATATTTGAAGTTCCGTCTGCGCAAAGTGATGGATTTACTCAACCGTACAATTAGGAAATCTTTGTCCATTTCCTCATTGTTAGGGAATGACCGGCGTAAATCGGAAAGCAGCTCTTGAACGTGCTTCAAATCCAGCTCAGCATACATACTAAGAACATCAACGCCCGTTTCCGGATCTTTTTGCATGTAGGAAGATGCCTTGAGTGACCTTGAGCGTATGGATGGTGTCCTAATCCGGACACTGAGCTTATAGAGGTTGTCGATGATGTCAATCATATCTTCGAAGCGCACCTTCAACTCACTGTTGGGTTCGCCCTCGCCCTCATCCTCCTCATCCTCACTATAGAATCCATCGTCATCATCATCTTGTTTAGGCTCTGCTGTTCCGCCTTGGGCCTCGTAAGGTAACCGAACTCCGGAGACGACAGCATGGGATTCGTTGAGGTTGTGCTCGAGCTCGTGCAAAAGCTTGAGTGCGTTGTTGGATAACACTGGTGAGTCGCGCAGCCTATAGTCCAGCGAGCTATGACCTTTTTGCAAAGCTCCCAAATTGCCAGCCCACACCCTAAATCTTCCGATCTCATCTGCAAGCGCTTCGCCCTCTATTGAGCCCGTCCATTGACCCTGGCTCATGCTCAGGGCGTTGGTCAGATTCTGGAACGCACGTACGTTGATAGCTGTCGCGAGTCGCAATGAAGACATGATGAGGACTGGGTTTGTTGAGGAGTAACAACGCTATCGAGGTGGCCCCACTGGGTTGAGGCATTCTGTGTATTATTGTAGTCACCAGTAGGCAGTCCGCCCGAAATAATGGCGTCGCAGATAATGGTAGATATACCTAGGCGGCTGTAGCCTAGAGGCTGATAGCGAGCCGGAGTTGTGGTAGCTGTTGAGTGCATGTTGTGAGGCGATGCTAGCATATTTGCAGTTTGGTGGGGGGCGTAGTTCAGGCGGCAGTCGCACCTCTCCACTTCTTCGCTCGCCAGTTGACAAGCTCTTTTATTCTGCGCATTCTGACCTGGAAGGGACTGTGTGCTTTTTGGTTGAGTGTGATATCAGCTTGTGTGTCTGCCTCGAGATTCTGCCTCGGGTGTCGTTTATTCCTTCCTCTGTCCACTAATGACGCATCAATAACAACGCTCTGCATCTATCGATCTACTGTGAATAAGCACTACAATGAGCGGAATTGAGGTAGCTGGTCTTGTTTTGGGCTGTTTGCCGTTGATTATCCAAGGTGTGCTTTGGTGGGTGCGGAGTGTTCGACAACGAGCTAACTTGGATATCAGGCATAGAGACCTATAGAGAAGGACTCGATCCGATCAAAGGCTTCTTCGGAAGGAACAAAGAGCTCCCGGTTTTTATTAGAGATCTCCGAGCCCAATATGTGCACTACGACCAGAACATCCAAATGCTCTTTGGTTCCATCACGTCCGAGGCCGAATTTGCAATGATGATGGCCGATCCTGGCCTGTCGCAAGAGCTGTGGAAGAGTAAAGAGGCAGCGCTCCAGGACAAGCTCCGGATTTCATACAAGACTTACCAAGATACCATGGCGGATATTGAAAAGATAACGAAGCAAATCGCAAGTAGGCTAGAATTTGGGGCACCAGCTGAGGTAGGCACGTCTCATAGATGTATGCTCCTTGCATCGCACTCACGCTTCTCTTAGACACGAATTGATCTCGACGCGTTTCTCGCCACAAATTCCAAGAAGCTCAACGATGCTTTCGAATTCAGAAAGCGCGTTCGCTTCGGCATGAGCAAGAAGACAATAAAAGCACTTTTGGAAGAGCTAGATAAATGCAATAAGCAACTCGAAAGGCTTACCAAAAATAGCGAAAAGATCGAGACATATCACAAAGCGACAAAGCCTTCGTATGCCATGCGACTTCGAAAGCTGCAGCGATACGCCAAGACACTGCACGATTCGTTAACTGTATGCTGGTCCTGCTCATGCAGGGCTTCGCACAAGACGAGTCTTCAGCTCGAGCCCCGAGGAAGTGTCTTCGCTGCAAGAACACAGAAGAGAAGACCATCTTTAAAGATCAGCTTCAACGTTTCTTTTTCTACAATTGATCCCGAGGGCAGCGGTGTACCGTGGCAATTTCAGGCAGCCGAGATCTGCGTGGAGGACGAGGAGGATATGTGTCTTACGCCCATGGCATCCCCACGACTAAGCCTGACCAAGAGCGTCAGCTTTGGTTCGCTTCCTCCCTACGCGGTTCATGACCCTGCAAATAAGGCTCTACCTTCACATGAAGAAGTCAAGGACCTTTGTGCATCTATTCAGCAACTGCGCGACCGTGCATCCACTATCGGCTTCTCTCTAGACAACAAAAACAAATTACGAAGCGCATATTTGATCGACAGCACAGAAGCATACATTCCTACCTCGGAATCGGTATCGCTAGAAAGTCTTCTAGAACATCCGCCGCTTGTCAATGGGAGAAGATGCAAATTAAGTATGAAGGAAAGATATAGTCTGGCCCTAACGCTAGCATCGAGTGTTCTCTATCTGAATTCAACGCCATGGCTCGCTAGCGAATGGACTGCACGGGACATTCTTTTCCACCGAACTTCGAACACGTTGCGGCCAGTTGATATCGAGCGTCCATATCTCTGCCCAATGATGGATGAGTGCTCAAAGGGTGCACCTAATAGTCCGAATGCAGGAGCTTCCATCAACAAAGTTCTAAGTGCACTAGCTATATCACTCCTTGAGCTGTATTTTGGAACGACTGCCGAGAAGTACCGGATGCTGGAGATTGAGGGTGATGTAGCCGACCCTTGTACCGATCAGGACCCCCTGAAGCTCTGTGTTCTGGCGTATACCTGGATGTACAATGAGTCAGGCAACCTTTCTGCAGCTTTCCGCAATGCTGTCAGACATTGTATTCATGGTTTTAGCGAGCATGATGCAAATCTACAGGACGTGGACTTTCTTCAAGCGGCAGTGGAGAATATCGTATTGCCACTGCAAGAGGAATTCCATCATTTCCTAGGCAGGACAACAACCTGATAGTAGAACATTGCTCTAACACATGTACCTTGGACACAGTGTTATTTTATCCAAGTTACGTCGCTTTGGGCATATCCCGAAGCAGGCCACACTAGATGGACATTGTTATTTCTAGCGACAAAGGCCTCTAAGCGGGCTTTTGCGCGAATACAGAAGTTTAGAGCCAAAAGCCGCTTACTGAACGCACATCACTCGTATCCGGCCCACGCGACCGCGATACGATTGTGGGGTAAAACGAGGCTCACTAGTGCGGCAAATCTCCGACGTCAAACTAAACGACATGTAGGGACATGCTGTCAAAGTAGTTTGACGTATCGTTTGGTGAGGCAGAAGAATACATGTTTCCAGCGACAGTCACGGAAGCTATCTCGTGGTGCAGCAGATGAGTGGCGTACTGCACAGCCCCGCACCGATTCGGGCCGTGGGAGAAGAAAGCCTAGTTTGCCCCTGGGCAGTTGGCGGGGTACAAAGAGCTTAGGTCTGGTGGTACATGAAGACAAGGGGAAGTGAGTGGCGGCAGTGGCTGCCATGTCAATCTGAAAGATCATGGCCAGTACGGTGTACGGTAGTGGAGGTTCTTGGTTGCTGCAGGCTACGCACATTAGGCAATCTCAGCTGGCCAGCGTGTTTTGCCGATGATCAGGATACGTCATGAACCACGTAGTGTGCTGTGCTGACGGCATCATTGCCGGACATTAGTTGGGCCCTTTTTGGAATTATGGCGGAAATTGAACATGTACATAGCGTGGACCCATGTAGCTAGCGCTCGACGCGCATTCTCAGAGAAGATGCATTGATGGACTAGGTTAGTACAGGGAACGGTTTGTTTGGCAGCAAGTATGCCGTGGGGGTGGAGCTTGTAAGATGCAGCGCTTGAGCGGTGGTGCTCGAGGCTGTGCAGCGGCTCAGGGGGGAGGAAGCAGAAGTAAATGTTTTGCATGTGGTTTGCTTTTACGTTTCTGCTGAGTATGCGAAAGAGGGGTTGTGTTGTTTTTCAAGGTGATAGCGATAGCAATTGCAGGCCGAGTTTTGTGGTTCGGGTTTCGTTTTACAGTACACGGCCCAGAAGGAAGCAGCTCCCAACATTGGCATGCACCTCCTAACGGGGCAAGGGAGCGATAAGAAGCTAACAAGCGAAAAGTGGCTTCGGCAATGGACCTCGTTGGCGCGCAGTGCGACGCCGACACATCTGAAACAGGGCTACGGTTGGACGAACGGTGCGGAGATCAGGCGGCGAAAATGGGCTGCATGGCTGCATGGCTGCATGGCTGCAATCAGAAGAGAATTGGCCACGGCAAAAAGTGAGCAGCAGGTTTGACGCGCCCGCGAACGGGCTGAGCAGTGTGTTCGGTGGGTGGGTGGCAACGAGGATTTGCAGAGTGAGAGTGCAGTTCATGCGCTATTGATAGAAACTGATAGCCGGGCAGGGGTGGTGTCTACTTAGTTGACGATGATTTGCTTGTACTGTACGAGGTTGTCGTCTGCAGCACGTCGTTTGCAGGAGGTCATGTTATGCAGACAGACGAGACACAACAAGACGACCGACCACAACAGACGCAGACGGACTGACACATGGCAGCACTCGCACTCGCACTCGCACATACACACACACACACAGACTCGCGCTCTCCTATTCAGCCCCTTTGTGCACTCATTCACCCAGACTTTGCGACTACTTGGTCGGGGCCGTGGGTGTGAATTGCGCATTTCAACGCCCGTCCAGCGACCCTAGGACCACCCTGGTCGTGCATTCCTTGGCGTGCCGGCACCCCTTAACGTCACCTTGTATCCGTTTTCTCGACTCCCAATTCAAGCTCCCGCCAACGCTTGACAATTGTTCTTACCACGACGGGCGCCCTTAGACTTTGCACCTTGCAACTTGCACCTGTAACCCGCCGACGCTCGCTGAAGCACCGGAACACTCTCTCCAGGCCGACAGCGCAGCGCGCACCCATACGCTCCTTTGCTGTTTCGCTCTCCCTCGCCCGACACCATGGCACAACAGTACGGCTCGACCCTCCTGGATCCCTCCCCGCTGCCCGCGCCCACATGGCTAACAGTGAGACAGAATCACGTCGTCCTTGAAGGACTTTTGGCACACAATGACCTCGTACGACCGACACGCCTCGCACGACTCCCCGTACCGGACTGGCCGTCATATATACTATATCCCAAGAGCCGCCACGCCGCCCTCACCTCCATCACGGGCAGCGGCGCCGAGTCTCGCACCGACCTGCACTCGCCCTACCAGCACGACGAGCTTGCGACCAGCAATGGCTTCATCGGCTCGCCCCGGGGCCCCAATGTCCCCCAGCTCGCCCTACTCGCCTGGTATGCGCGGCTCGCTGAGCCGCCAGACGACGCTGGACTCTGATGCCTTCGACAAAGGCGCCAATGGCCAGATTCAGATGCAGGACTTCAACGAGGGCCTGCCCCCGCCCCCACCCGTCTCCCACTCGTGGCGGCGCATTGACCGCTGGGTCGAAGACCACTACCAGGAGCTGTTTGACAACATGTGCGAGGGCTGCACCTCCAACGACGTCAACGAGCTGGAGCACGAGCTCGATGCTACGCTACCCATGGACATCCGCGAGTCATTGCAGGTCCACGATGGTCAGGAGCGTGGCGGTCTGCCTACCGGCGTCATTTTCGGCCTCATGCTGCTCGACTGTGAGGAAATTGTCATGGAGTGGCGGAACTGGCGGAAGGTCGCCGAGGAGTACCTCACCACAAAGGTCGACTACAGCTCCCCCCAAATCCCTGTCAAGGCCTTTGCTGGCTCCTCTACCGCCCCGCCCGTCGCCCAAGTTCAGTCCACGGGCAATCCGCTCTGGCGCCAAGATCTGCTTGCCCGCCAGGACTCACAGCCACCAAACGCCGTGCAAAAGGCCTACGCCCACCCTGCGTGGATCCCTCTGGCCCGCGACTGGGGAGGCAACTACCTCGCTACCGATCTCGCCCCGGGCCCTAATGGCACGTGGGGTCAAATCATCATCTTCGGCCGCGACTACGACTGCAAATACGTAGTCGCTCGCTCGTGGGGTGCTCTGCTCGCCATGGTTGCCGATGATTTTGCTTCCAAGGATGTACACATGGACGAGGAAACCGGCGAGCTCAAACTCCTCGCCTTCAAGCGCCAGAACGTAGAACCGCCCTACCTTGAAGTCCTGCGCTGGCGATGTGATCAGAAGCACGGCCGCCGACCACAGAACAAGAGGCGACCCAACAGTGGCTTGCGGGTCAACCCCAACGCCCCCGGCATGGTTGTTCCCAGCAGCACTGCGAGCAGCCCCTACCACAGCCCTGTCATGGTACCCGAAGACCGCGGCCGCACCCCCCATCGCTTGTCAAAACCACCAAAAGGCGTCAGCCCACGGGGCAAGCTTTCAAGCCCGCTAGCGCGCGTCGCTGAGGAAAACCCACAGCCCGCCCGCGTACAGCCCAACCTTGACTCAAAGGCTGCGACACCCGCCGAGAACCTCATCTCCGTCGACAACACCCCAAGACCAAGTGACGAGCTGCCTACTCCCCGCATGAGCATAGGCAGCGACAAGGAAAACAAGGATACCAAAGACACCACAAAGTCAGAGCGAGCGTCGCTCAAGAGTCCCGTTACTGCCAAGGAGGCAGAAGAACTCAAGACTGTCGAGATATAGGCATCTCGCAGTAATCGTTTCTCTTTCAATCACGCTTCCCATTGATGATCTACTATTAGAAGGAAACGGCCGAACACCTGGCAACCCAATACACACGATCGGAGTGCAGGCGTAGGGCGTGAACACGGGACAAAAGGTCGCAACCCACGGGTTGTGGCTTATGTTTGGCGTATTGGCAGTACCACCTTTCTTTTCCAAGCCAAGGACGTTTTCAACAATGCAAATCTACGTTTCTTCTCGCAACACACAAACTGTATCGACGTCCTGGATGACCTTTTTTTCTTACTTTCGGCCACTTTCCATACACCCAGGCGGCCTACGTACACACCATGCAGTTGGACATGCAACATCCGTTTAATCGCAAGACCCCCGGCCTTGTCGTCATCTGCATACCACCTGTAACAACAAATTTGTCTTCTTCTTTCTCCCTTATTCAGCTGCTTTCCCAAAAATGGGGAGTGGCCGCACTTGCGCGAAAACTCTTACTTCAACTTTTTCTTCTTCTTCTTCATGCAACTTAGCATGGCCGCGGTGGTGGGGTACGGACATCTGGGGAGGCTTGGAGAAACTACTACTGCACGGGATGGAGTTTATTACCTTTCACACTTTTTTCTCCATCGGTGAAAGGTGGGAGGTGGTGGGCTTTGATAGCTTTTTTTGGGTCTTCTTTGCGTGGGCTTTGGTGCACATGTGGTAATATATATATTTTATTGGCAGTTTGTGCGGTTGTCGGAGTGAGGAGAGAAAAGCGGGAACGGGTGGGTGTTGGTGATGCTGTTAAGGATCTTTTATTTGCATTGGCCTGGCGAATACGTAGGATTGAATTGAGACTGTTCAGAATTCAAGATGCTGTATAATGTGCGATGCTTTGTGAGATGAAAGATTACTGTGTTGGGTGGGGTAAGTAGGACACGACCGCACCTGCCCCTTTCGTGCGTCATCGCGGCACGGAAGGCAGGTACCCTTTTTGTTCTCATTTGATCGGACTACCTCTGCTTCTCTCAATAACTCCGCCGTTGCCCACTCACTTATCCATCGATTCAACACCCTACCATTATGATTTCATCACACAACGGCATCCATCCCGCGATTTCCTGTCTCACACCTACGTGACATGGAATACTTGACAGTGTGGGTCAGCACCTAATAGGCATGTCTGGCGCCTACAGTGGCGCATATTATTAGGTGCTTTATACGGAGTCGCGCAAGTGTGAGCGATAATGGAAGGATATGGAGATGGAGATGGAGGCGGAGAAAGAAGTAAAGACACTACTAGGTATGCTGCAGATATACAACAACACCGTTGGCACTTTACCTAGACAATTTGATAACCACATCCACCAAATCAACCCCTACCCTACCCTACTCGTCCCAATCCTCCTGCCCCTAGTTCATCCTATACCTGCACTCGTGTTTCCCAATCCGGAAAACCAACCCCGACCCCTCTGTTAAAGCGCCACGGTCCTTTTCGCAGCAGGCAGATTTCACCAAGGAATAACGCACATCTTCCAGCCGTTGACGTATGCATTGTCGGTAGCGCAATTAGTCTCGTAGTTTTTGTATTCGATTGGCAGGCTGTTGTATCGAATAACTTTCCTGTAACTACGAAACTCGGCTTGAGAACAGGATCCGCCAGGTCCGAGGTGTTTGCACTAACTCTATTAGAGGCCTGTTGGTTGGCTTTGCACTAAGTGCGTAAAGGGAAATAACGATAACTAGGAATGCATTCTGTTCGGTGGTTCTGATTGATTGTCTACGAACATAGCTGCTACGAAGGTATACCTAAGCTCTGCGCAAGGTGGGCCGAAGTCGGGCCGAAGTGTCAAGCAGCCGACGTCTCTACCGATACTCACGATCCGACAAGGCCACTAGTATGCTAGGATGGTACTTTCTCGCAATACCTACGCAGAGCGTATAGCCAGAATGATTCGGGCACCAACCATCCGGTGCGAATTGCGGATTCCCATAGGCTTGGATTCCACAGCAGGCATAATCTATTTGGTCGTCTGCGAACGCTTTCTCGGAAGCAAGGAGCAAGAAGAACATGCTGGAAGCGACGGTTAGCCTCATTTTGTTTGTGTGATTAGGTAGTGTTGGGTTGTGGACTAAGGACCCAAAGTCTCGGACGAGGTACCAGGCCCTTTTGAAGTTCGAACCAAATGACTCGTAAACAAAGGGGCCAAACCTCTATTAAGATGCTGTCAGTGTGTCGATAGATGACACGAACATCGGCGTTGCAGTTTTGGGTATCAAATCTAAGAATATACGGATGGTCAGCTAGATCCGGTAAGCCTAAAGATTAAATCCGAGAGTCACAGCGAGATGGGGATGATGTTGTCACCGCTAAACGAGTTGGATCCTCTTGAAGTCAGAACCTACGCCTTATCGATGATTGGGTCGAAAATATATGAAGACGCTGTCAGCATGTCGGCACGTGACAAGAATCTGGGCGGCAATGTTTTCGGCATCATATCTCGGAATACACGGATGAGTTGGTAAGCAGAGATGTCAACAAGCAAGTCAAGCTGGCTTGATTCTTATCGATTGCAGATCACAGACAATATAGAGGCTCGTGCACAGTGGCACGTCCCAGAGAATGGTCTGTGATCTGCAATCGATAAGAATCAAGCCAGCTTGACTTGCTTGTTGACATCTCTGTTGGTAAGCCGGTCAATTAGACGCAAAAGCCACAGTGACATGCGGATGATCTTTCCCCTACTACAACAGGCAAAGGCCGACTGGTAGGTACTACCAAGGTGAACGAAGAGGCGATGTGTCCAAGTTACAATCAAGCCATTGGCATGTTGGATGACATAAGAACGGGTGGTAGAATTTTGATCTTCATAAACCAACACGCGGAAAGATACACAAGCTAGGTTTGTATGTAATTTCGTCAGGAAATTGTGCAAGATGAGTACGCGTAAAGGCCTGCGCCCAAACATACATATATAGCAACCTACAAACCACTATCCCGTCCCTAACTTCAGTCACCCACCCGCGCCCTAACAACATTCTTCTGTAACGCCAGCGCCCAATATGCCGGAGGTAGTCTCATGGTATTAAAACCCAGACCCAGGTAAAAAGCACCCACTCTTGCCTGTGTAGCCCGGCACCCCGCCCGCGCATGGTGTACCGTTGCTTTCTTGTAAAGTGCGTCCCCTGTGCAGATAAATCCGGCCGGGATTTGGGAAACCGGGAGTCGGGCAACGCTGATTCTCAGGTTCCACGCACTGGATTTCTGTTAACATGGGTTGCTACTGCCAACGTTGTGTAACGGAAATGGTGATAGTAGTAGTAGGCAGCCAAACTTACGCAATATGTATTTTTGCCCCATCTGTCCTGGCACCAATTGGCGGGTGCACCGACGGGACCCGGAGCGGGTGGCCCGCAGCACGCGTCGACTGTGTGTACTGGATCTGGAGACTGCCGCGGCTTTATTGGGCTGGAAGCGAGGGCCAGGGCGAATATAGCGGGGGATGCGATGATGAGCCTCATTTTGTAGATTGTAGACGAGCAGCTGGGCTAGCGCAGGTTGGGTGGTTTGTAGTGTAGATGGAGTGCAGATAGGAAAAAGTATTTCTTTCATGGGCCGGCACCACCAGACCCTTTTATATCGTCATCAACACACACTGTTTTTCATCTCAAGCGAATCACATGGTTCAGACTGTATCAAAGCTTTGTTGGTCGATCCGATGACGCGGACATAAGCGGCGGAGGCTTGTTCGGTCTTATGTAGAGAAGTGTAGCACGAAGAATGACAAAGGTAAGTAAGCTTGAGATTATGTAACGATTGGATCCAGCCACCTTTCCATTTCCCATTATGGTCTTTATACTTTTTGTATTGGCTCTTGAGCATGAATTGGTAGGCGCGCTGCTTTTCCAAATACATAGTCGATGTTTTGTAATTGTAAAAACCCCTAGAATCCTCGAGAACAGAAAAGCTATGGTGTAATGATATTTACTGCATCCGATTACATAAGAGGCAAAATAAACAGGAGAGAGTAGAGAGCGAAAAAGTTCCTGTGATATTCCTTCTTGTGCATCTACATGCGTTACGGTGAGAAAAGAACTAGGCAATCAAGCCAAATAGCTTTCATTGAGGCTTATAACTAAGATATTCGACTTAACCACCTCTCTGGATCCTACCGACACCACCCTCCTCGCGCCCTGCCAACTCCTTCAAAGGCGCCTCTTTACTTCCTAGGAAATTATGGGTTGATGAACCTTGGATCGTTGGGATTTACGACGCATCTACTGAAGCCAGTTGCACTCACTCCCGCGCCCTGGCACGGAATACCTGTGGAAGCGAGATTGAATCCACCAACCTCTCTGGTCAAGACAACAGCTTCACTACGTGCGAACCCAACAGGACATTTTCCGGCGCCGTTGGTAGGAAACTCCACGCACTGAATTATATGTTAGAAAATACTGGTGTATTAGATTTAGCTGTACTTACGCAGAACGTGTTGCTTTGATAACGGTCCTGGCACCAATTTTGGGGGGCTTTTAGCGGCCCCGGAGCGGGTGCTTCACAGCAGACGCTCTTAATGACGGTCGGTAGTCTCTGGGCAAGCACCATTGAAACCAAGGTAGAGACTAAGAAGCTTCATGTTGTAAAGAAAAGGTAGGGGTGTTTGGTGAGATATAGCGTAGGTGTAGATGGTTTAGATGGTTGGAGATGCAAACATTTATTCTTCCAACAACGAAGTATCCGGCCCCCTTTAAGTCTTAATCAACACGCTGATCAGCGAGATGAAAGAACACAGTCCTGAGTCTATCAAAGACGTTGTTCGCGTATCAAAACGAGTTGGCTTCGAGCACCGGTACATCTTCGGACGATTACGTAGGTAAACTTACAGTTAGGGGAGCCATAGCGAGATAGAAGAGAAGATAGTCAAGAAATGCGCGCAAATGCTTACTGCAGTCAAAGCTTCATATAACCCAGTATGGCTGTGCATGATGAACCAAAGCCACCGGAAAAATAAGATTGAGATTTTCCAAACGTGTATATGTTCCACCGTACATACGTACCTGCTTCATGGAAGACTAGCTCTGAAATTGGAGTACGCAAAACACCACCCAAATTGTACAAGACCCATAGAAACTCCACAACGACCATCATACATAGAACGGCTTAGCCAAAGTCCTACATAGTCACCGACTGATACAGGACTCTAATGGAAATATAATAATAATAATAATAATACGTACCTGCTTCGACTTACCGTCCTTTCTCCCTCGACTACGAAATCCAACACTGCCCGCTCCACTTGACTGTCTAATCCCGATTCCCACACTATCCACCATAGTTGAATCCAGAGTCTAGATCCTAACCCACAGACTCCGCAACAATCAATCGATTGACATGATTGATTCCTATATAGGTTAAAGAATTACTTCATTAGGCAGCCTTTAACCTAGATAGGAATCAATCATGCCGATCCGATTGATTGTTGCGGAGTCTGCTAACCCATGTGTCACCCGCTGTACTTCCCTGCCTCACATCTCCCACTAAACTTTATCGGTATTCACTAATTCCCATCGCGATTCTCACACCACCTGCTACACTTTGCTAATAACCCATGATTCCCATCTAAATCCCCACATCCCCCGCTATACTTGACTCCCTAATTCGAATCTTCAGTACCCACCCTTGACGTACCAAACTGAAGAACCATCAACTACCTGATCCGAAGAAAATTCTGCCAAGCTTTTTCTGACTTCAAGATGTCACCGCCCGCTACACTTTACTCTCTGATCCTAATCCCCACACCACCCGCTACACCTTCCTCCCAAAACTTCACCGCCCTCTCTGCAATTGTCTTTGGATTCAACACCTTGTTCTCAGGTGCAACAACACCTTCAACATGTAGCAAGCCCACATGAACACCGCTGCTGCTGAATGCGCGGGACAAGCTATCCACCATGCTCTTCTGCGCTGCTTTGACGACGCTGAGAGAGAGCAGCTGGGGGACGGGGTTCCAGGGAAGATGGGAGTTTGTTACTAGTAATGCAGGTTTATAAGAAGGCTTGGAGGAGGCGAGAGACTGGAGGCGGGGGACGTAGTGTTGAGATATAAGGTAGAGGGATAGTGTGGTTGTCTGTCTTGGCGGCTTAGCAAGACATCCAGACTAAGACAGAACCATGTAATCACCCGGGTGACATAAGATACTTGACATACTAGTGTACAAAGGCCACTGTAGTCGCCAGGCAGGCCTAGTAGGTGCTTACCCACACTGTCAAGTATACCATGTCACCGTGTAATAGGGATCTACGTACCCGAAGATCCTCTTCAATCTCCCCAACGTCGAAATCCAAAGGCGATGCTGCTCGGATCCTTGCTGCGTTGAATAGTATCACTTCTACATCTTCTCCTGTGGTCATGGAATCCAACTTTTCTAGCACGCCGGGTATAGAGGAAAGGTCGGAGAGGTCGATGGCGAGGGTTGATACTTTGATGGAGGCGTTGTGAGAAGAGACGAAGGGTGCGTCGGAGGTGCTGAGGCGAGTGGTGTTACGTGCGAGAAGGACAATGTGCGATATAGGTGTGGAGAGGGCGAATTGCGCGGCGATGTGGTCGCCAATGCCTGGGCCGGCGCCGAACACGATGAGGGTTCGGGGAGTGGGGGTCATGGTTGATGGGGCTAGTAGATGACGTGGAGTGGGTGGGGTTAGTGATGGGTTGATATCCCAAGTAGGGTGAGATCAAGACTTTATAGCTGGGGTATAGGAATCCTTTGGTGAGATTACAAATGGAAACGGTGTTAGTATTCGAGAGCGTGTGGGCTGACCCCAAAGAGTAAGCTACTATAAAAAGATAAGTTGTTGGGGGCCAACCATCTGAACCCCAGAAACTTGATGTGGGTGTTGGCCGCAGCAAGGGATACTAGCGAAGTGACAAGGCTCATCGTGTAGTGCCACCTGGGTGTCATAAAATACTTGACAGTGTAGGGTAAACACCTAATAGGCATGCCTGGCGACTGTAGTGGCCTCTGTACACTAGTATGTCAAGTATCTTATGTCACTCAGGTGGTGACATCCAAAGAGGCAGCGAACATGTTTCCGAATGAGGTGAAGGCTGCCCCACAATTGTCGGGCGCGCTGCTTTAGCGTGGCGCGTCATATTGCAGCTCCAACCTCGAACTTTCTTATGCGACGCCAACAGTAAGCAAGGCCAGCTTACTATGCATACACCACGATAATGGATTTCTCAGCGAATGATGACGAGGCTCTCAAGCAATACCTACCTAGCCAGTTTGGGAAACAAGATGAATCGGTAAACGTCGAGGCGCAGATTGAGCGCGCGCGCAGGAAAGTTGTGGACGAGAGCAAAGCGGGGAAGAAAGATGATGGGTCGGACGACGAAAAGGACTCGGACGACGGCAGCGATATGAGCGACGATGAGGACGAATACCCGGTTTCTCATGAGGTGATTATCAAGACGCATGACCGTGCGGTCACGACGATTGCGCTTGATACTTCGGGAACACGCCTAGTGACAGGAAGTAACGACTGTACCATCAAGTTGCACGATCTCAGTGCGCTTACCCCGAATACCATCCGTGCCTTCAAGACGGTGGATCCATTTGCCACAAACGCTTCACAGACAGCCGAGTCGCATTCGATACACCAAGTTTTGTTTGGTCCGCACTCTGGGGGCCAGTTCATTTGCATTACCGCGACATCACAGGCGAGACTGTTCAACAGGGATGGCGAGCTCATCTCAGAATTCGTCAAGGGTGATATGTATTTGAGGGATAAGCACAACACAAAGGGACACACAGCGGAGGTTACAAGCGCCGCATGGCACCCAACGAATCGCAACCGCTTCGCCACTGCAGGGTTGGACAGTACAGTGCGAATATGGGATGTCAATAAGCGAATGAAGCAGGAGGAGGTCATTGTACACAAATCAAGGGCCGCTGGTAGCGCAGGCATGACTAGGATGACGGCTATCGCTTGGGGTGCGGCTGCTGATGGTGGGAGTAGTATGCTTGTTTCTGCAGCATTAGATGGAAGCTTAGTCATGTGGGGCGGTGAAGGGCCATACCATCGACCCACTGCTGAGATCAAAGACGCGCATGTAAAGGATACATGGACAAGCGGCTTGGACATCAGTGCCGATGGGAGACTAGTCATCACAAGAGGTGGAGATGACACCATCAAATTGTGGGACACAAGGAAGTTCAAAACACCTCTCAACACGACATCACATCCTTCGACATCTTCTCAGTACCCAACATCGAACATCAAATTTGCGCCGAACTCGCAATGTATAGTCACTGGATCCGAGACTGGCCATCTCCATATCCTCAACCCAGCAACACTCCGACCAGAGTTGGTTACTCCAGTTACCCCAGGTTCTCCTCTCATTACTGTAAACTGGCATCCCAAAATCAACCAGATCATCACAGGCTCTGCCAACGGTCAATCGACCATTCTCTTCAACCCCAAGCTCTCTAACGCCGGTGCCCTCACAATCCTCAGCAAAGCACCCAAGAAACGCCATCTGGACGATGATCCATCTCTCACCGTAGACATGGATCCACTCGGCATGGCCGGCGAAGCCCATGACCCTTCTAGCAACGCAGCTTCCTTTTCTGCCCGGCATCCCACCATTGGCCTTACCGCTTCAGGCAAATCCAGGGATCCCCGAAGACCGCATATACCTGCAGTAACGCCATTCGCCAAGTCGACACCGGATCAAAAGTACGTCATGGAGCAGATTGAGGGTAGCGATATGCGAGATGAGGATCCCAGGGAAGCGTTGCTCAAGTATGCGCCGAAAGAGGGCGAGAAGGCTATCTTTACAGGCGCGTGGGAGAAGACGCAGCCGGTGGGGATTTATAAGGATTATGATAGTGAGGAGGACGAGAGAGATAGTAAGAGGGCTAAGCGGTAGTTTTAAAATGAGATGTATTGGCCATCGGAATAGTGGTTTATGAGATCTCCGGTGGCTCACCTAGTCTCGTTGTGTGCAGCAGTACTTTCTATAATTTGTGGGGTATGTATGTCCCGATGAGGTCTAGTGTCATGCTAGTCACGTCCAGTGATGCCCAGGTGTCAAGCTGCCTATGTAGTTGGGAACGTAGAACTCTAACCTCCACTTCGCCCCTGAAAATTCTGTAAACATTCATTGTCATATCATCATAACAGTCGTTGTTTCTGTCTCCCTATCCTCTAACTAATCATGGCCTCGACTATTGAGCAGACTTGCTATCAGTCAGGTAACTCAGTTCGAACTGACTGAACTGACTGCCAAGACTCAGTTCAGTCAGTCAGTTCTTGAGGCAGCTGGACGTCAGTCCAGTCAGTTCAGAAGCCTCCAGACTGACTGAACTGACTGACGTTAGACTGACGTTAGCTGTTTTTAAAGCAGTATTTTAGAGTTGTGAAAGCCACATTTAGTGCGGCTTCGAAGCCGCGCTAGTCCTAGATATAAAGACACTAATCCTATATAAGTTAAAGCATCTAGCTTTAAGCTAATTAGAGTTTGCGGAAATGCGCTACCCGGTGCGCACCTAGTAAGCCTTTCGCGTCGCGTCGCGTCGCGTCTGCTATACACACGACGCTAGACTACTGTTGCCATAATACTTCTTGGTGTACTTCATGTCTACTCCCTCTAATTCAGGCCTTCGCCGCCTTGTAGAATGCGACAAGCGCAATTCTCCTCTACCATCGCTATCAAACGCGCCTACTGTTGGCGATACTGCGAGCGAGGCCCAGGCTGATGAGCCCTTGGCAGTACAGGCGGACTTCCCCAACGACGGCGACGACGACGACGACGACGACAATTACGACGGGCTTGATTTTAAGCGTGTGCCGTATCTTGAGCGGCGCCAGGTTGAGCGTAATAGTCGCGGTGGGCCAAAAAGCTGGATCTACCGCCACGGCTGGGCCGTCTGGCACCGCAAGTACAAGAAAAACTACTGGCTTTGCCGGTACTGCCATCAACGACGGAAGCAGGAGGCTTGCTACGAGGCTGACAGCACTACAAACGCCGGCCGACACCTCTCAGGCAACAAGCCTGGACACTCACACGGACCTAACGGACCTGTACCAATTGCTAGCCGGGAGGGCAATATTATGGGCGCGCTCGCAAAGTCCCAAGTACATATTATGAGGTCTAAAGGGATAGAAGTATCGCAAGAGGTAGCAAACGAGATAGCAGCAAGCTTTTCAACCTCTCGATTTCAGGACGCGCTGAAGGACTGGGTAGTCGCGGACAACCAGAGCCTTCGCGTAATAGAAACGCCGCAGTTTCGAGCCATGATTGCGGCCGTGAGCCCGCTAGCCGAAGCTCTCCTTTGGCGTAGCCACCAAACGCTCCACGATCATATTATTACTGAGTACAATACATACATACCAGCTGTTGCCAACTACCTTCGCGAAGCCCGGTCGCTTATACACGTGTCATTCGACAACTGGACTTCAACTGGTGGGCAGTATGCTTTTACTGGCCTCTGCGTACATTACCTTAACAGCGAGGGCAAGCTAGTTGACCACCTGCTTGGGTTGCCTGAGCTACACGGGGCGCACACTGGCAATAATATTGCCGCTGCAGCAACAACAATACTTCGGCTATTTGGCGTTGACAACGCGAGGGTTGGGTACTTTGTGCTTGACAACGCAAGTAACAATGATACTGCAGTTGAGTCCTTAGCAGAGGAGTTTGGCTTTATCGCAAGCGAGCGGCGGCTGCGGTGCTGCTGCCATATACTCAACCTAAGCGCACAATTAGTAATTTGGGGCAAAGACCGTAGCGCGTACGAGAATGAAGCCGCACACCTTGAGGAAGAGGAGAAGTACATGGATGAGTGGCGCAAATACGGTCCTGTTGGCGTCCTCTTTGACGTGATTGCGTCTATCTGTACGCCTCAAACTCGACAACTACTAGAGCGCCTACAGTGCGAGGAGGCAGAGTCTCTAGGTGTTACACCCCACATCCGGCAGCTTGTGAAGCCTGTTAAGACACGCTGGAATAGCTATTTCAACACGTTTGTCCGTGCAGCTGAGCTACACGGCCCTATCGATGGCTATATTGAGTGTAAACTTGAGGAGCATAGTGCTGCAACAGCAACCTCACGACGCCGGAAGAATCGTGAGCAGCTCCCTGCTGCCCAGCCACGGTTATATATACGCGAAGGGGGTCTAAACGGCAAGGACTGGGCGACAATAACAGAATACATTCGACTCCTTGAGCCATTTGCCGAAGCTACACGGCTACTTGAAGGTCGCGGCCGACACGGCCGACACGGCGCTATATGGGAAGTTCTAGTAACGTTTGAGTGGCTTCTTGACCAGCTTGAGGCTCTCAAAGACCGCCTTAAGGATGTAAATTACGAAGATCTAGATGCGCCTGAAGATCATCTTATTACAAACGTTAACCTTGCGCATTGTAAGCTTGCTGAGTACTACGCAAAATTCGATAACGCGCCTGTCTACTACACTGCTACAATACTACACCCGCACTACAAACACCACCTCTCAGCGCTCTGGAAGGTGCCTGACACCCATGTCACTGCCCGTGACGGTGTCCACTATCGCGACGGCTGGCTTGACAATAACCACCGGGCATTCCTGCGCATGTGGCAGGGGCGGAAGGACTCTGCAGCCACTTCAGCTCACACTGTAACGCCGCCGCGTAAGAAGCCCCGGCTAGGGATTTCAACGTCGCGATCAGCTTTTCTACAGTCGTCAATTGAGCAAAGCACACGGCAGTTAGAGGCAAGCCTTGCTGAGGATGAGTATGAGATATGGAAGCGGCAACCAGCGTTAGCTGAGGAGGATTGGCTGTCTCTTAATCCGCTTCTATACTGGGAGTCAGTTGCTGGGCAGTTCCCTATACTCTCAAAGTTCGCTATTGACGTCCTAACAATACCAGCAGCAGCGGCAGACTGTGAGCGGACTTTCAGCGAGCTTGGCGACATGTTAGGCACCCGGAGACTCCATATGAAGCCAGAGCTTATTTCAGCTTTGCAGAGCTTGAAGAGCTGGAAGAGGCTTGGTATACAGCCAACAACTACTTCAGCTTCTGGGCTAGCGCGCACACTATCAGAGGAAGAAATCTCAAAAGTACAGGAGCATTTATCTCAGTTCGACGTCAGGTAACTCAGTTCAGTCAGTCCAGTCAGTCCGCAGGCCGCGGCGACGTCAGTTCAGTCAGTCAGTTTTAGTTTAATTGAAAAGTCTTGGCAGTCAGTCCAGTCCAGTTCAGTGACCTCAGGACGTCAGTTCAGTCAGTCCAGAGAGCTCCGGACTGACTGAACTGACTGATAGCAACTCTGCTATTGAGGACAATGTGCTGAATCGGAAGTCTTTCACATTTACATACCGTGAATACAAGAAGGATACCGAGTACATCGCCGGCTGTCTGGCGTGGACCGCGAGACAATGCGGTTACGAGAGGCCCGTAGCTGAACCTCCCAAGCAGAAGGCGCCGCAGGGAGAAGGCACGGGGATAGAGCAGAAGACCCAGCCAACCCAGGATTCAAGCACTGATGCCCAACATCCTATGAATGTATCGGAGTTTCTGGGAATGGCCAAGTCAATCGCTTCATTCGAGCCAAAGCTCGATGTACCTCCAGCACTACAGAGAGTTTTTGATCGAGTGGTTCTGGCTCGGACCAGGGTCGCAAAGTGGTTTGAGGAGAAGCACATCAGCGATCATGCGAGCAATAAGCGACACTCTTAATTTATTGGCATACTTCAGGAAGCCTCTGAACTTCATAAACCTCTGGTGACCTGACCATCGTTGGTTTCTGACCATATCAGAGTCCAGAACAGGTTTACTGGGTTCACAGTAGAAGAGACAGTCCCATTGGACGAGCTGATAGTCGAGGTTAAAGACAGGCAATTGCCTAAAGTCAAACTCATTCCGATCGAGGATGACGAAGACGATCTTGAGGATGAATTCTTCTTTGCTGTTGCGGCATTTCTCCAAGATGTCCATCAGATCCGAAGGTACATCTTACGCTAATGGGACGAGTGCCAAAAAAAAAACAGGAGAAGGCATGACACGCAGGGCGATCCTTTCACACGTAGTCATTGATCTTGTACGATCAGCAGAGAATCAATTCGACCAGATGCTCAAATGACCGAAGCGGTTCCCTGCCGACGAATGTCCGGTATGAACACTTCCAGCACTGCTCTATCATCGTGCCCATAGAGTGCTCAACGATAGCAAAGACCAGATCGATCTCCATTTCAAGCCTTCTATGAGAACTTTACCTGCATGTCATGATGCAAGCTAAGAACGTTCTGCATGAGTTATGCGTACACTGACATGAAGATTTATCTGTTTATTTTCCAGACTGGCCTGCATGGTTCTAAAACGTCACTACCCCGAAAGAGCTTCCAAGGAGCGTCATACCCGAATATATGGGAGGTACTGGATTGGGTCCAAATACTTCGTCTCAGTAAGGCTTTACCGAATTGGGGACTTGGCGAAGCGACACGCGGAGTTCAGGATATGCTGTCATCCAAGGAAATGCAAATATGGGCAACATTGGCAATGCAAATGTTCTTAGACATCAAGGAGTTAATGGAGGATAAAGGAGTGCTTGCAAAGCCACTGAGGGAATACCAGACCACTGTTATCAAGGTGGCTCTGAATTTCCAAAAGACCGGCGCCAACCAGCGACTCTACACAAACCAAAGACCTGAGATCGATCGGCTCTACGCAGACTTGATGGATACGGTGGATGAGGTTGGATAAACTAGAAAGTGATGAAGTACTCGGAAGACGATGAATGGTAAAAATTGGCGTGAGTTCAGGTATTTCCATTTCTTCCTAGTGTTCAGACTAATGTTTAGCAGTTTTGAGTAGACACCCTATCCGCTGCGGACTTCTGAAGTATGAGCTGGAATTGCAATTGCGTCGCACAGCCATAGTCATGGAGACTGCAGCAGCTGATATCCTGTACTTGGGCCGGTTGTACATTACTGGAAGCAAGATGCTTGTTCCGAGCGCACCGCGATGGCCTGACATGGAGTATGTGTTTCATGGGCAAGACAGGCTATTCATTGGGGAGATGCCCAAGACCCTGGTCGACGCTCTCAAGAAGTTCGACTTTGGACGTGGTTATTCGGTTCAAAACCTGGCGCGCAACCGACGTAACCAGGACCCGATCATGGACGCAAAGCAAATTCTTTGTATTGAAGATTGAAGCCCACTTGGGATGTTGTTGCTTGAACGGTTAGCAAAAAGACACACTACGAGTGAGGCCCATGAGTGGATATCAAGACTAGTCAACTTGGTGTGCAAGCCTGATTTGCAGAATATGTTGGACCGACAGGGGAATCTACCAGAAGGCACTTATGAAGTATCCGAGTTCATGACTTCGATTAAATTGTAGCGAAAGCCACTGTCTTTGCTCGAACAGCTTCGCTACTGGCTACTAGCCAATGAAGTTGACTTGCACTTCGATTGGTTGGGCATGATATCTACATGCACTGACATCTGGGATAAGATCTTGCCAAAGCTGAGAAGTCAAACTGCCTTCCAGGGTCACGCGGAAAACTTGAAATCTCCTGAAATGACAGTGGCTTGCATTCTCGACTCTTTAATGGACTCTGCAGATCAGGAAACAACGCCTGAATTTATGGTTGCCTGGTAGACTATACAGCACATAATTCAAGAACCCATCTCTACTGAGACTGGTGCCAAGTCATGGGTTGGCGATAGGCAGCTAGTCAAGCTCTTGGATTATTGTAATCCTACCATGATGTTGATGAATTCCGGGCCTGTCAGCTTTATGAAGCTGTATGAGAACTGGAGCGAAGACGATAAGAAAGTGTCTCGTCTGGGTAGAGCTGTTTGGGCTACAGTTCGGGCAGTTGCAAGTTCGAAAGATGAGCAGGTTGAACCGCATAGTGAGAATGAGCTGGAAGACGCCGAAGACAATAGAAGCGAAGATACCATTTCCGATGCCGGAACAGATGACTCGTTCATTGCTCGCAAAGTTTCTATTGACATAAGTGCACTTGCGCGTGGCAATCGCGGTGGCGCTGGGAATATCATCTTTATGGGCAATCAGGTATCAAAGCCAATAGCCATTGGTAGATCGCAGTTGTCTCAAATTCGCCAGGCTCCAGACGGGAGCTTTATGTTGGGCAACGATAGATCTCGAGGAGCTATGCGTGTCAAAATGCTGCCTCCACGCGTAACAAAACAATTCCGCACAATAGCCCCGACTGACACTGTGCCCGAACCGGAGTGTACGGTCTGAGCCGATATGGACTGAGTGCTAGACTGATACCGACTATGAATACCAAGGCTGTCGAACAAGAACATCGGTGTATGGGGAAATTGTTCTAGGGGATCGACATGCCTAATGCGGATCTTAAGGATGCAATTCCAGTAAGAAGAATCAAGACCGGGGGCTCGCACAAGTCAGAAGTAGAGCAAGACGCTTAGCGCAATTGCTAAGTTCCAAACTCAGTAGCAAAGCAAGTCTACAGATTGCAAATATTGTACATTCTTTTTGGGTGTTTGGCAGTTTTCATATCTGTATTCTCAGCTCTTTGGCAAAAAGGAAATTCAAGCATCTTACGAAAATGATGGGAGCGGCTATGGTCTGGAGTTTGTTTTGCCAGTGTGTCTGTGTTGCATAGGCAAAGCTACAATACGGGTAACTCTGCGGCACAAGTCTACAAACTCTGTATACACTGAACGCTAAGCGGAAACCATCACAAGGCTGAAGTGGTTTCGAGCCATCCCCCTCTTCCAACTTATGCTGCATGACTCTTGGGGGAGTTTGTGGCCTGTTTGGGCCTAGTGCCGTACACTGCGCGCTACGCCCACAGACGTCTATGACGGCATCTGCAGGGACAGGGAAAAGCAATCGCACAATCTCCACATTTTGGTGTAAAGAACAACTCCATTTTCTACGCAACCACTTATGTCGTCTACATGGCTTGATGAGGCGCACATCTGCTGGTTTTTCAAGTCTGCTTCCAGGTTGCTTCTGGAATACTGCTCCCCGGAGTTGTCAAATCGGGATTGGCCCGCAGTAGGAGATCGAGCCTCATTCAGACTGGTTCCCCGTAGAAACTCGGCGATCGGCCAACCGCGTATACGGCTTCTGGACCGTGGTGGACGGAGAGAGGCGAGGGCACGAACATACTTGGGCCGTAGGCCTTGCTAAACTAGTCACTCGTATTACAAAGAGACGGAAGTCTGTCTCCCTGAACTACTACAGTTTTGGACATGTTCGATCAGCAGGCTCGGCTAACCCCGTATGTATTGAAACATTCCACGACGTATCCTCAGACGGCCAGGCTGTTTCCTTGCAGCGGCGATTGATTCTCTCTGCATGCGTCCGGCGTCTGTTGGGAGACGATCATTTCTTGTCGATAGGCTGGTTATCGATAGCCCTTTGGCCTAGAGCTGGTGGCTGAAACAGCGGCATCGCACGGCAGCCGGCGCCCGTAAAGACCCCTGTTGCTAGAGGCGCTATCAGCCGCGCGGTGATCTGTCCGCTCGAAAATGGTTCCTCGTCAACGACAAGCGTGAAAACAGTGTGCCGCACAGGGTCGGTGATTCGTCATACTGCTTGATGAGGGTCATGTCGGTCTTTTCCGAGCTCCACCCAAAATCTTGGAAAGCAACATGTTGTTCTTAGGAGATGGGGGCAAACGCTCGAAATACCCTCGTCTGACTCTGCTTGAGGGAGATGCGGCTAAGACACCGTCAGCGGGCGTGACGGTATTGGTGTGCTGCTGCGGCGGGACGGGGCGGATGGGATACGGAGGCATCCTTTTACACACACGTTCAGATGACTAGCAGTCTGGTCGTTCAAGGCACAGGGCAAACCCCTTGTGACTAAGTGAGTAGTTTTTGTACCTACATTAGCGTCAGGCACACATTTCCCACTTCGTGGGGCGCCGGCGCTGTTGACTGTCAGCTGGCCCGCACGTCAGAGCCCAGCAGAGGCCACACTGCAACCCCCTCCTGATTCTCCTCGGGAGATGCGGGGCGGAAAGTTAGGCGCCTCCGGGAATTTGGTCTGGATGTTGGCAAAGGGCTGCCCTGGCCTCGCGGAAAGCATTCATAAGAGCTTGCTGTCCCCGGTGTCTGTTGCATCTCCAGCTCAAGTCAGCACATTCACTCTTTCTTCAGTCGTTTGACAGTCACTCTTTCCTCATAGCCCGGTGCTATCCACAACTCTTTACCTTCATATTCTTTACCCAAACGCACTTCTTACACAAAATTCTTCGAAAAAATTCTCCATCCAAAAACTACCATTATACCCATCATCATGTCCATGTCCAAGATCTTCCAGACCGGCGCCCTTTTGGCTGCTCTCATCTCTACCGCGGCCGCTCACACGGCTGTTAAGAAATTTGAGGCCGGAGGAAAGACCTATGACGGTTACTACCAGGGCTCCAAGGTTGACCCCGGTAACCAGTCGCCTGCATGGTGGACCAACCAGGGTTGGGGATACCAACCCATCTACGGTGACCAAATCAACCACCCCGACATCATCGCCCACAAGGACGCCTCTCCTTCACCCTACACTGCCGAAGCCCCAGCCGGTTCCGACGTGACCTTCCACTGGCACCACGAGGGCAACTGCGGCTCCGATGAACAAGGCTGGGACTGCTCGCACCACGGCTGGACAGCCACCTACCTCGCCGCCTGCAACGGCGACTGCGCCAAGGTCGACAAGACCGCCCTGTCCTTTTTCAAGATTCATCAGAATGCCCTCGTCGACTACCGTAAAGGTCGCTACTCCCAAGGCCAGCCCAAGGAGCAATCCGGCTTCTGGGGCACTGACGACATCTTCTACAACAATGGCAACACACAGACCGTCACCATCCCCTCTGAAATCCCCAGTGGAAACTACGTTCTCAGGACCGAGGTCATGTCTGTGCACAACAACGGCCCCGTCAAGAACCGCCAGTTTTGGCCCCAGGCTTTCAACATCAAGGTCACTGGTGGTGACAACAGCAAGCAGGTCCCCGCAGGCAAGAAGGGCACTCAGCTGTACAACGCCAATGACGATCTGCTTCAGTGGGACCTTTACTGGCACCCGGCTGAGAAGACTATCCAAGCTGTTCCTGGTGTTCAACTCGCCGCTGTTGCTGCTTCTGCACAGAAGAAGCGCGATCACCCTAGGGACTTCTCTTCCTAGAGGCTTTCTTCCTTTTTTTGCCTCTTAGGAACTTGTTCCCTAGACACTTCTTCTTCGTCCTACCTTTTTCATCCTTCGTTCTTTCTTTCACATTCTTAGGGCACATTAGACGCATGCTACGGGGGATTCAGCTGCGCAGATAAAAAGGTGTATATGGGTCATTCGGACCTCTGGTACCACCACTTCACTTCTTGTTCTTCTTTTTTTTCTTGGGTGGACTGGTTTCCTCACAAACATGACTATCACTTTCTTTGATCTGAGCATTTATGAACCATGGCTCATAGCTTTCTTGAGCGATTGTTTTTTTTTGGCGGAGGGCAGATAGCAGGAATCAAATCTACGGATTCGTTCAATCATCTGATACACCTTTGCACTATGAGACGTGTATGTGATTCCACGGAGGAACTATCTACGTCAAAGTGATTTGTGTTGTACAACATGGAGAGAGTATTGGGATCACATCATCCCAAATGATTCCCATATCCTCAAGATCGACTAAGCAGTACGCAGACTCCGCAACAATCAATCGATCGACATGATTGATTCCTATATAGGTTAAAGAGTTACTTTATTAGGCAGCCTTTAACCTAGATAGGAATCAATCATGCCGATCCGATTGATTGTTGCGGAGTCTGGCAGTACGCGATCTCGACGCCTCCCAATATCCCCCGTACTAACTCTAGCTACTCCTATTCCTATTTGTTCCTCCTGCCCCCTCGAGTCCTTCTTCTCTGCCCGTTCTCTCTTCTCTCCTCTTTTCTCCACTTTTTAATCCGGTAGAGCATCGCTTCTTCCTGTAAGGCTTGTTCTAACAAGGCATCCACGCTGAGTCCTCCGTCTGTTATATCGCTTTCGGAGGTTTGTGGCGATGAACTGATAGGTTCTAGTGTCTTTTCCTATGAGAATTCAGCCAACGCCTTGTTCAGTCCTTTGCTCTCTACAGCCTAAAGGAAGATCAACTGTTCCGGCTGTCTCTGCAGCTAACCCCCCGATGACTTTCACTCGGGCCTCTAAGTCAGCGTACTCTTTCTGCCTACGCTTCTGTGCCAGCTCTTCGAACTTGCTATGCTCTTCTGGCACTCGACGCTTCCTCGGCTCCGTTCCCTTCTTCTCGCCAGCTGTTATCACACTAGCAGCGAAGCTTCTGTACTGTGGATAGCACAGTCCGCAACAATCAATTAAGTGGGTCCTAGAAGGTTCAGATTGGATTGATTGATTACCGCTTTAAGCCTAGTAGTTACCTATAGGAGTTTAAGCCCTACCTAGATAGGTAAGTGGGTCTAGGAGAGTGACCGGATTGAATTGATTGTTGCGGAGTCTAGTGGATAGTCGCATGCAATGAACATAAGGTCTCCTGGTGTCGGGCGCACTTGGATATTTGGTTGCACGACCATTTGCAGGCCGTGGCGGCGTTGGAAGGAATGAGATAGCCACAACCTTGGGCACAGTTGTCCTTGATGATTCCTAGTCTTGCAGTGATTGCAGTCGTACTGAAACGAGCCATCGCCTTTCAAGTGTGACATTCCATACGATCGAAGAGTTCTGCCACAGTGTAGGCAAAGGGTGTCGGTAGACCGCATGCCAGTGCCAGGAATAAGATCGATCTGGTCAACAACTCTCCCGGCCCAACTGGCCGTAAATATCGCGTGACGTGGTATGCCAACTTGTTCACTTTCATTGTACAACTATTGTGCTTGGTAGTCGGAGCCCCAGAAAGTGGAACAGTAGCGCTATGTTGAACAGTTTTACCGGGAGTGTGCTCAACGAAGTTATATCGGCTGCAAGTACCTTCAGGTATTTTGATAAGGCTGTGATCCCGGAAAATACTCTTGGTGGTACTACAAGGCGCTTTTGGTGCGTCGGGGGGTGGTTGGTTACCCTAGATGGTTAAGCGGCCTCTACAGGCATACCTTTGCCTTACTAAGGTGATTTGATTCATGAATATTGAAGAAAAAGAACTCATTAGTGCGCCGTCCATTAATGGATACGCCGTTCTATTTCTATTAACATACGTTAAACAGGCACCGATAGCTACACAAGTAAACATTCCGCTGTCAAAATACAACAGTATCATCTATACAGTCACAGCCATCCATAGCTGCGGTACGCTGATCGAGATCAACGAAATCGGCAGAGGCGAGAGATTGCTGTGAATCAGCAATAACAGACTAGCTTACTTACTTATCTTAATAAGTGTTTTAGCAAGAAACAGACGCAGTAGTAGCATTATAAAAGTAGAGCACTAACTAGAATGTTAGCATTTTAGAGAACGAAATTCGAAAGACAAAGCTCTTAAAACACCTTTCTTATAGCGCATGCGTATTCTCCGCGGCATCTTAAGCCTACTCATGACATCTAACCCAGCATCCATGAATCCGCCAGCTCACATAATCATTATCGTGAATATAAACCAACTCACAAGTGACATACACCTAGCATCCCTATACCCATCACAAAAGCGATGCCTAAATTACAATCAGAAGACTTCAACACTCACTTTGCCTCGCCTTCACCTACTTGCGTACTTACTTTGTCTACCTACATACAACCTTTCCAGACGAAAAAAAAAACGAAAATCGGAAATCAGCAAAAAAGAACCATCTGAGGCCTTCATATTTTCAAAAAGATAGCAATTAGGGCCGAACCGGAGTCGAACCGGTGGCTTCGGGAACGGAGCACGTGGGTTTGCTGCAGTCCTACACTCTACCACTGAGTTACCGGCCCTGTTGTTATTGTTTGATGGAATAATTTCAGTCTAGATGCAATATGTTGTTGAAAAATATGATAAAGAGATGCGAAAAGATCGGTAGGTAGGTAGGAGGTAAGGCGGTAAGACGTGGGCTGATGCCCGTGGGGATACGTGGCAGGAACGAGGTAGGAAGAGGGGCTGCGGGGCTAGGATGACGTGAGGGGCAGGCACGCATCAGTCCCAGAACACGATTGAGCAATGAAGGAAGTGACGGACGAACGCAGATTTTCAAACACACAATAGTTTCTCAATGGTATTATGTTTGGAAAAAGAAAGCATCGCTAAGAACTCAGTTGGGTATCTTCTACTACGATTACTATTCCTGCTGCTCCCCCTCGCTAAAACTCCAGCTCCTCAACCTCCATCCCACACTCCTCACATCTTTTCTTGGTCATACCCGTCTCAGGATCCAACACGCTTCTCCCCCACTCATGCTCATGTCTATCGTACCTCCCCTTAATCTTCTGTCCAAACTCTGCGCCTGCGCCGCCGTCGCCAGCCAGCCTCGCTCGTCTATACGCCTCGACTCGTGTCCTCTTCTTCAAGTCCTCTAGTTTATTCTTGAACTTCTTCTGTTTGCGCTCTTTGCTGACGACCTGCCTTTTCGCATACTCTTCATCGAGAGCTTCGGCGGAGCCCCACTTCGCGTCGCTGAAGGCGTAGGCTTCGACTTGGAGACGGAGGAAGAGCTGCATGGGGTGGAAGAATTGTTTGTGTGGGTTGGGCCGCTCGAGATGGGGGAGAAGCTCTTCATCTTTTAGTTCAGGGTCGGTGAGCAGGTAGTCGTCTCTCGCCTCGGTCTTTGTGAGGAGTGAGTATTTGTCTGGGAGCTTTTCTTTGCAGATGTTGCAGACGCCAATGCCGAACACGTCTTGCCATTTCCAGTCGATCTCTAGACTGGTGCATTCGCGGCATTTGCCTTTAACGTCACGCTTGCCGTCGCCGTATTTGCCCTTGAAGGTGCCGAGCTCGATCTCGACGTTCTCAGCGGCTTCTAAAAGTGCGGCTTCTTCGTCTTCCTCTTCTTTACCGTTGACAGTATTGAGAATGGAGATTCCCGGCTCAAAGGGTCCAGCCCTGTTGGCACGTAGCTTGCGCCTTATACGTTCTCGCTCCCACTCAGCCATTGTCATGCCTTCCGGCTTCTGCTCTTCCTTTGCCTGCCCCTTCCGCATGGCCTTGTTGTGTGGATCATCTACTGTGCTCAGGAAACCACCCTTTGTGTCTGTCATCTTACTGAAATCATATTCGATGAAATCAGACCTCGCATACTTCTTCGCGGGTTGTATGTAGTCGTTCGAGGGTGGCTGTATGAAGCCATTCTGGTCGGGCTTTGCAGGCGAGGCCGCTGCAGCATTTCGGAGGGTTGCTGGTGTCTGTGAGGCGGTAATGGACGAGTATGCGCGCTTTGTGCCTGCGGTCGGCGCTGGCGAGGGTTTCGATTGGACCTGTTGGGCAGCGGCTTTGGCCTTCAGGCGAGCATCTTCCATGCGCCTAATCTGCTCTGGGGTGGGAGGGTTTGCCGGGAGTTTCCCCGCTGAGCGCGTCGCTCGGGGTGGCGTTTTTGGTCGTTCAGACATGCTGGGTGGAGACCCAGTTTGTAGACGTGAAGATTACTATATGTAAAATTTGCCCTTGGGAATCTACCAAAGAGCTAGTGTGGAGGGTTGCACACAGAGTGGCGACTGTCGTTGGTGTTGGATGAGTGAAAGACATTAGGCATCTGCGACCGGGACCCTGGTTCCTGAGCGATGATGTGCGCCAAGAGATCCCGCGATCTACCCATCCGATTCGCGTCTGAAATCATTATCGCTATCCACATAGTATTTGCATAAAGTTACGATGATGACATTGTAAAAACATGCTTGGAAAAAAGGGCGGCTTACAGAGCACTCACCGCAGCGCCCTTGCCAATTTGCTATGACTCTTATGTGTAGCTGTGGCCACAATGCAACGGATGATCAACCATGGCTACTGCGCAGTGCTAACTCAAGACAAAGTACAGATAGATTCTAAAAAAAACTATATCTCTCAAAAACACAAATCCACTACAATCCCATCATCGGCTGGTATCATGTCAAACGCGAGCACACGTGCGCACGTGGCCAGCACCGAGGCGACACCGCAGTCGTTGATCCCTGCTGTCGATCTCGATCTCGAAATTCGTCAAACCTCAACACCAGAAGACAGTGACAACGACAGCGACGCATCCACCGGTTTTACGACCAAGAAAACCCGCAAACAGCTTCGCAAGCAAAAGGCAAAAGACAAGCGAGCGCAGGCTCTGAACGACCTTTCTGCAGCCGTCTCCCAACTCGCTATTTCCCTGCAAGACACCAACGGAATCCCAATTGAGACCCACCAATCGACATTCCCTCAAAGCCGCAAGGAAAAACGCAAGCAGAAGAAAACTAAGCACGACTCCGCACTCCCCACCCCCAGCGGGACGGATAGCGAAACCCCACCAACACCCCCGCGCAAAACACCACCCAACAACGCCTCGCAAAAGGCAAATCCCAATCCCTCATCCAGTGCACTCGCCATGGCGAAACCCGCCCTTCAAAAAAGCTACCCCCTCCTCGTAGCCTCCATCGGAAACCCAGGCGCTACCTACTCCAACACGCTCCACTCCGCCGGCCACATTGTAACCTCCGCCCTCTCAACCGCAAAGTCCTACGCGCCCTTCACAAAAGGTCTCTCAGGCCAAGTCTCGCGCCCGCCACCCACCCACCTTGCCTTCAGCTTCACAGGCTTCCGTCATGTCCCCACCGAGCACGACGCCACTCAAGACTGGACATTCTGGCAATCCACGTCCCTGATGAATGTTAGCGGGACCGGGGTGAAGAAGGCGTACAACGAGTGGTTACGGGGAATACGGCAGGCGTCTGGGTCTAATACGTTGGAGGGGCGGTTGGTGGTTGTGCACGACGAGTTGGAGTCTGCACTAGGGAAGATTACGATTCGTGATGGGGGTGTGAGTGCAAAGGGACATAATGGGATTAAAAGCTGCCAGCAGCAGCTTGGGGGGATCAAGTGGTGGCGTGTTGGTGTTGGGATAGGAAGGCCTGAAAGTAGGGATCCGAATGTTGTTAGTAAGTATGTGTTGGGAAAGATGACATCTTTCCAACGGGGTGCGTTGGAGAAGTGTACGGTGCCGGTGTATAAGGCCTTGGAAGAGATTGCGGAAGGGAAGCGGTAGATGAGGATTAGAGGTGTATACCCTGCATAGCAATTTCTGTTGGCATTTTCAAGGGCGTTTGGGATGATACCCCACGAGGCATCAAGAGCGTAGCAATGTATGAATATGAATTGGATCTACTGTAAACAAAAGCATGTCTAGGTATCGTGCAAGCCCTAAACTGGATATTCGTGAAACAAGCCTGACTCCTGTTCAGCAATGCAATACCCACTTGCAATCGAAACACCCAACCCCAGTGAATCGGATACAATAAACAACAGCTGCCGATCAACGAATTAGGCAACCGCAGCGTGATTCTTTCTTTCCTTCTTCTTGTTTGCAAGTCGGAGTTTTGCCAGCTCTCGGCGATCGGCTGCTGTTAATTTACTCCCATCCCTCTTCACTTCTGCAGATCTTTCTGTATGGTGGGCGGTGACTTTAGTGAGTTCGAACTTGGGGTCAGTGGGAGCGTGGTAGGATGTGACGTTATTTGTCTTCCGTGGTTCAACTTTTGGTGCAGTGGGATTGTGTTTCGCATCCTTTGTGGAGATAATCGAGGTTGCTCCGAGTTCTGTAGCATGAATAGCTTTCTCAATTGTGTGTTCCCTGCGCCTCGGTGGATCTGCTTTCTTTTCGCTCTTCGTCTCCGTCTGTTTGGCCTGCGATACTGACTTGGACACCCCACTCTGGCGAGGCGGTGGATTCCACTCAGGTCTAGTGTAGGGTTGGCCAATAGAGATGGGCATCGCCATCTTGTCCATTTGCGGTATCGAGCGGTCGTTCAAGTCCATCCATGGGTCAAGACCAGGCGATGGCATAGGCAGAGGACTCGATGGAGGCATCTCGGCTGGTGGTTTGGGCACATTATTCTCCTTGGTTGGCTCATGTCTGCGGATCTTCAAGGGCGATTTGGGTACCTGCTCTTGTTGAGTGGATGTTGGAGCTTTGTCCAGGGTAGCATCAGAGGGTTGCTGAGGTGCATACGGCGACTTGCCAAGAAGGATAGAAGCTTCACCCTCTCCAGTCCCAAGCCTGGATGGGAGAGTCGGTCGATTTAGCGTGTCAGGCATAGTACCACGGCGTTGGCGACGAAGTCTTGGCGATTTGTTCTCTTTGGTAGATGAAGCCATACTGTATGACATGTCGGGATCGAGGTCCAAGCCATGCGGAGCGGATCGTGGATGATCTTTAGTGCCATCTTCATAAATGTCAAATGGAACTTTATTTTTTGGAAGGTCGGAAGAAGGCTGAGAGGCTGAAGCTTCCAAGACGGCCACTCGTGCCTTTAGTGTTGCTATTTCGATGCTTGACGACCCGCTCGCCGCCATAGCTTGGCGGAGTCGTTCCTGGAGGTCCTTGTTCTGCTGTTCCAGATCCTTCTCTCGCTGCCTGTGCCGCTTGCGCTCTTGCTCGAGTTTGTTCGCTAGCTCTGTGACTTCGCCATCCTTCTTCATGGCAAACTTCTTGGCCAGCTGTTGCTTCGCGATAACTTTCTTCATCTCCTTTTCGCTCTTGTCTGCATAGCTCTCGTACTGCTCCTTCCAGTATTTGCCAGACTCGGACCGTGGCGCTCCCAGATCTATTGTGATGTCGCTATCGTCCCTCGCCTTGGGCTTCTGTCCTGATTTGTGCTGTATTGTTGTTCGTGCGTCAAGAAGGGCCTCGGTAAGCCTGGTGCGTGGTCGTTTTTCACTTTCGGCGTCTAGCTTCAATTGCGTACCAGGTGTCCACGGACTGGGAAACTTGCCAGGGCAGTCGTTGGGTATACCGGTCTTGCCAACGTTGCCGCGCTTGCCTTCATTGTCCACCACCTGCGAGCCGAACGACACCTGCTTTCTTCCTTTGCTGGCTGTGCCTGGTGTCATGAGGATACCCCCTGGCTGTTTCGATGGGGATATAGGCGGACCATTCTCTCTTGGCGCGGGCAACTCAAAAGCTTTTGCGTTGGCCGCGTCCACCCTTGCTTTTCTTTCGCTTTTCTTTACGGTGTCCTTGGTGTCTTCTGGGGCAGGCGTTCCGAATATGGCATGCTTGAAGGCCTTGACGGCAAATTGGTGGGCCGGAGTCTCTGGCGGCTCGATGAAGGTCGACTCGTAGTTGTTTTCTGGCGGCGTTAGCAAGCCTTTGTTGGCGCGCACTTGGATGCGACGTACCAGGCTGGAGGTCTTCGATGACATTGGTGATGCGCGGTCCCGTGATCCACGAAAACATGGCGACGTATTTTTCTTGGACGTCGGACCAACTCGGAGTTGTGGTGGAGATGCTGGAGACTGTGGGTGGCCTCGGTTGCGACGAGGGGATATAGTCGCGGCTTTGTTTGGCCTATTGTTTACCCGCTGAAAACGAGGGCTGCACTGCAAGCTGCATCGGCCACTGTCAACCACGTCGGATGCTGGCAGTGAGTCGTATTACTTGCAAACACGATGCGACTGGGTCTAGTGTGTTTACCAGAGAAGGGAAGGCGTGGTGGTGCATGTGTTTGTTGTGCGCGCAGGAGCTGAGGCATGAGGAAGTCGCGTCCAGCGGCTCGTCCTTGCAGGGATGGCGCGGGAGCGGTCCCATAGCAGCGGGGCTCGCCAACATATCATCGCCCCCACCGACCGCTACTTTCGTACATGCGCTGGCCAGCAGGTTTCCACATATCGTCACATCTATTCTTTCACCCTTTTTTTACCAGTCGGAATGTCTGCAGTGTGAAGGGCAGCGGCTACGGCTGCTACTCTCCGTCAATACTTACCATATATGACGGCCTATTCAACAATCCACAACTAGCCCACTATGGCACCGCATAAAACACCAAAGAACAAGAAACATACGCCAAATGCATGCACGCCGACAGGAATCGATGGCATGGATGCGACAAGTCCACTCGGGGAGTCACCGCCCGTGCGGCCTCCTCTCTTCTCGCAACCCTCCGAAACCTATGAAAAGGCACAGGAAGATGAGCGCGAAGTTCTGAAGGCTGTTTTCATGGACGACTATGTGGAATCAGAAGCCAGAGGAGCCTGGAGTGTAAGTTGGTCTTTGTACATATTTGGTTGTCTTGTCGCAGTACAAGATGAGCATCGCTTCATGTCACTCCATACCATGAAATCAAATGTTTCAACTTCGATCCAGCGTAAGGCTGACTAGATTCAGAAAACCACCGATCGAGTGCTGCGTGTGAAGCTCACGTCACTCTCTAATGACAAGATTTTTGTCACATTATGCGCCAAGATCACGGCTACTTACCCAAAATCGCTGCCCACTCTCACTCTGGAAGATTGTAGTAGCTTGAGGAAGAACACTTGGGACAAGCTCTATGATCTACTCAAGACCCGTCCACAGGAACTGGTTGGAGAAGTCATGATCTACGACATAGCATCCGCTATCCAGGAAATACTCGAAGACGAAATAGCCGTGCGCGAAACTGACGGTACCTACGAGAATCTGGATGCTGAACGGGCTGTCCAAGAAGCTGCGGCAGCCGAGCAACTCAGGCAGCAAGAGGAGGAATTGCAGAGGAAGCGAGACGAACAAAAGGCCGAGAAAGAGCGTCTGCTCCAGCAACAAGTCGGCGACGAGATGCGGCGGAATGACTTGATGGCGAAGCGTAAGAGGAACCGCGTATCCGCAAGTACTCCACCATCATACTTCCCCAGTGGAGACAATGTCAACTACATCTCATTCGATAGAGCGGTCATCGTCCAGCACGAAGACACGACAGTTCAATTCAGCGCTGTTGAAAACCCACTCCCGTTCCGTTCTGGGCCTCTAACGGAACAACTACTAGTGAAACCGGCAGGGAGCGACGCCACACTGATATTGGTACTGAAGCGTGCTCGGGTAGGTGGCGGAAACGCAGCTGATGATCCCCAACTGAAGAAAGCAATCATGGGTTTTGAAGACGAGATGGAGGACCTGAAGCGATTACGGCAGAGCGCTATCATGACAGTCCTCGACTTCAAAGTGGAGCACTTACCCGACTCTGGATGGGAAATCAGCATTCTCATGGAGCATGCAAACAAAGGTTCGCTAGGTGAGCTACTTGGCCGATGACGGACCATTCCCGGTTGCAAGAGTACGATCTTGGACCATCGAGCTGTTGGAGGCACTGGAATTCTATCATCAGAACGGTGCAGTGCACAAGCGCGTCCACCCTCACAACATATTACTCAAAAGGATCCCCGGTGGTGGTATCACAGTACATCTGACCGATGCGAGTTTCCAACAGTCTCTGTACCGTCTACAAGGTCTTTATAAGGATGAGCAGTCTACACCGCCTTCACGATCAGCTTACTGGATAGCTCCTGAGCTTACGCAAGACGATCGTCATACTCGTAAGACAGATGTATGGGACATGGGCGTTGTCTTCCTCCAGATGCTGTTTGGAATCGATGCTCCCGAGAAGTACCACTCGCCAAAAGAGTTGTCTGACACACTAGGTTGCTCTGAACCATTGCAGGAAGTCATGCGCAAGTTTTTCAAACCTGACCCCAAGAAAAGGTCTTCCGCTTTTGATCTCATCCCTTGCGAGTTCTTGCGCGATGACGTGGATGTGTATGAGCGATCTCCCACCCCTGCTCGGTCAAGGAATTCCTCAACATCAATGGGTAGGTATAGATTACGACGTGAGTCTTCTGCTGGTGTTGTCCCTTCGTACTCGCGTTATGCGAATGATTGGGTCGAACAGGGCCGGTTAGGCAAGGGTGGTTACGGTGAAGTCGTCAAGGCCCGAAACAAAGTCGATGGCCGTCTCTATGCGATCAAGAAGATTAAACAGAAGTCAGCAGCCGCACTGAGCGAGGTTCTCTCAGAGGTCATGCTTCTTTCGCGGCTCAATCACAGCTACGTGGTGCGTTATTACATCGCTTGGCTGGAAGCTGATGCGGATGATGACGACTCAGCAAGCTCAGATGAAGATGATTCCGACTCAGACTCAGACTCAGGTTCAGACATTTCCCCGGGAACGACCACAACCGATGGCAACGGCTACAACAGGAGCGCTGGTGGCCTAGACTTCATCAGTTCCAGTGAATATCCAAAAATCGAGTTTGGGTCGGGTTCAGAATCTGATAATGGTGACGATGGTGCCGTCGTTTTTGGATCCGACTCGGGTAAATATCACACAATCAAAACCTAACAAGCACGTACTAACACGCAAACAGAAGACGAATCAGGAACCCCTAGTGCTGGACCACATTCACCCGCGGTCAAGAAACGCACCATGTCCGACTCGAATCCGGCAAGAACATCCAAGTCAATCCTGTACATCCAGATGGAGTTCTGCGAGAAGCAGACCCTTCGCGATCTCATCCGTAACGGTTTATATGATGACCCTGACGAACACTGGAGACTGTTTCGCCAAATCTTGGAAGGCCTTTCTCACATTCATGGGCATGGAATCATTCATCGCGATTTAAAACCTGACAACGTTTTCATTGATATGGCTAAGATCCCCAAAATTGGCGATTTTGGACTGGCCACTATCGGACAGTATCAGAGGCCTGACACAAAGTCTTCCAATGGTGCCCAAGATGGTAGCGACATGACACGTAGCGTCGGGACCGCGCTTTATGTGGCTCCTGAGATAAGCTCCAGCACAACTGGTGACTACAACACCAAGGTCGATATGTACTCCATGGGCATCATCTTCTTCGAGATGTGTTTCCCTTTGAAAACAGCTATGGAAAGAGACAAGGTGATTCGATCATTGCGAGAGCGGAAACATGTTCTCCCTTCTGAGTTCGAGGCCCCTGAAAAGTCTCTCCAAGGAAGCATCATCATGGACCTTATCAGCCATCGACCATCAGAACGACCTGGATGCACGGAGCTTCTAAGAAGTGGAAAAGTACCCGCCCAAATGGGAGACGAGGCCGTCAAGGAGGTCCTCAAAGCGCTCTCTGACCGCAATTCTCCAAACTACGCCAATATGATGGCCGCGCTATTCTCACAAAAGCCTAATACACAAGCGAAAGATCATGCTTGGGATCTAAGTGCAACAACGCAGGTCCCCAAGGCCAATGATGTCCTCCTACAGAATCTCGTCAGAGATAGGTTAGCAATGATCTTCCGCGGCCATGGTGCTGTCGAGATACAACGCCAGGTGATATTGCCCTGGTCAGATCACTATGCAAACAGCAATGTCGTGAAACTCTTCGACCCTTCCGGTACACTCGTTCAGCTTCCATACGATCTGACATTGCCCTATGCGCGAAGCATTGGCCGCGGTGGCGCTTTCCTCGAAAAAACCTTCACAATCGGTCAAGTTTACCGTGAGAACTACGCCGGAAGTGCTCCACGCAGCAATGGAGAGGCTGACTTTGACATTCTTTCATACGATACGCTCGACCTGCCTCTGAAGGAAGCAGAGGTTCTAAAGGTCGTAGACGAGATCATTGATGAATTTCCTTCGTTCCGATCGACACAGATGTGCTTTCACATCAATCATGCTGATCTGCTGGACATGATCATGGAGTTTTGCAGGATTAAAGCACCCAAACGCGCGGCGGTCAAGGCCGTGCTTAGCAAGTTGAACATTGGGAAGAACAACTGGCAGTCCATTCGCAATGATTTGCGCTCTTCGGATATTGGAATTCCGACTACATCGCTGGACGATCTGGCACGATTTGATTGGCGTGACACGCCTGAGAAGGCATTTGCAAAGCTACAACGACTCTTTGAAGGGACGAAGTACCTCGACCGAACACATGCCATATTTGCATACCTCACCTCTGTTGTCGACTATATGAAGCTATGGAATGTAAAACGCAAGGTCTATATAAGCGTACTCAGCAGCTTCAATGAGAGGTACTACTCGGGCGGCATACTATTCCAATGTTTATTCGACACCAAGCAGCGAGAGGTGCTTGCTGCAGGTGGACGGTATGACAAGTTGATCGAAGAATACAGACCGCGGGGTCCGAGTCATGCTCACCCACCAGCCGCATATCATGCTGTTGGAGTCAATCTGGGCTGGGACAGACTTGTTGCCTCAATGAGCCGATACATCAAGAAACCCGAGAAGTCAAACTTCGTGCGAAAACACACTGAGGAAGATACACCCTCAATCTCTTGGATGCCACGTCGCTGTGATTGCCTCGTCGCCAGTTTCGACCCCAGCGTCCTTCGCTCCACAGGTGTCAAAATGGTCGCAGACCTAATTTCACACGGCTACACAGCCGAGCTCGCCGTCGACGCCCGCAACACCGAAGAGCTCTTGCGCCACTACCGTGACGACAGGCACAGCTGGGTCATTGTCATAAAACAGGGCGTCGGGCCCGACAAGCCCGAGCTCAAAGTCAAATCCATTTCCAAAAAGGAAGACACAGACATGCGCTCCGCCGAGCTACTCAACTACCTCCGCAACGAATTCCGTGACCGCGAGGAGCGAGAAGAAACCGCTGCCCGCCTCATCAAAGCAATAACCCAACCCACAAACACAGCAAACACGCCGAAATCTTCCGTCGACGTCCTCATCGCACAGCACCGCTCAAAGAAGTCAAACAAATGGTCCATTGTCGAAGCCGCACAGTCTCGTTCTGCGGAGCTCTTGTCTGCCTTCCAGTCCGCGCCTATCGCTGCGATCGAGTCAAAGGAAGAAGTCATGACCCTCATCAAGGAAACACGACTTAGTGATCAGGAATCTTGGCGCTCTTTTATCCAAAGGATGCCACTTGCGGAGCGTAAATATCTCCAGGAGTTGCATGATTTGCTGCTGGGGTATCGGAGTAAATGGTTGGAAAGTAAAGGGTTAGAAGGCGGTGGGGAGGGCGCTGTGGGCAAGGCTTTTGTGTATAATTTCAGGACTGGTGGGTGTTTGCTGTATGATCTGGAAAGTTAAAAATGGGCAGGTTGGCAAGATTCAGGATGCTGGCACGTCGTCGAGCGTGTTCCGGCATGGGAAGCTGAGGCAAATATGAAAAAGCTCGGTAGAGCTCGTCAAAAACAGATAATCGATGATTCTTCAGTTTAGTACCAAACGATGCGCACCATAGTATTGAGAAGATAAAGAATCTCCGCGCGCACACGAATACCTCCATCTCCAATACCTCCCACAGCCAACATGGGCATGGGAAGCTGCGAGCTTAGGATATTGTCCGCGTAGCCGCGTTTCTACGCTGAAGTATGTAGCAAAGTAATTGGGTGTTCATCAAATCAAATACCAGCGACTATTTCTTCACTAATCTTGCCTTGTACCAACAGCACAATGAGGTCATTAAACTCAATATTGTGTCTACGGGTATCATAATCGAAAAGAACCATACATAGGAAAAGCATCCCACCCCCATCACCCATGCTTCTGCAATGGCATCTCATCCCCAAACGCGCCCGGCGTCAATGGCGCCTCATGACTACACTGCAAGCTCGTCCCTACACACATATTACTCGCCTCGGCAAATTCCTTGTCCTGCTGCACAACATTGACACAAATATCCATCCTACGCTGAATCCCCCTCTCCAAATGGTCCTCGCTCCCAATCTGGGCGAGCCCCGTGCCAGTTGACTGACGTTTCGCACGACTGACACTGCTAGTGAAGATTACAGATTCGCGTTTCTGGCTGGGTGTAGTAGCGGACAGCGAGTGCGAGTTGGGATAGCTGTGGCTGGGGAAAGGTTCGGTGTCCATGTCGTTTTGGGGTCTACCTCTTGCGAGGCGCACGACGAGCGAGGCCATTGACATTTCAATGTTGAGTTTGATCATGTAGACAACGGGGTGAAATTGTATGTAAACGACCTGGTTGGGGAGGAACATCAAACCGATCAGTAGGGCGTCCATGGCGATTGACAAAACCATGAGTTTGCCGTTGAAGCCGACGAGGGGCGCATATTTTGTGAGACCGTGTCGTTGTACTAAGCGCAGTTTGACGGTGCGGAGGAAGTAGTAATTTAGGCCTGCGTCGACGGCGAGGATGATGACTTTTGAGATTTTGTCCCACACGGCGTTTATGGTGACGAAGGTTTTGCTGACGGGGGGCACGGTGTGCGAGGGGATCCAGATGCAGAAGACGGCGATGTTGATGGTGGTGATGATGAGGACAGTGCCCCATTTGAGCTTAAAGATTGTGCTGCGGTGTTCGGCGATGAGGGCGATGCGGTTGATGATAATTTGCATGAGAAGTTGAATTTCAAAGACCCAAAAGAAGAGGATAGCGAAGAGAACGGGTACACTGCAGATGCGCATGTTAGGAAGATCGGACAGTCAGGGTTGAGGTACTAACCTAGGCCCAAGTTTGCCGTTGAGGAATAACCACCCAATAACGCCAATGATGAAGTTGACTAAAATCTCTCCCCATATCATGTAGATATAGGCCGACCGTAATGGGCTATGGTTCCGCCGTGTCTGCTTGACAGCCTCCCATACCGTCAGAAACCCAAAGCCGAGCGTAAAACCTGCAGCGAGTGCCGCAAGTTGATAGTCCTCAATGGTAGTCGACATGATGTTGGATGGGCTGGACCGATCTTAAACGAGTGGAAGTTCGGCCAGTTACTCCCCAAGTACATGATTTAGGGAGTTCAAAGTAACAGTATATCGTTTTCAACCCCGGAAAGGAGACAAGACCGTGTCAGTGGGTCTATTGTAAAGTGCCAAGGCTCTAACATTGGCAAACAGACTGATCGTGGGGCGGTGTAGGATGGAATGTGATGTACCGTAGATCTTCCGCGGGATACACAGACTCGAGTAATGCTGGATACCTGTCAGGACCAATCTCCACGTGCGCGTACCTTGCAACAGCGAAAAAACGTATCTTGGAGGCTCTTGCATGCGTCTGTGCATAAGGTCGCTTAGAACCTTGCCTAGAACGGTATGAGGGGCATGCGTACTATGAACGGGCGCGGCATTGAGACTCTAGCCGATGTTGTCAACATCTGTCAAACTCTGTTGGCAGATCTACTATTGATATCAGACCGTGACTGTAGATCAAGGCCCGAGAACGAATGCCGCATGTCCAACCAAGGAGTGGCTTGCGATTTCTCAGTCTCACTCATCCATGGATTTCTATTCTCGAGCTGTCGAGCGCTGGACCGTAAGCCTCCCTAAACACGACTCACGAAGAACGTGGAGAATGTCATGGTGAGTAGTTCCGAGAACTGGAGTGTGACATCCGAGATCTGTTCCAAGGTTGATTCCTGCGGCCCCGCTGATCATCATTACCGATCTTCTGGGTCCCACATGTAAGCCCGTATACAAAGCTGTAACCTGGAACTTTCGAACCGCATATTGGGTTTTCATTCATGCATACGTACGTACAGTACACACGGCATGAGGCTCCACTTTTGGGGTCAATCGATAGGATTTAGGCACTGCCCTTGGTTAGAGATCACCTCCACGGACCTCGGGACGTTATCGTTGGTCTCTGATTACCTGCAACGGTTCCATGCATTAGGGCGAAAGGATGAAGTGTCATGCCCCACGTCAGGGCTAGTGCAGAGCCAGAAAGGAACGCGTCATGCTATTGTGTTTGAGCCAATCCATCTGGAGGCGAGTCGCTGTCTCTTCCGACGAACTTGGGCAGCCATTGTGGCTTCCGCGGGCACCCGTGGTGATGGCAATCGAAACGACCGAGGAAGATCCGCAATACCAGACACTGCCGTTATACTCACTTGGGATTAGATGTCTTACTGATTTGCAGGCTGTATGACTAGCCGACATCTGTCGGACGGGCAGTGTGTGAGAAAGTATACGATATACCAAATAAGATGGAGAGGTTTTCTGGTTAGTCGTGAATCACAGACGAAAGCGGCAACCATCATTCGAGACGAACGGATGCAACTGAATCAAAAGCTGGAAAATCTTCGGGCGGGCTTTCCATCCAATCGGTATGTCGGTGTCGGCGAGGTTCTTCAGTCTGACCGGAGGTGTTCGTGCAACACGGCTTGTAGGTAGCTCGTGCGCCAACGTTCTCGCTACCAACCGTGACATGAGCAGCTGGTTGACAGCGAAAGTATCGGTAAACCCCGCTATCCCGTTCGTAATAGGCGTATCTGGCGCCTGTGGTAGCTTCTATATACTAGGATGTCAAATGTTCTATGCCATCCAGGTGTGAGCCATATATTGAACGACGCAAACATGGGGGTCCATCTCGCCAATCTCTTGTACATATATCGCTGTAAGAGCTAGTGTAACAAAGCATGTATCAACCCGGATAATACGCGCCCGATCGTCAGGAAAGGAGGACCGGATTGGCCCGGTGACAGCCATGGGCCTGAAGACTCATGCTCATTGGAATACCCACAAAATAGTGATGAGTTCAAACTAGGCTCAGTCATGGATATGGTCAACTGATCATGTGTTGGCGGATTGGCATAGATGTATTGTGAAAATGAGAGCCCAGCCTAACGGGCATGGATGAACGGGGAATCACACTAGATACACTAGGAAGCCAATTGGCCATATGCGGAGTGAAAGCAGTACACACCTCGAACATAAGGTTTATATGACGTGCCTTCATTTCCCATTCTTATCCCCGCAAAGCTTCAGAAACACTTAGTCATTTGCGTCGATGCCAAACTCTTCCTGGACCTCCACAATTCTTACACCGCGCTGATCCGCAATGAGACCCATCAAGCCTTGACCTACGTCTTTCAATTCGTTGTATTCGTGTAGTAGCTTGATATGTTCCTTGACGATCCTGTTCGCCGCTGACATGATGTCGGCCTCTGTCGGATCGTCCGTACCGTTATCCGTCTCAGCATCCGAGGATGCCGTTTCTTCCATGAGTACTTGGATGGCTGGAAGAGCGCCTAAAGCAGCCAATAGTGCACCCTTCTGTGCTTTGAGCTCGGCGACGGTAACTTCCTGGGGCGTCTTCAGGGGTACCACGCTTGTAGACATCGGGTCAGGCTGTGCCGAGGAGTCGGATTGAGCTAGGGAAGCGGTTTGTACCGGGGGTGGGATGTCAAAATTTCCATCGGTAACTTCTTTCGGTGCCAACGTTTCTTCCGTTCTACAGTGTTCTTCCCCGTATTTCTCTCGCAAACTCTGATCTGAGTGAATTGAAGGGATCGCCTTTTGTGCGTACGTCGCTGACTCATCTGGTCCGGTAGTTGGCCAACAAGCATCGACCGCTCGCAAATCGCGAAATGTATTCTCCGAGTCCTCCACCTTACCGATTGTGGGGCATGAAGTGTGTCCTTGCATAGCTGTCACCGGAAGCGGACCAAGGTTGGTCAATTCTGAAGTTGCGCAATCAGAGAAGCCAGTGATGCTTGCTTGCGCTCTTGTGTCTGTTGACATTGTTGGCAGGGCTTGTATGGTATGAGTCTATTTCATGTGAGCAACTGGGCTTGCAAGATGAGTTGGTCTGGGACAGACTGCATCTTCGATTGAAATATCACTCAAGGCGTGGGCTGCAGCATGCTTGTCGTTCTCTGCTGGCTTTTGTTGCTCATTGCCCGTCACACTGAGTTGTTGAGTTACAGGCATCACTTCTCCTTGGTCTTCAAACAGGACAATTGTAGTTTCCTTGTCGGCTACGCGGTCAGCATCTTGTTGTTGCATATCGGTATTGCCAATATGGGTTGGGACATGCGCGCCGTCCTGCGCTCCAACATTAGTCTCCTCAACGATAGACGCGTCGTCTTTGAGCGAAGCATCATTTGGACTACGACCCAAGCACTTCGCATTGTCTGCAGTCGTATTGGCATTGCTTTCGACGCGTGTTTGGTGAGTGCAGTCGGCTGCTTGGCAGGCGTCTTGTCGCTCTTGGGATGGGACGAGCGCTATTGCGCAAAGCTTGTCTTGTGCAGCTTCATCTGAAACAACCATTGGCGAAGACGTCATCAGCTCATCCTCCGAGTCTGCGACCTCTGTGATGCCCTTCTCAATGGCCATGATGGTGGAAGGTAAAGTGACAATCTTGGAGTTGGTGTCGGAATTTATGGGGCCCGTCGGGGGCGAAAGCCAATTGCGGCAAGATCTGGTCACGTAATCAAATGATTGTGACGACGCATCCCATGAATAGGGCTACATACAACACCAACCGCTCCTATCGACCCACCTCACCTCCATGTGTCTTAGCACGCGACTCTGAAACCTAACAAGGCGGAGGTAAAAACCACATTTGTCACTGGTGGCGCCACTTTTACCAAAACAGATCATTGCTTGTGAGCAGGCGCGACATGGACTCCGTTACAAGAAGAGCGGCCCTTGTGGCGCTCCTCCTTTGCATCACAACAACCACGGCCCACGAACATCATATGGACAACATAAAACAAGGCAACGTCGTTTCCGACGACCCCATGGTGTGTTGCGCTCACGAATAGGCAAATGTGACCAAAGGCTAATCTTCGCCACAGGACTCAATTCTATGGATACACATTTTGATCCAGACGCTCGCATGGGGCCTCATCTTCCCCACGGGCATGGTATTGGGCGTACGGTGCCCTGAAAGCAAGACTGAGGTGGAAACAAGCTGACACGTGACTAGATAATACGATCGAAATGGCACGTCCCTGTACAAACGACCGGCTCACTCCTCGCAATCGTCGGATACTTCCTCGGACATAAGCACAAGGGCAGACAGTTCACCAAGAACATCCACGCGCAATTCGTTCCCTTCATCATGCTCATGTTGATTTCCCAGATTGCCATGGGCATCTACCTGAAGCTTCACCTCGAAAAGGGAATCAACGGCAAGATCCGGCGCATTGTCGTCAAGGCGCATGGCATTGTCGGCAAGGCCATGCCAGTAGTAACATGGGTGCAATTCCTCTTCGGAGGTATCACAGCCATGGGCTTCTGCCATGCCGACCACACTGGACAATGTTTGGCGCACTTCATCATGGGCAGCGCCTTCATCGCATATGGCATTATCCTTTTGATCCTGCTTCTGGTCGGACAAATGTGGTTGCGAAGGACCGGACGGAGCCAAGAGTTCTTCGACTCGCTCGTCATTGCTGCGTGGGGTTGCGTCAACACCTTTACCGAACACCGCTGGGGAGGACCTTGGGGGCACAATGACCTTCAGCACACATCCATGGGCATTGTATGGTGGGCGGCAGGTCTGGTTGGTGTCTGGCTCAGTCGAAAGAGAAACGGGCAGCCGAAGCGCAACCTCATCCCAGGCATCGTCATCCTCATGACTGGCTGGGCTATGTCAGCGCATCCCCAACATCTACCCCTATCCACCATGATCCACACTGTCTTTGGGTATACACTCATGGCTGCGGGTGCTGCACGCATCATCGAGATAGCTTTTGTGCTCAAGGACCGGTCGTCTGTTACGAACGATGGGTCAGACCCGAACAGCTTCCAGTATATGACGCCCTTCTTGCTAATGGCGGGCGGCTTCATGTTCATGGGAGCCACGGAAGAGCAAATGCAGTTTTTGTCCGATGCGAACGTCACACATGTATCCTATGTGTTGATCCTCTTCAGCATCGCTTTCTTGTTATTCTTGTGTAAGTTTCACCCCATCACTGCTTTATGATGCAACTAACCCATTGCCAGTTGTCAACATGCTTATTCACCTATACGCCGTATATACCTGGGGAGAGGATGGCAAGGTCGATGCGGAAGCGCCCTTTGCAGACGAATTCGCGAATGGCCATGCCAATGGACATCCCAACGGATACAGCCGAGTTGAGCGCACAGTAAGAGATGCCGAAGAGTTTGAACTAGAAGGCCTCGACTCGGATGAAGAGGAGAATGCGGCGCTTGCGAACAAAGAGAGGTCACGTGTCGCATTGCCTTGATTACCTCTCATGCCCTTCTATACCTTTAATTCTTTAATAAACTTGGGCATGCGTTCTGGCGGTTTAGCGAATGCACTCCAGCGTCGTTGTGCTTGAGTTTTGGTGAGTACCTTTTTATACATGAATAGATATGTTTCCTCGGTCATCCTTACGCCCTGGCATGTTGCAACGAGTGGTGCGCTTTCCCACCGGCTATGCTCAATTTCACATGACAGCTTGTTCGCCATCAGACGTGCCAGTCTCGCCATCATCACACGCACGTGCAGCAATGTCGAACTTTTCGTTGAGCTGTCCACGTAAGCATGTGGCCGAAGCAGCCACCAATACTCTCGTCGCGCCGCATCACGACGAAACACGCAATTATAGCTCAAAACTGACTATGACACACGATTTACCTCTAACGGCCATTTCGTGTGTCAAAGACAACAAGGCGATGGAAAGTGCGGTGGAGCCTGCGGTATAAAACTTCTTTGTCGCTGAGCCGATGCAAGCCGAACGTCTTTTCCATCATCACCCGCCATCGTACCTTCCGGGAGCTAAGCGGTTAACGGAGATCCTGCCATACCGCCTACCTCGGTCTAGCATGGGCATTACTGCTTCCAGTCTAGTCAGGGCAGAGTTGTCAGGAGCGGTGGTGATGACGCACGTCATCCGGTGTATTTGCTGTTGGTGTCTAGAATCTGGGCTTTTTACTATTCCAACACGCTGGTGGAGACGACCCACTTGGCAGGGAAAATCAGGTACCTTGCACGTGTGATGGATCTCACGATCAGGTCGTGTAGTGGTGTTGAGGCGGGGGCGACGGCCGTGGGGGAGGGAATTTTTTCGCCGCGGTGTTTTTTTTGCGACGGGAAATGTGAGGGTGTGTAGGGGTGGGTATATAAAGGTCTGGGGATTGTGGGTTGGGATGGAGAATATCATTCAAGACATCAGCAAGTTCTTGTACTACAGCTACTATACTCATTTTCAACTTTCAAACTCACAATTACAACAACTCGGCATCAATCAACCAACCCACCACCGCCAAAACCAAGCTACTCCCTACGACAAACCACGAAAATGTCAACAGTAGACACCCACCCTCGCCTCCTGGCCCTCTCCCTCTCACCCTCCCCCCGCAACTCAACCTCAACCTCCCGCCCAACACCAACCTCCTCCGCCAACCCCTCCACATCATCCACCCCGCTCGCCACCTCCCGCCGCGCCTCGCACGACTCCGCCCACGATGCCCACCACTTTGTCAACCTGGACAAGGAGCAGCACGAGCACAAGCTCAACGCTAGTCTGAAGAAGATGTGGGCTGGTGTTAAGAGGCATGCGGTTGAGCACCATAGGAGTGTCAATGCCGCGTATATGGCTAGCTATGGGTGTGGGGCGCATCCGGGACGTTAGATGGGATGTAGAAGGTGAACGACAGGATGGAGGACACAAAAGTGATTTCTTGCGAAGCGGCTTGCGGTATTATACCCTGATTTTGTTTTTTGTTTTTTGTTTGGGCGCTGGGAAGGAGGGAAGAGGAAGAGGAAGAGGAGGATGTAATGAATGGTGGAAAAGGAGAGAGATAAAAGTTAACAATTCGACTTGATAATACTGTAATAAGACGACTCTTCGGGTTTTTGTATATCTGACCTGATGTATATCTATGCTACAGTGAAAGAACATGCATCACACCCATACCCTGTACATGACATCAAGACATACATCTTGATACTAAGATACCACCCCCTCAAACCTCTACCACTTCGCCGTACTCCTTAACGTTTTCTGTATACAAGCGCACAGCTCTGGTATACGAAACGGTTTGCTGATAACATCGTCCATGCCTGCCTTGAGCGCAACCTCAACCTGCTCACTCCGCACATTGGCTGTCACTGCGATGACAGGTACGTGTGCTCTAACCACCCCCTCCTTTTGCAATTCCCGGATATTCCTCACGCAGGTCAAGCCGTCCATGACAGGCATCTCCCAATCCATGAGGATGAGTGCGAGGGGCTTGCCGGTACCGTCAGGGATGCAGTAGTTGGTCGTGCGGAGATATTCCAAGGCTTCACCACCGTGGTTCGCGACGGCGACTTGCATGCCGGTGTTGCGCAGCTGCTTGGCAAGGACGCGCTGGTTGACGAGGTTGTCTTCGACGATGAGGACGTGCAGGTTTTTGTTAGGGATGACGTCGGCAGTGGCGTTCCTACTTGGGGGCTCGTCCTTTTCGTTGCGTGATCGACTCGAGAGAACGGTTTCGTGGGCTCGTATGCTTAGGCTGACTGCGGCGTTGCTTTGGTGGCGGTTGAATTTGGGCCGGAAGGCGCACTTGCGGCTCTTGACGTAGAAGGAGAAGGTGCTACCAACTCCGGATTTGGATGCAAATCCAATCGCTCCGCCATGCATTTCGGTTAGTCGGCGTGAGATGAAAAGGCCGAGGCCAGAGCCACCTGAGGTTTGTGAGCGACATGTGCATCTGTTATTGAGAGGCGAACGTACCGTAGTCAATGTGTGTACGCGGTGATGCTTGAGAGAATCGAGCGAACAGAAGCTGATGCTCTTCATCGCTCAGTCCGCGGCCAGTGTCCTGGACTGAGAAGATGACGTATACCTTTTTTCTCTTAGCAGAAGCTCCCGAATTCCGAGTGCAAGATGAAACCTACTGGCTGCCCCTTCTCCCAATCCGCTTGCAAAGTTTGAGCCTCTGCACCTTCCGATGTACGTGAGAATGGCACATTTCCACTTGCACTGTGGGTTGGTTGCTCAAGAGATATGCCCAAGCTGACAGAAATCTTGCGGATCTCCTCTAACCGCGTGAACTTGATGGCGTTGGTGATGAGATTCTTGGTTGTCAGTTCCTGCGTCGTGTTTAAAAATAGGGTGTACTTACGATGAGGATCTGCAATACTCGTGTTGGATCGAGCGAGACATACTCAATCTTGGTATCTTTGCAGGAATCTTCGAGCTTGAAATGAAGCTCCACACCAGCTGACTTCGCCTCGCCCTCAAACATCTTGACCGCATCTCTTGCGATTGAATCTAGTTGTACGTCGACTGGAGTCATCATGAACAGGCCGGAGTCAAGTTTTGACATGGTAAGTACATCTAGGAAAGTCAACTATGCCATTGCATACTAGTACGGCTCAATCTGGAGCAATACATACCGTCAACAATCGTCTTCATGTGCTTTGAACACTGAACAATAGTTTCGGCTGCATCAATAGTGGTCTCTACGATGTTCTGATAAACCTTTTGATAGTCTGTTGAAGAGCCAAAGTCTTTGTGTGCAGATATGATACTCTACAGGCTAATCAGCATGTGACAGGTGATCTCGGAGATCCATCACTTACGTCAGCACATTGAACAATCGCAGATAGAGGATTACGCATCTCGTGGCTGAAACTAGATTAGTTTCAGGTAGGTGAGTATGTCGTTTTGCAAACCCACGAAGTAGTATCAATGAAGTTCTCCAGGCTCCTGGTTTGGGTCAGTGGGGTCATGCATATTATCAAATGATAGTCGACTTACCTTTTAGACTCCTGAGCTCTTGTAGCCTGGGTTGCTTGGAGCTTCTCGCCCCACTTTTGTTGACTTGCTGACTGTAAGCAATCGTAAAGCATTCAAGAAAGGCATGCATACCTGATATCTGTGCAGCAACCAATAATCTCAATGACCTCCCCTTGATCGTTGAGTTCGGGAAATATCGAAGTTATAACCCACATTGGCTGCGCTTCAGGAAATTCTTCGTCCATATTCTGAGCTGGTGCGTTCCATGTCTTCTTAAGACGTAGCTCAAATGACCTTCACGTGATCAGTAGATTCGCTTGGTAACGTTTTCTTGATCTTACTGGTGCTGCTTGGTCTCCTTGAGTTCCTTGAACTTCCTTCGGCCCAACTCATGGTACTCTTCATCGATGAGAAGGGTCCATGCCTCCTCAAGACCAACGTCTTGTGCCACTGTGCCCAAGATGTTATACCAAGCTTCGTTTCTGTACGAGTAGATCCCGTCCATCCCAATCAGAAAAATGCCAACATCGGCCCGCTCAGCGAAACGCTTGAACTTCGAGACGTTTCGTTCAGCCTCTTGTTGAGATAGCGTCAGCTGTTCTTTGAGCTGGTACTTCATCGCTTCGGCGTTAGCTATAGTCCGCTCCCGACGCCCTATATCCTCTTCGTGTAGTAATATTGATGTTAGGCATGTAGAGAGTAGCCGACTAGTGACCAAGATAAACTGGAGGTAGTCTTCGTCAAACGGTCGACGTGGATTCAGCCCGATGACCATGAACCCAAGAATGTTGTCTTTTGAAGATGTTGGATTCAAGGGGCAAATGACTAGTGCTCTACAGGGATCTCCAAAGCCCTGCCATTCGATATCTCGAACCAGCTCAGCAGCTACAGGATCCTGGTCAAATCGGAGTATTATCGGCTTTCGGGCTGTAAGGGCCTGGCGAAAGTAGGGCGTAAATCCGTGATCTTGCTGAAAGTCCAGATGCTCAGGTCCGGCGGGTGAGCCCTTGGGCAGCCCAAACGAACCGCGGAGTTTGCAATGCTGCTGGTTATTATCAGAGAATCGCGTCCTGCTCGACTCAGAGCCATGCCCATCGGCCTCAGCAGAATATAGTAAACAAAACGGAATATCTTTGGCGTTGCGAGATAATACATCAGTTGCAAGATGCCAATATGTATCAGTGTTGCGCGCTCTCGGTATCTCTTCGCTCAATTCAAGCAGTGTGCGTGACCGCCTTTGTGCGATTACTTCTCTAGTCTGTTCATAAGTTAGGATGCGCGCCAAAACCTTTGCATGTCCCATAAACAACTAGTGCGTCAACGGAAATAGGGACGTACCGTTTCCACAAGCGGCTCATAATGACCGACAGTGACACCTTTCAGAGTCTAGAATCGGTATGAACTTGAGGGAAAGTATGTTTCTTCCATGAAGCCGTTGCGTATCATGTGAATTGCAGTGTTCGTCTTCTCCACCGTCTCTCCACGGAGGTTCTTTTCTATGATAGGCTCAAAATACTCTTTCCAAACGGAAGCAAGAGCCACGCGAGCACTGGCACCCATGCACGGATGGAATCCACCTAGAAGTTCAATCTCAGCTTCATTGTATATCATGATAAGCTCGGGACCATAAAACACCACGGCAGGTCGCGGATCCTGCATAACCAGGTTGGCAATACTTCGCAGCTGCGATGACCATGAGGACATGGGTCCTAAGGGAGTCGCTGCCCAGTCAATACTGCGCGCCCATGCCGCATGAGATGTAAGACGCCGTGGAGGAAGCTGATCCGTCCAATCGAAATTGGGTGCCTTTGGTTTGGAAATCTTCCTGGTGAGAGTAGTCGTCTCAGGGTCATCGCTGCCTACGCACGTGCTCGCGGAGAAGGCGCTTATTACGTTCCAACGGCTAGATACCAGTACTTTTGTCCAAGTATAGTCTGAGTACATGGAAGGTTTGCTGATTGCATCCTGTGATAGAGACCAGTTCCGAAAACGTGTAAAGGCATCATTGCCCTTCCCATTGCTACTGTGTGTAGTGCCTTCGCGGCCCATCAATTGCAACACACGTCCAGGATTGGCAGAGGCCATGGCCGAGTTCCAATATTCCAGCACACTTCCATTTTCGGACTTGATACTGTCTGGAGCAGTATCGACAATGAAGGTAGGCCGCAGGTCTCTGTCCAGCAGATCCAGCATGCCTACGTGACGCAAGGATGGGTTCCCATTATGGGCTGGCTCGAGGGGTTGTGGTTGGCGCAAAGCCATCGTAGTTGTATCTGTTTTACCGAAGCATGTGGCCGCTTGTCCTCCTCTTGTGCAGTCACCGTCGGACCAAATATTGTATCAAAAGTCGCTATCGTCAAAGCCATGCGGGATCGCCGTGGAAGGATGCAAGCGCAAGCGCTGTTTCGGAACCTGGAAAAGTGGAATCCGATTGAAGAGCCTAGGCTCTCCCGAGGTCGCTCCATTGTGCATCAGCCGTCAGCCGCCAGCCGAATCTGGCGCACGCCATGCGGGAGCTGGAGATCTTCTTGGGAAGGCTGAGATTACGAGCACTACCATCCTGCATTGGGGAATCGAGTCTCTCTACGATGAGTTGGCCATGCAGAGACCAGTCGTTGATTGAGGGACAAAATTCGGAATTGGCCGGCGGCGCCACCGGATGACGTCGCTCCCCTATCGATCTCTTGGAATTACGATGTAAAGTTTATCCACCTGCATTGCGTATTTGTTATTTCGCTCGAAGCGCGAGGAAAACAACATCAAGCCAGAGATTTTTACTCACGACATCACAGCAGAACGAGGTACAACTGACGAGACAGGATTGCCAATCATACCGGACGTATGCGGGGGAGAGATCAAGCGACACTATCCCTGTCGCCGCACAGCACCTATCTCGTACGTAGACCCTGTTTATTCGTTTACAGCAATGAAAGCGATGCATGGCAAGAGTGAACGTCTACGCTCACGAGGTACGGTGTATTGGGCTGCGCGACAACGCACGGCCTCGGCCAGATGGTAAATTAGCGGCTGAACAACATCATGCACTAAACCCGACAGCTGATGCGCAGATATCATGTTTAGCATGGACTCCATCTCCAGTTCATCCTTGCCTGTTGCCAGCTTGCCCGCTAGCTGAGGCTACTCTTGTTGCTTCCCCTCGCTTTGGGAAGTTTTCTTCTTTTCATCAGCAACGCGTTACCGTGCAGCATTTGGTTTGCTACATACATAGTTGCGATATATTTACTCTCACAACGGCTCCTGTGCATTACTGCTTGGAGTCAGGACAGACGAGGCAAGTCGACAGGTTAGTAGTGAAAAAACACAACATCCACCTGTACCAACGAATTCAATTCCCGCCCTGAACCCGACGACTACGTTCGCGCGCGTAGTCTAAACACTGTTGCATGACTGGAAACAGGTGCTCGTCTGGAAGTCGTCAAGACTGTATGCGGCTGCAAAAGCAGAGAAGCTCTGCACTGCTGTACCGGAGACGAAAGACGGGATGATATACATAGTCAGTATAACGGCGAGGAAATAGAGGTGTCGACTCTCATGCAGATTCAAGCGAGTTGAATCCAAACGACTGGTCACCATGTCAGGGCTGCTTGACAAGCTGCAGATACGAAGAAAGGGACATAAATTGCGCAACAACAAGGACCGTCACGATCACCAGACTCTGCACGAACGTATGTACGGTAGGTGTTGAGCAGAACGTGAAACCCGAGAAGGTGAAAAGACCGGAGCTTGGCGGCTGACAGGTTCCACAATCTTGCCGACTGGTGCCAGGACACGACGGACGGCATGGAAGTTTTCGTTGTGCCTTACACAATTCTGTGTCGTATCCGCACGCCATCTAACGCTCGCCATGTGTTTAATTTTCCGAGACTTGAGTTCCAAATCCCAGTGCAAGAGCTCTCGTAGACCAGGTATTGTGGGCTTATCTTTGTTGACTTTCACGGTATCCAATTTCCTTATAGGAAGAGCCTCAAATCTCCGCTGCCTGGATGCAAGCAATATCCGTTTAGATCTCCCGAATTATTTCGAAACAGGCTTTCATGAGCAGGAATGTTTCATGACCCTTCATCACCAAGCCGCGCGCGCCATCTTGAAAGAGGAAGATTGTGGGTCCAGACTTGGCCATTTCAAGCATAGCCACCCCAACGCGAACGTTTCATGACATCGTTTCCAGTGCTTTTCCACTGCCAAACGGTTGTCGTAAAACTCCGTGGCCTGTCAGAACCATTCATGCCTGCGGATACGGCTCGCGCGATACTCAACGTGGTCTTGCGCGTTTCCTCGATATTAACCTGGGCGCCGCTTAGACGCTGGGCTAGACATTGCATAAGCACGAACTGGTTCGAGCAGCACTCTTAAACGGCTGCTTCTGGCCCTCTGCCAGGAAGGTCGTCCATTGTTTGCTACTGTCACTCATTTTTCGTCTCCTACATTCGCTTTCTTCACTTACAGCTGGTCTCTGTTACCTTCATTCATTACCAAAACTCAAGATGTTTGGAAAATCCGCTTTGATGAGTGCGCTCCTCAGCGCTGCTTCTGCTGGTAAGCCTACCTCATTCTTGCCTGAGCATATTTCCAGTACTGACATCTACCAGAAACCATTTGGGATGGTCGCTTCAACGACATGACCTCCAGCGCCGACTTGAGCAAGTGGTCGTTTGCTAACCAAGTCGGTTCCTACCAATACTACATTCACGGCTCTGGCGCAGTGACCGACTATGTCAACCTCGACGCCAAGTTCAAGAACCCTGCCGACACTGCCTCTAAGCAAGGTGTCAAGATCACCATTGATGACACTTCGAAGTGGAACGGGCAAACCATGCTCCGCACCGAGCTCATCCCACAGACAAAGGCTGCCATCAACAAGGGAAAGGTATACTACCACTTCTCCATCAAGGCATCGAGCGAAAATGCCCCCACTACGACCAATGAGCACCAGCTCGCCTTCTTCGAGTCTCACTTCACTGAGCTGAAGTATGGTGCTTCCGGATCCGCCAACAAGAACCTACAGTGGCACGTGGGCGGTGTCTCAAAGTGGGATGTAGAGCTTGTCGCAGACGAATGGCATAATGTCGCATACGAGATCGACTTCGATGGCGGTTCCGTTACTTTCTGGCACTCGACTGGCAGCGACGCGTTGAAGAAGACTGCTGGACCCTTCACTGCTAGCACAAGCTCGAACGGTGCGGATTGGCATCTTGGTGTGCTGAGGCTCCCGGGCAACAATGATCCCAAGGGTGCTGAGGATTGGTTTTTCAGCGGCGTATACATTGAGGATGGCACCCTTACTACTGCTGTTGGTAGTGGCGCTGGTGGTGCCGCTAGTCCGCAGAAGCCTGCTCCTGCTGCGTCATCCACTCCTGCCGCCTCCTCGACCTTTGTAACCTCGACCATCGCTCCTGCCAAAACCCCAGTTGCAGAACCCGCCGATACTCCTGCCGATGTTCCTGCCACCTCTGCCACTCCCACTCCTACTCCTACTCCTGCTCCTGTTCCCACAGCTGGATCTGGCTCTGGCTCTGATGTCCCTTTGCCTAAAGAGTTCACCATTCTGGAATTCATCACTTGGCTCAAGGCTAAGACTGGAAAGAACTAAGCGCCTTCCGTTGTCAGCCAAGACCTCTGCAATTCTTCTCAAGCACTCATACATTCTTGTACATAAACCATTTCATCAGTGAGTTGTTGGTATATATTATTTACAAACTTTACCATCAGATGCCTGCTACCCGTCCGCGTGAATTCCTGTGCTCAACCCTCCCTGCCCTCTATTCATATTCCTCGAAGTCGCAACAACCTAGGTACACAAGCCTTTGAATATTCTCATCTTGACGTATTCTTCTCTACCGTTATGTAAACGCATTTCTCATTTCTTCGTCCTACATAGGTTCGATCGTTCGTATTTCACTTTCCAAGGTAGACATTCTGAAGTATACAGGTCTGAGAAACGCTACGATCTCATTCCGCAGCAACTCTATCAGGTGGATATGTGAGTGCTCTCAGTATTCTAAGATTAGAGGAAAACAATGTTTGGAGACTCCAGTCGCCCAAGTATACAGCTATAGCAGGGTAGTACATAGTCATCTGGCTAGAATCATGTGATTTAATGAGTGTGTGCCGCGGTATTCTGATTATCGAATGACATAATGGCCAGCTCATTATACTATATTGACAGCTCTATCCTTCCGCCAGCTGCCTACTGGACGAAGCCGGCTTCGAAGGGCGACGAGGCTAACACAGCAGCATGGACCGTGAGAGCCTCACTATATGATCGGCCCGAACCGGATATTTCAACTGGTATCTGTCACGTGACTGGACATGGAGCAAACCTACGCTAGTCTATATGGGTGACTCTTGCCGGATATCTCACCAAGCAGACCTTTATGATTGTTAAAATATACCCATACCCCTTGTGATATTGTTCAACAACCGAATGGTTACCAGGAAATTGCCACCAGACAAGAAGCGACATAAATACGTCTTGCTGTCACCTCAACAGTATCCTCCCCACCGCTCCAACACTTCTCTCCTTGGATCAAAAGACATACGACTCTGAATTCCCATCATTTCCAACATCTACTCCGGTCGTCCATAACTACTCTCAATATGCGTTTCACAAACCTCCTTCCCGCTGTTTTCGCGGCCTCAGCTTCCGCCACTACCTTCATCGGCTTCGTCGACAACGCCTGTCAGAGAGCAGACGGAAGCATGATTGAAGTCAGCGCCAAAGAGCTTCAGAACATCATCGTCAAGACGTTCCCAAGCGGCCAGGCAGTCGGTGAGGCCCACCGTGCGTGGGACACACCCGACGATCGACTACGCTGTCCCTCCAACGCAGACGATACATACAAATGGGTATGTCTTCCCCACATGTTTGAAAGGTTTCTAAGCAACTCTTATGTTACATGTATCAATGGTGCAATATCTGCTAACACTTGATGCGATGCTACAGATCGATATTCCGCAGTGGCAGGCTGGTAGCGCATCTGGTCAGCCGTCTCAGGGCGGCGCGTTGGCGGTGACTTACTACAAGGGTACCGATACGTACAGTGTTTGTAGCTATTTGGCTGGTGTGCAGCCCAATAGGTATGCTGGTAACTGTAAAGTTCATTACCCTTGGGCGCCTGCTACCCCGCCTCACGAGTAGGCGCGTGGTGTGATGTAGTCTTTGGAGGGAAGGTGGTGTCGAATGGTGGTATCTGGCTTGAGGCATTCTTGTTGATTTTTTTGATGGAGAGAAGGGTCGAATTGGCTTAGGAGAGACGTTGATGGTGGTGGTAATACATATTTTGAGTGTTAATATAAAATGAGTTCCAGCCTTGTGTTCTTGTTCCAGGAGCTCTGGTCATATGTGGGGTAATGTGCTGACATGTCGTGTTGGTATGTGGCGCTTGATAGTGGTCCGCTGGTGGTCACACAAGCCTTGTTGGCAATGGCTTACGGTATAAACGTACATGTGCATGTTGAGCGACATAGAGATATGCAGAAAACAGGTATAATCGCTGGTAAGATGCGCGTACTTGCCATTTACCATCTTGCACGCATCCAAATGAGACATACCCGCATTGACAATGGACGACTACTACACATGGGTGTATCACAACCAGGACGTCGTACATCAATACAGTACATATCTTCCAACACGACGAGCACGTGATCAGGTGCTGCGTGGGACAGACCGGTTCGGTGGGGACGTCATGGGACAAAGACCGGCCCATCGGGTCGTGGAGCCCAGCATGTCATCGGCAGTGACATGCGCGACCGTACATGTAGTTCGCGATGCAGCCACGCAAAACGTGCGTGCTGTGCTTACATTTTACACACACATGATTCGTCTCAATTCGAGTCGGGCAATGCACCGTTCATGCTTGTGTAGACCTGGGTGCCCTTTCCTATAGCTTGCGGCGTTATCGGAACTAAGCCAATGATGATTATATCATACCGACGGTCCGAGCTCCCATGTCTAAAGAAGCTTCGCGCGCGATTGCCTAAACATTCACCCTCGCCGCCCTCGACGCCTTGACTTGCCTTGACTCTGCCATATTCAGAGTTCGGCATTCAACACAAACTACCCGATCGATGCAGGGACAGCAGCAGACGCCCTTTCTCCCCTCAACTCCGCTCCCGCATGGCTATCTCACGGCCTCGAGGCACGCCCGACAGCCATTATGCGGCAATAGCGAGGGTTGGGGCCCCATGAGCCCTATCCGTTATGACTTTACCCCGTGTTTCTTGGATGTCTGGATAGCTGTTGTGGCCGCATTTGGTGTTGTGGGAGGGGCAGGCGCGTTGTGGTATCTATACAGACACTGCCCGCCGCAGCCTGTCAAGCGCAATTGGCACTTCTTCACCAAGTTGGTATGTGGACGTGTCTAATACATCCAGAAAGTCTCCTAGAGTACCAGCTAACAAGTTTCGTCTCATAGGCGACAATCGGAGCACTCATCGGTACCACCGCAGCCCAGGCTGCTCTTCAGATCCAATACTACCAGCACGTATGGGCCGGTGACTTTCGTTTCTGGACTACAATCCTCACCATCGTCTCTCTCTTCTTCATCTTCTACATCCAATACATCGAACACTGGAGATCGCGGAATGCCAATGGTGTCGTGCTCTTCTACTGGCTATTTCTCCTCATCGCATACGCCGTCAAGCTTCGCTCGCTCGTCTCTCAGCAGGTACATCGCGAACATGGGGCATACTTTGGAGTCTTCTGTGCTAGCGTTGGCTTGGCCGGGCTTTCTTTCGTCCTGGAATGGTTGGTTCCAAAGCGCATGAGCGACTACGACATGCTTGGTGACGACGACGAATGTCCCTACGAATACGCCGATGTCTTCTCCGTTCTCACCTTTGGATGGATGACACCGTTGATGAAGCGGGGGTACAAGACTTTCCTTACTCAGGACGATCTGTGGAACCTGCGGAAGAGAGACTCGACGCGACACACTTCAGAGACTTTTGAGAAGTCTTGGGAATACGAGATGGAGAAGAAGTACCCTTCGCTCTGGCTGGCAATGTTCCGCTCGTTCGGTGGACCATATTTCCGAGGCGCTGCCATCAAGACAGTGAGCGATGTTTTGAACTTTGTCCAGCCTCAGCTACTGAGACTTCTCATCACCTTTGTGGACTCATACCGCACCGAACATCCCCAGCCAATCATCCGCGGTGCTGCAATTGCCCTTGCTATGTTTGCAGTATCTGTCTCTCAGACTGCATGTCTCCACCAGTACTTTCAGCGCTCTTTTGAAACTGGCATGCGCATCAAGTCCTCGCTCACTGCTGCTATCTACTCAAAATCTACGCGCCTGTCCAACGAGGGCCGAGCGTCCAAGTCAACTGGTGACATCGTCAACTACATGGCGGTAGATACTCAACGTCTGCAGGATCTTGCACAGTATGGCCAGCAACTCTGGTCTGCACCCTTTCAAATCATCCTGTGTATGCTTTCCCTATACCAATTGCTTGGAGTGAGTTGTTTCGCAGGAGTGGCTGCCATGTTCATCATGATTCCGATCAATGGTGTGATTGCTCGATGGATGAAGACACTACAGAAGGAGCAGATGAAGAACAAAGACTCGCGTACAAAGCTCATTTCTGAGATTCTCAACAACATGAAGTCAATCAAGTTGTACGCCTGGACCACGGCATTCGCTAACCGTCTGAACACCATCAGAAACGACCAGGAACTCAAGACTCTGCGAAAGATTGGTGCCACCCAGGCTTTCTCTACATTCACATGGTCTACAACTCCGTTCCTGGTATCATGCTCAACTTTTGGTGTCTTCGTCTTGACCCAGAACCGCGCCCTGACAACTGACATTGTCTTCCCTGCCCTAACGCTCTTCAACCTCCTCACCTTCCCACTTGCCATCCTTCCAATGGTCATTACCGCAATCGTCGAGGCCAGCGTGGCCGTGGGCCGTATCACTGGCTTTTTGACCGCCGACGAGTTGCAGGAGGATGCCGTTATCCGGGAACCCGCTGTGACTGAGACTAGTGACGAATCGGTCCGTATTCGTGATGCCAGCTTTACTTGGGACAGAAATGCGGAACGCCGCGCGCTCCACGACATCAATTTCAGTGCACACAAAGGTGAACTCGCATGTATTGTTGGTCGCGTTGGTGCAGGCAAATCGTCCCTTCTCCAAGCTGTGCTCGGTGACTTGTGGAAGATCCATGGAGAGGTTGTGCTGAGGGGAAAGACCGCCTATGTTCCACAGTCAGCTTGGGTCATGAATGCTTCAGTTCGAGAAAATATCGTCTTTGGCCATCGCTGGGACCCTCAATTCTACGAAAAGACCGTGAACGCTTGTGCATTACGCGATGATTTTGCATCACTTCCGGATGGCGACCAAACAGAAGTCGGCGAGCGCGGTATTTCTTTGTCTGGTGGCCAAAAGGCTCGACTCACCCTTGCTCGTGCTGTGTATGCGCGGGCCGACATCTATCTGCTTGACGATTGTTTGTCGGCAGTTGACCAGCACGTGGGTAGGCACCTGATCGACAACGTCCTTGGACCCAAGGGTTTGCTGTCGGGCAAGACCAGGATCCTGGCAACCAACTCGATACCTGTTTTGATGGAAGCAGACATGATCCTACTGCTGCGTGAGGGCCGAATCCTGGAGCGAGGTAGCTATGGTCAACTCATGGCAATGAAGGGCGAGATCGCCCAATTGATCAAGACGTCTCAAAACGAGGACCAAGGAGAGGACGACAGTACCCGTACATCTGACAGCATTATGAGCGACGAAGACTCTACCGTCTACGGCGGTAGCCCCGCCGGTGACGACGACGACGAGGATCAAGCGGAAGCGGAAGCGGCACAGGAGGGTGGCGCGCACCTTGCTCCTTTGAGAGTGGGCAGCGGTAACGCACGTAAGAACAGCTTCCACACCCTTCGCCGTGCCAGTACTGCAAGCTTCAAGGGACCGCGCGGCAAGGTCGCAGATGAAGAGGGCGGTGGCCTGAAGAGCAAACAGTCCAAGGAGTTCCAAGAACAAGGCAAGGTCAAGTGGTCAGTCTATGGCGAATACGCAAAGACCAGCAACCTTGTAGCTGTCACCATCTACTTGCTACTGTTAATTGGAGCGCAGACGTCGTCAATAGGTACGTTGCGGAACTGCGGAACCCCCCGCCTTGGTCGCTCCCATCTTCGAGAAGCATGCCATTCGTTCGTCATTTTCTCGTTGTTGACGCTAACACTGCTATGCAGGTGCTAGCGTATGGCTAAAACACTGGTCAGAGATCAACCAGCGGTACGGCGGGAACCCCCAAGTTGGCAAATACATCGGCATTTACTTTGCGTTCGGTGTAGGATCTGCTGCCCTGGTCGTGGTTCAAACACTCATCCTGTGGATCTTTTGCTCGATTGAGGTATGTTTCTGCATGAATCAGTCAGCGTGGCACATTTACTAATGTGATGTTCAGGCTAGCCGAAAGCTGCACGAGCGGATGGCACACGCGATCTTCCGCTCGCCAATGAACTTCTTCGAGACTACACCTGCAGGACGCATCCTGAACCGCTTTTCCAGGTAAGTCGCTATCATCATTCTTACCGGGATCTTGCGCGGTCCGGGCCATACCTGTCAACGAACCCTCCGTCGATGGTGCCGGCAGAGCAGACCCTTGCAACCATGTGCAACCATGTGTATACATGCTAACTAGACGTGACAGCGATATCTACCGAGTGGACGAGGTACTAGCGTGAGTCGATCTTGTAAATCCCGATTCATTTACCGGTGGTTTCTAACGTGTGACTAGTCGGACGTTCAATATGCTCTTCGTCAATTCCGCTCGAGGTATGCAGCCACCCCACATACATGCCGTTTGTGTAATATTTGACTGACCCGAGGTAGCCGGCTTTACGCTAGTCGTCATCTCATGGTCGACCCCGGCCTTTGTGGCCCTCATCCTGCCGCTTGGTGCGCTTTACCTCTACATCCAGCGGTATTACCTGCGCACATCGCGGGAACTGAAGCGCCTCGATTCGGTTAGCCGCAGTCCCATCTATGCGCACTTCCAGGAGAGCCTGAGTGGTATGAGCACGATCCGTGCCTACAATCAGCAGAAACGGTTCGAACTCGAAAACGAGTGGCGTGTCGATGCCAATTTGCGCGCATACTACCCCTCAATAAGCGCCAACCGATGGCTGGCTGTTCGTCTCGAATTCCTAGGTTCGGTCATCATCCTGGCCGCCGCCGGTTTCGCCATCATCTCTGTCGCCAGCCACAGCGGTCTGTCGGCCGGTATGGTTGGTCTAGCCATGTCATATGCGCTCCAGATTACGCAGAGCCTCAACTGGATTGTGCGACAGACGGTTGAAGTGGAGACTAATATCGTCTCTGTGGAACGTGTACTCGAGTATGCCGCGCTTCCTAGCGAGGCGCCTGAGATCATCTCCAAGAATAGGCCGCCAATCAGCTGGCCGTCTCAGGGCGCTGTTACTTTCAACAATTACAGTACTCGGTACCGAGCTGGTCTGGACTTGGTATTGAAGAATGTCAGTCTCAACATCAAGCCAAAAGAGAAGATTGGTGTTGTGGGCCGCACGGGTGCGGGCAAGAGCTCACTTACGCTTGCCTTGTTCCGCATCATCGAGCCTGCAGAGGGTTTTGTCAGTATCGACAAGCTCAACACTAGCACCATTGGCCTCCTCGACCTCCGCAGACGCTTGGCTATCATCCCGCAAGACGCCGCGCTCTTTGAAGGAACCGTGCGCGATAATCTCGATCCGGGCCATGTGCACGATGACACGGAGCTATGGAGCGTTTTAGGTATGGCATAACCTTCCCTCACACATTACCCGTACAATCAGCTAACGCACTCTACAGATCACGCCCGTCTCAAGGACCACGTCTCCAGCATGCCAGGCAAGCTCGACGCTACCGTGCATGAAGGAGGTTCCAACCTCTCTGCCGGTCAACGCCAACTCGTCTCCCTCGCCCGCGCCCTCCTCACCCCTTCCAACATTCTCGTTCTGGACGAAGCGACTGCCGCCGTCGACGTCGAAACAGACGCCATGCTCCAGACCACGCTCCGTTCAAGCATGTTCAACAACCGCACCATCATTACTATCGCGCATCGTATCAACACTATTCTAGACTCCGATCGCATCATCGTACTGGACAAGGGTGAGGTCAAGGAATTTGATACCCCAGCCGAACTTGTCAGGAGTAAGGGTTTGTTTTACGAGTTGGTCAAAGAAGCAGGTCTGCTCAATGCGCTAGACATGTCGACATCGCTGTCGTAAACAGATCAACGTTTTTGTTGTAGTGTAGTTTAATTAGTTGTTAGTCATTGAAAAGAGGGGTGTAGGTTGTTTACAAATGGAAGAGCCAGAAGAGGGAAGCAATACCGAAAAATAAACGACGTAGCGTGTGCGCGCGTAAAGAAAACGGGAGGCGGTAGTAGAAGAGAGAGCGGAGAAGGCGGGAAAAGTTCAGAGGAAAAAGCAAAATCAACATCCAATTCGTACCTTTGTGTCTGTATTCGTATCCGTATCCTCGCTTCGGGGACTTTTTCCCCTTTTCCTCCCTCCCCTTGCATACACATCTTGGGCTTGACCCATCTACCTGACCCAATTCGTCCTGATCGGTCACTCCTTGCCATCGTGATCACTAGACATTCATAGTATCTTCGTACCTTGCCACCTCCCTCTGCATGACCCCTGAAACACGCACCACAAGCCGTGCTCTCAGAACCGCCAAGCGTACTCACGGGGCAGATGGATAGATATCGTACCATAGAACTGTTGCTGTGGGTACACACTGGCTTCTGTAGCTAGTTCAGTAGACGTGGGTAGAAAGAAGCTGGTACATTGGGGGGCAGTGCGTGAATGAAGTCGGAGAAGAGTATCAGCGAGATAGAGACAAGAGAAGGGACCGAGAGTGTGGGTGTAAGAGGGGTGGGTGAGGGCGGCTTCTTGAGCCACTGTTCGAGAAGAAGTGAAGTCCCAGCATGATGTCTTGCTGCAAGCTTGCAGGATGTTTAGTCTCGATGATGTGCATAAGTTATTTCCTGTGGTTTTCGGTAACGAAGGGGATAGCCATGCCGGTGAAACACTCTCGGACTTCCACCCCGAGTCTCATGTCTTTCTGAGGGTAAAGGTTGGGTTTGAGACTTGCTTGGCGTTGTATATACCGAGTCATGAGCGTATCGATCCCAAGGGGTGCCTTAGGTCCAAGTCTGCACGAGACTGAACGTGCCATGTAGATGGCTCAGTCAGGCGCGATCTGTTGCAGGGCCTTTGTAGCATTCAGATCGATCTACTTTTTTTCCTCTGATGTAGATGTGATGAGATGCGATCTGGCACGAATCACGGAAGGATCGGTAGGTGAAGATGATGTGGGGGGAAGCCACGCGCGTAGCATACAGGCTATGTTGGCAAGTGCCGGTAGTTGTGGCGAGTGGAGACAAAGGAGTACGGTAGTCTTGCATATCGACTACCTGCAGCGTGCGGCTTGTAGCGACGGACGCTCGTGTGGGCGTATACGCGCATTATTGGTGTACACGCGTTTGATCCTCTGTGGTGGCAGCAGTTGACAGTAGTCTCCACGACAAATTTGAGAGAATTCGATCTTCAATTGACATTAGTGACGTATGCGTCTCGGAGACTACCAAGTTTTGCTCGATGACTTGCTATTTTTGCAGTTAATAGGCGGTGAATGTCATGCGCCGGTACTGTGCATCTGGACAAGCATGACTGGATGGTTAAAAAAGCCGAGCCAGTATCCTTTCCGTGGGAACTTGCAGTCTATTAGCTAGTTGCAGTTACTGCGAAGTAAGCGTCCATGGTATCACACCTACCTTTGGGTTTCTGCGAAGAGCCAAGGCTTCAGAGCCTGCAACTTTGTACACGCGACGACTACTACCCTGCCAACACGAGGCTGTATAACTATCTGATGAGGCTGTGGTGTTACAAATCCCACGGCAAGGTCAATCACCTTCCTGTTTTTATGAGAGGTGCATGTGGGCCGGACCTTCCTCAGTAGGGGTCCCGCTGAACGACTGGCTGTAGGATCCGGAAGGAAAGCCGGACAGGATTTGTGATGCATAAGATGTGGGACGAGCCTAGTTGGGTGACCAGTGGCGTCCCTAGTCCTGCAAGTATCGGTGCTGGGACGGTGTGGTACATTATCTCCGCAACGCTAGTTCGGTGTAGTGCCGTTGCATTCTGCGTTGCGTCTGGGCTCGTCGATACAAATGACCGCATCGAATCATTAATACATGACACGGTCACGGGTGATGAGTCGGTTGTCGAACGCGAGCAGTGAAACGAAGGAAAGGTGCATGCCGGCGATCCGCAGACATGTGTCCCTTTGCGAAGCGAACGATGTTGCTAACGCAATCTGACCGTCTACACATATCGATCAGATGTCGAGTCCGATTGAACTCAATCTCTTGCCAACCGCCCGGTAATCGGGTGAGCGGCGCGGGACAGACCGACCGACTGAGATGTGGGAAGAGTTCCAGCTGGCCCATTGAATTCGAATCTGCAGCGCTAGAGTGACATATTTCAGTACTCGCACCAACCTACAAGATTTCGTAGGCATAAGACTGATGGCCGCGGATGCGGGAAACATCCGCTTAGTTGCCGCCCTTCGGGTGAAGAATCTAACCCTGGGAGGGGAGTGCTGCGCCATGCAAGCATACAAGGCCCCTGCGACAGCAGAAGGTCAGGATATGACCTGGACAGGCGCATGCCAAGCGGTTGTCAGGATCTTCGAGGGGCCGTTGTTGATCTTGTTGCTGGCTGGTTCACTCGGAACGTGGGGGTTGGCAACCAGGGGGTACGACTCCCATTTATGTGCAGGCGAAGGTGAAGTTGATGAGCGGAAATGTTTGTGCGCGAAATTGAAGTGTGATTCTCTGCAGGCAAGGTTTTCGACGGTCAACTGCAAAGCCCATTAGCCCCACTGAGAGGGTGTCCGGACCGATCTGCGTGATGGGATCGAGTGGGGGCCCTGTAAGCCACGCATCATTCGACGCTACTCTGTGTACTCGACCTGAATGGCTAGGACTCCTGTGGTGCCCGCCTCTGGTCAAATCTACGAAACACGGGATGGCCAGAAAGGGTAGAGCGCGCGGTAGGGAAGTAGATGATGTGAGTAGGGGCTTGCCTCTAGGTATGCCCTGATCCATGCGTGCATGCGGGATTCCAGCTTCCCATCACTCAACGGCTGTCAAGATACCCGATTCGACGTCTGCAGGTGGTCGTGTCATAGGACATTCCTTTGGCGTTTGCTTGCTAGTCTGTCGGTGTCCTGTCGCCAAGTGGAGGAGCTGTGGTGAGGGTAGATGCAGTAGGATATGAATCGCCTCGTCATAACGAACGAGGCTTGCTTTAAAGGCTGGCGGTCCTGGTCAATACATTCGGTCCTATTGTCGTTATCCTCCTTGCGATGCTGTTCTTTGTGCCCTATCCTTGATACTGCGTCTCTGATATAGTTCGCAGCATTAATACGCCTCGCCCGACCGGACAGATTCGTGTAACACGAACCGTTCTCGACAGCAATTCTTCCCGGCTAGCTACTCCATTGAGTTCGTCTTATCACTCTCAATTATACGTGCACTTTGCAGTTCAGCATCCTGCATTCTATCCAACTTCAAGCTCATAATTCCGGATCGTGTCAAGCAGAGAGAGAGAGGCGTCTCGCTTTCGTCTAGCGACTGGGGTGCTGACAAGATCATTCTTCATCAGGTAAGCATATGCTAACTTAGGCCTAAGCGAAGTGTGTGGCAGAGCATGTTCGTCGACGAGTCATGGGAGATGGATTTTGTCAGGCCATGCATTCTGTTCAATTGTTTGCTACAACTGAATGGCTGCGAGTGTACATAAGATGCTGTCTGACATCTGTTTAGTTTGTTTCGACCACGGTGCTACTGCCGTATACACTTGGGCAACATACGTATACATACAAAGAGCCTAGACGTGACACAGATCAGCAGTTTTCTGGCGGGCCGTTGAGCTTCACTAGCTGCAGCCACAGGTTCCAATCACAAGTCACAATGGCGAAATCGCGACCCATGGACCCGGCACCTCGTCGCAGAAGGGATCGGCCGGCCGTGCGGATTAACAGAGGCGCCGCGACCAAGAGCGAATGGGACGAAGATGCGTGGGCGCAGGGCGGTAGTCATGTCCCTCGAACGTCAGTTGTAAGTAGCATGTTTTTTGGTGTTTAGGTGTCATCGCAAGTCGTCGGCAGGCTAGGCTAGGCTAGTTATTAAGTCAAGTTAGGTTTCGGCTCGCTCCTGGCAGCCGCGACTGCTACGTTTGCTTTAACTTAGCGGCCGCTCTTGCCCAGACAGCCGGGAACGGGGCCAGCAATAACAATGGACATATTGCTGATTCTTCCAGGCAACATGCTCGCAGCTGAGCCGAACCCCCGTCAAGCAAGACGAAGCAGAGGACGATATTGCCCTTGAGACGCCCATTGCGCTTGGCTGCTGGAAGGTCATCGCACCCGACGGCCGCGAAGAGGTGACATACAAGCCAATTCCTGGCTTTGAGCATCTGTGGAACGGCACGGAGCAGGCTCAGGTTGCACCCTCGCCCCCACCTGCTCCATTGCCGCGCTGCCAGACGCCCGCGCCAACGGTCCAGGCACCTGCACCGGCACCGGGTAAGAAGAAACCTTTTAGTCGTATGCGCCTCTCGCTAACTGGCTCAGCTTTGTCCACGGCACCCGAGCGCAGAAAGCGCAAGAGGACTCGAGCCATTGTTCAGGATTCCAGCGAAGACGACATTGATGACCATTATGGCCCAAGAGATGTCACCATCTCCACCCACACGGCCTACCACTTTCACATTGGCGACCTGGATGCATTGAAGAAGTTTTTCCGCCGTCGACTAGACGAGCTCACCACGAAGCCAGTACGGCCCATTGTGACTGCCTGGCTCAAGCTGCTAGAGCCCAAGCGGCTGAGCATATATGGACGCTATCACAAGAAGTTGCCTAGAGAACAGCCCCCTGCCTGTACGCCACCGTGGTGGCCCCATGATGTTCCGTATGAAGAACCCTCGCATCTTGATAAGACATGTAAGCCGCCACCCACGTGAAGCTTGAGCTGGTCAGCAACTGACTTTCCGCAGGCCTCTTGGCATTGGCAGTCGACATTATGCTGCAACATCGCCCCATTGACGAGGTCAAGCGCAAGGGCTCCTGGGTTGCGAAGCTTCGGCACACTGCCGAATACGCTGTCCAGACCACGCCTTCGGACCAGTTTTCTTCTTCCAAGGGGTCTGGCTTCAGCAACATGATGCAGATACGGGCTCTGACTGAGATCCTGCCCAGCCTGTTCGATATTGCGCAGAAATACGAGGACCATGTTTGCCAATCTCAACAGTGCGGAAATACCAATCTCGGAATGGGTGGGAGAGTGACCTGGCAGCCACTCACAAGACCGCCACGTCAAACCCTTGCCCCTAGAAAACGCCATCAGACGGCCAAGGCTACATCAGTCGTTCGTGTTGAGTCGGATGCGGATGCATCTGGAGATGATACTGACGTCGACGACACCGTCGCTGCCTCACATCTGTCCCATGACCAAAATATTCACATCTCCCACCACTCGGATGCCTCCGCGTCACGACAGGGTGCAGCTGTTTCTGTGCGTACACAAGAACCACCTCAACCAGATATCCGCACGTACAGCACCACGGCCACACCTAATACGTCCTTTGGATCGTCTATGCATGCGCTGCACCTGACAGATAACATGGACTTGAATGTCAATGGTGCCAGCTCTGTATCATATAACAGCCAACCTCATGCTCAGCATACACTCGCTAGCACTCCTATGCAGTACTCCTCTGTTCATCCTAGCTACAACAGCCAGTTGCATCAGAGCGGAACCTCCTTTCCTAGCATTCAATCTGTTTTCGCCCCAGTCTCGCCACCAGCATACGAACACTCGCTACACATGTTCGATGTTCCGTATCCTCTTCAGGCTGCAAGTACTTCTTTCAACAGCCACACGGGCTATCCATACGACTACGACTACGTTACCACATCGCCTGCTCTCAGCTTGTTCAATGGTCTGCCGTTTGAGTCCAACATGAGCTGTCACCAACAAACATCTCGACACTAATCTCGTGCCCCATAGAGCGCGCATCTCGGTTTTTCCTTGAACTTCTCCCATATCGATATCTCTATATCTGTCTATATCTCCTGATGACTTATGATTAAGACTTTTCCTCTTCTCTCCTTTACCTTCTGTCGCATTTGCGCTTGCCAACCTTCCGTTCAGCACAGCGACTGGGTCTCGCGCCATGTTAATTGCTTCGGCACCCACTCGCTGGCACTTGATCTGGTTCGCGAATATTTCCGTCGTCCGTGTCTTGCGATATACCCCCTACGACATCACGCCGCTTACGACTGCATTTACAACGATCTTGGTACGAAAGTTCTGGCTACTTAGGGACGGACTTAATCGGGATTGCAAGGAATTTCATTTGGGTGGTATGGCATCATCTTTGCTGAAGGGTGGTTTTCAAAATTTGGGCAAGGGTGGTGCTCGGTGATGAGACCATGGAAAGATGTAGGAGCCACGAATGATCAGATATGGTCACAAATTCTCTCAGCGCGCCGTGCCCGCGACACGTATGCTGGACGTTATGGAAGACTACGACAGTCCAGAACGCGTCTGAGACATTGACGATTCGACCTAGGCTGTCGAAACACTCAGGTAGATACTGGTAGTAGACAAGACACACAGTGTCGCTCAGTATTAGCCAAAAAAACATTTCGGTTTTGTTACATCAAAGTAGCGGTGCCTAGGGAGTAAATGTGTGAAGACGCTGAGTGAAAGGATAGTCAAGGGTTAATGATGTGGCGGCGACTTTGCACCAGCCACAGATGCGCCAAGACGCTAGTGCCGCGTCGCAGCACAGGCCCGCTCTGAGCTCATTGTAGCTCTTGTTCTTGTTCGCGACTCTAATGGGCCTTTGTTGCACTCGAGCAGCGTCCGCCAGTCGTTTTCAACTCGACTCGGCCAGCAACAACCCACCCGACATTTGAACCTCGCTCGCATTCGACAGCCAGATCATTGCCAGAACCGGACCTTGACCCTGACTTTGCTCTGGGACTGCTCACTAACACATTCCGTGACAGAGTCGCGAATATGGCAGGACCGCGCGGAGGAAGAGGAGGTGACCGTAGACGCGGCGGGCACGGCGGTGCCCATTCGAATCGTGGACGCGGGAAGAGCCACGCGCAAAATGATGAGCGCTCATCGCAAGGAGTTTCCACACCACGCAACCAGGGACGGCAGAACGGCGGTAGTTCGAATGCGCGGGGCAGCCCCAGCAGTTCGTAAGTCTCCCAGCCATATTTCCTCTTGATCCAAGTCCAGGTCGCGCGCGGTCCAAGGACGTCATGACCGGAGATGTTTACCAGACAATGACAACGCCGACCATCGTTGCGATACATGCCCGCCGACGGCCTCCCGTGGCCGCTCGCGGCCTGATCTAACCAGTTACCTCTAGGACTGTCACTACTGCCATCGATTCACCCGCGCCCAATTTCGCGCCCCACGAGTACCAGAAGCGGCTACAGTTTGTAAGGACGACGATATCCGTCAGGCGAATCAGTACTGATGCGCACAGATCAAAGCACAACGCCCCAAGATTCGCGCAAAGTTCATCAAGGATGGTCTCATGAACCCAGACGGCCAGATGCGCCTGGCCGACTCGGTCAAGTTGTACGGCCTCTGCCAGGAGATGTGTCCGGAATATGAGCGCGTGCGTCGCATCGTAGAGCTGGATGTCAAGGCGCCTGAATGTGTAAGTTCAGCTCTTACTGGCATGCTTTCCTTTAGTTAACATGCTCAGACACCCGAAACCCAACATCTTCCCTCGCGCAACCAGCGCAAAGCAGATGAGTCGCGCATGGTCAAGGCATACGCACGTTCAGCAGCAGGCATGGACGTAGAGCTGGTCTCCGAAATTCGAAACCCAGCCACTTGTCTGAGAACCCTCAAGTACCTATATGGACGCCTAGACGAAGACGATTTTGAGTTTCTTCACTCATGGCTCTGGGACCGCACACGAGCCGTCCGAAAAGACCTCCGAACGCAGCGCATCGAGAACAGACACGACATCAACATACTGCTCACATCGCTTGAGTACAGCGCCCGCTTCTACATGTTGTCAGCACACCACATGGCTCGGAGCAACAAGGACAACTATTCCCACCAGCAAGATGTCGAGCAATTGAACCAGACGTTGATTTCACTAAAAGAGCGCTATGTCGACAACCGGCGCGCCGGCATAATATCCACAAATGAGGCTGAGTTCTGGGCATATCGTCTTATCCTAGCTCCAATCTACGCCAACACTGCGCTAGAGAACGAACTGCACCACCTGCCCAGCGACCTGAAACATAACCCACGGATCCAGACTGCCTTAGAGATCTTCCGCCTTCTCAAGTCCATCATTATTCACAGGCCCACCAAGAATTCCATTCAGTGCCAGTCCAACTGGAAAAAGTTCTGGGACTTGATCAGGTCACCTAGGGTGTCTTATCTGATGGCATGCGCAGCCGCCATATCCTTCAATCGGGTCCGACACGTTGTGCTCGATGCAGTCTGGCGTGTCTATCGCCTCGGCCTCTATAGACATCAACGAGACGTCACAGACTGGACAACCGGCAAGCTGAGAGAAGTGCTTGGTATGGACACTGACTCGGAAGCCGTAAAATTTTGCGAGGCCCATGGCTTTGTATTCGGGGTAGACGAAAATGGAGCGACTTATATGGACATCAAGCAGAGGTTCTACGAGAGGAAAGCGCACGTCTTGCCCAAGGCTGATGTCAAACCCCAGTTCTTCTCAGCATCGATTGTCGAGCCTAAGCGTTATGGCCGGCCACTTTCAGCCGTCATTGCGGGCCAGACCGTTCGGGAAGCTACGACTGGTGCTATGCCTTCCAAAATCCCAGACCACGGGACATCGCTGTTCATCCCAGAGGCTCCCAAGGGCTTCAGCCAACAACCGAATGGAGCGAACTCTTCCGCAAGCGGTTTGGGATTGGGCTTTACCCAAAACACGTCCCCGTTTCAATTCAACGGTTCTCCGACCGTTAGCACAAATCCCTTTGACAAACGCATTCAACCAGGTGTGTTCGATGCGTCCAAAAACAGCATTATATTTGCGCCGTCCACCAACACGAATGCAAATCCTTTCGCGCCATTCCAATCTGCTTCGGAGGAGCCCGTGGCCAACCCTTTCCAGAGGAACAACAATGTGCAGCCTCAGTCTACTCCGATCGTTCCCTCGGTAAATTCCTTCCAGAAGAGTAATATTGCACAACCTCAGTCCACAGCAACTGCGCCTGGGGGAAATTTCTTCTTGCAGAATAACAGCGCCGCGCATTCTCAGTCTACAAATCCTTCGCCGGTTGGAAATCCTTTTCTGCAAAATCGCAGTGCTTCGGAAGCCCAGTCTACAACTCCTGCACCTGTTGGCAATCCTTTCTTCCAGAACAACAGCGCTGCGCCGGCCCAGACTACCCCCACTGCACTCTTTGGCAATTCTTTGCAACAGAACAACAGTGCCGTACAATCTCCGTTTACAGCTGTTGCTACTTCAGGTAGTCCATTGACACTTGGAGGCTTTACAGCCTCACCAGCAAACCCTCAAGCCCAATCACCGGTTGGATCTTCGGGAGCAGCTGCAGGTACCGCGGTACCAACACCAACTCTTACTTCCACACTGCCTGGAGTGGCATTCAACGTCACGCCTTCACAAGGAGCCCCGCAGTCTGGGTTCTCCTTTACTCCATCAACTACGCCGCCTCAAGACACATCTGCACAAGATGCTGATAGACAAAAGGCAGAGCAAAACAAGCGCAATGCAGCCGAAAAACAACGGCTAGAGGATGAAGCACGACAACGCGTTCAGGCGGCGCAGCGAGCGAGGCAGGCGAAAGAGGCGGAACAACGGCGAGAAGCAGAAGCTGCTGCAGCACGCCAACTTCAAGAGCAGGCTGATCGAGAACGCAAGGCACGCGAGAGACAGGAGGAGTTGGCACGACAGGCAAGGCAACGTCAGGTACAAGAAGAGCAGGCGACGACAGCACGGATACAAGAGATGGATGCGGCATTATTTGCAATTACTGAGGATATCATGTTCAATCCTAGGGAAGGGCTACTCCTTCAGTGGATCGACAATGCAGCTGATACTATGGCGCAGGATGTCGCAAAGGCGTTGGAGATGGAGAGGAGGGTGGCGAAGGTGGACCAGAACTACGAAGCCTATCTAAAGGACCTAAAGCGGGCGGCTTTGGCTAAGATTATGATGGCGGTGCAGAAGAAGAAGAAAATGGAGAGGGCACGCGAGAGGAGGAAGCGATGGAAGCAGACACGAGCTCGGGCCCTGACCAGGAATGATGAGGTGGTTGATATGCCTGCACCTGTAAAGTCGACATTGACGAACAGCAAGGCGCCAGCGACGTCCCAACCGGATGGACACTCGACTCCACAGCAGTCTGTTGCAGCTCCGAACTCCCGATGTGCTAAACGCACAGAGCAGCGTCACAAGGCTCAAGTGTCTGAGACGAATGGTGTCAAAGAGAAGGTTCCGACGCTGGGCAACTCTAGACTTGGGGCGGCAAAGATGACTTCCAAAGCTTCTAACGACGCGAGCACGAGCATCAACAAAGCTTCGGATTTCGGCTACTCGCAGGCTTATCTCAAGGCTGCTCAATATGCACCTGTTGACCGGACTGAGACCGACTGGTTCAGACTGCGGGCTCAGGGTATCGATCCTAGCAAGTATCGAAAGCGCAGCTTCGATTTCACATCATCCGACGATGACAAACCAAAGCTGATCGAGCCCAAGCGCGCCAAGTTGGCTACGTCACCGCCTGCGACCGAGGATCCAGTGCCAACGCCACCGAAAACCATGGAGGAGGAACAGCGAGCCCGTATTGAAGCCCTGAGGCATTCTTTCAGAACGTCGAGATCTGGAACATCACCGTCTTCGTCATTCAATGGGGCAATCTCTGCATATGGACGTTCGTCATTTGGCGATTCGACATCCCTGTTAGAACGAGCTCGACGGACCATCGCTGAGACAAAGGCAGGACTGCACGGCGGTATGTCCTTGTATAGATCTGGACCATTCGACGGACACGCCAGCCCAGTTATATCACGTGCGAATGATGTAGTACACGATTTCAGCCGCAGCGTCCCCAACCTAGGCTTTTCTGCATCACAAAGCCATGCTTCCACGTTTGGTAACAGCATCGGCCCTACTGCATCGACCAAGAATCGCCCTGCATACTGGGACCGTCCAAGCCGATTTGTACCCAAACATCTCTTTGGCAAGGGCGGAGAAGCGGTTCTTGCCTGGAGGAAAGAGCAAGGTTTGAGCAAGTCGCCTGCTAGCACCCGACCTGCTAGCACAGAGCCTTTGGCCATTTCGTCGCCCATCACGACATTCGAGGCGTATGCGCAGCCGCAGCCGAGCCAGATGGGTGGCTATCTCTCGTCGCCGACCAATACATTCGACACGTACTCCATGCAGCCTATTCAGGCCACAAGCTACACCCCAGACCAGTACACCAACGACGCATCCGATGTCAGCGGCGTAGAAGTTGTCGACGTGGATGCCGAAGACTCGCATCCCATCACAGTCGGCAACGAGGTGTCACAGTACAGCCAGGACGTCAATCTCGACTTCTACACAAATTCCCATTACGCATCTCAGGAGCACCATAAAACCTACACCCAGGATGCCGCGGAAGATGCGGACTCGGAGATGCTGGATGAAGACGATGTCGTAGACTACACAAACAACATGGAAGACGACGCTGGCTCCGACGATGACGATGAGGAACTCGATGATTCCGTCCAAGAGAGCTACGACGAAGAGGATGACGAGGAGGAGGAAGAGGAAGATGTGTCTGACGAAGAGGACGAGGACGTCAGTAACGCCAACACCAACGGCATGCAGCCCGGTGCTACAGAAGATGACGCTATCGAGCTTTCGGACTAGAGGCTCTGAAAGCATTGGCACTGGCAGTAGTAGAGAAGTCAAGTGGAGTGGAGTGTGGACTTGTATTATATGATTATTGTTTTTTCTGTAAAGCATAGCGATGGCGTCTTATGGATGGGCATGGAAATGGGCATGGGTTAGGCAATGGGACAGAGAGAAAGGCGGGCAATGATACCCCCATACTAGCTGGGCTACGCTGGGCTTTTTGTTTTACCTTTCAAGGTAGGAACATGGCTGGCGGGAATAAAAGATGACGTTTTTGTGCTTAACTTTGATATTTGTTCACTGTGATGGTGATGGGTGTGTTGTGATGTGATAAGTTATAACCTGAAAGTCTTTAGGGTATCAGTGGGCAACGTGTTCACGCACGTTGAGGCACCCTAGAGGTCTTCACACTTTTTTCAGCACGTCCTCCACTACATCCTGCTATTCTTTACAATGCCCTCAAACTGCGCAACGCCAATTATATTATGCAACCTAGCTATTATCCACCACACAAGCTACACTCGTACAAGCAAGTCTAGATAAGAGACGGACGTTAGTGCTACTAAATTCACCCACCAGCTTCCCGTAGAATACGATAGACTGCCTGATAGCACGCACACCTGATGTAAGCAACCATCTTCTTTGCTTAGTTATTAAACTGTGCATCTCGAAAGTTGAATTTTAGACCACGGACCTAGAGCTGTGTAGAGATATAGATAAGATGTTAATACATATATGTGTGATAAGGAAATAAACACCCTCTAAGATGTATAGTAAGTGCATTCTATGGAAGCATAACATAAACTTCTCGTCGAAAGAGTTTGTATTTGGATACAATCTTAGGAAATCAAATATGCGTAGGTTAGTAGCACACTCTCTCTATAAATATTAAAACCATTGTTTTATAGGTAGCACTCTAGCAAATGCTACATAGTTACGAGTATCATCGTATGTTTTAGCGATTGGAGGGTATCTAATTCTTTACCCTCTAAGCCCTCCTCTGATACTATTCTAAGAACTTATTATTCACGAAAACGTTCCCCTGCAAAATTTGTAGGCATCCATCTCCTGGTTCGGGTCCTCAGTGGGCACATCCTCAGCGGATACGTCATTAGCAGTTTTATCTTCAACATGCAAGCCTTTCTCTACCATCTTAGAGATGGTAGAGGCGCGGATCTCGATATGGGTAGGGTGTTGGAGAGGTGAAGAATAGACGGTCAAACTCGCCGTAGGCAGCCACGTTCGCAATCCGCGTTAGTTAGTCATTACGTCAATATATGGCCTAGGAAGCAAAGGTCAGTCAGTCGCAAACTTCTTGAAATTGATTATGGTAATATATCAAAGATGCTATATAGGGCCTGCTGGTGGTTCCACCAAGCGCTCAAACCCGCCCAATACTCTTGCAACATATACAAAGCGCTCCACCAGGCGATAGCCGCCTGGTGTTCCATCAAGTGAATCCCGCTTGATGCTCACACTATGTATATTGTTGCAACATCTGCCTAGTGCTCCAGCAAGCGGAGATGCCCGCTTGATGCCTTTACTAGGCAGTTGAGTCACAACTAGACACCGAAAGTAACACCCCGGATGATCTCGAGGCTCCCATCAAGGATTGGAACCTTACTCCTGAATGAAGCGATCCATGTCCGCATCCTCGATTCTGTAGCGGGCATCATCCTCAGCCTTGCCTTTAGCATCATCCTCAGCACGAGCAGGCCTCAACCCGAATGTGGAACCACCACGACCGCGACCACGGCTAGGGGTTCCCATCGATTGCGGATTTGCTGCGTCGATGCGATCCCTTGAAGTCTTTTGGATGCGAAAGTTTGGGGTGCCTCGGGTCGACTGGCGACCACGGGTATAGCCTCTACCACGACCTCGGCCGGCACGCTGGTCAACGCTGGGGCATTGCGCTTGTCTATGGCCACGGCCACCACAGCAGAAGCACACATGTTCGCTGTGAGCCCCTCGTCCCCATATTTCAGCTGCAGGGTAATGAACACTGGCGGCCTCGTCATGTGGCGGTTTCATCGATTCCAAGTCGGAAGTTGTCGATGGCGGAGGCAGAGGTGCATCGACAAGCGGTGGCAGACGATAGCCGCTACATTAAGGCTTCGAGGGATGTGCCCATACCCTCGCGTACTTTTCCAGCCATGATATCCCCTTGGGGCCCTGCAAAGCAATAGGCCATATCTCCTCGATTTCCAACTTGGCATGACGATACCGGCACCCGGCACCAAACGGGCAGGCTTCGAATGTGCAGAGCGTAACGAAGCAGAGGTAGTAATCTTTGTCCTTGGCAGGCACATTCAGGTATTGCGAAGACGGGTTCACGAGCCCGGTGTCGTGTTTGTATGCGAGGTTGTCGCGATGCCAGGCACGGCTAAAGTCCTGGGCCGTTGGTGGCCATTGCTTTGCACTGGGAGGAAGCGCAGCTGCCAGACCGAATCTGGCGGCTCGGATGACATTGTTGACGATCACATCGTGGCCGGTCTGGGTGACGTTCAGCTCGTGAACGGGAAGCCCCGTGAGCTTGCCGACATTTGTTGTCCGGTTGATATTTTCGGCAACGTGCCCTTGGGTAGCAGCGGACGCCTTCACAACAGGCGAGACTGCGGGTTGCTTCAGGCTGGACTGCACCGGCATTGTCTCTAGGCTTGGTATTTGTACTTGCTTTCGCACTAGCATTTGCGTTTGCATTTGCTCTGGCGCCGCGGCTGGCGTAGTTGGCAATTATATTCCTTCTGAGATTGACGAATTCCCAGAATTCGGCAGCTTCGTGGGCACGCTCGCCACCCTCATCATAAAGGTGTTTGAAGGTAAACGCCTTTGCCACTATCTTTTTGGCTATCTCGTATCTTGCCTTGGCCTACAGAGCTGTATTTCATTAGCGTGTTTTCGCAACATCTTTCGGACTTCATATACTATTGACTTCCTCCATATTTGCGCGCTGTGACTTTGATGCTTCAGTCAGATGTTGGTGGGGAGAAGAGGGAGGAGATGGACAACATACGGTCGTCAAGTGAGAGCCAGAAAAGTGGAGCTAGCTTAGCGTGCACAGCAAGAGAGACGACTCACCTTCACATCGTTTACCGAAAATCTACTGAAACATTGGACAGCTCCTTACACAGCTTGTTCTCTTTGTCTAAAAGCGGATATAACTTTCAAGCTCTATGTCATCAGACGCGCATGGCACAGTGGAAAATCACACACGTTGTGCCTGTACCAACTCATTTCGTATGTGAGCAGAAGTTTGCTGATCTGACAGATGATATTTGCCCTGTGCTTTCGTGGATAGACGACATGAATTTGAAAGACTCCGTCAGTGAAGCCTTCCCAAAATGGATATATCCGTGCTTCGATTTTCGTTAGAATGGAGCGAGAGCGTAGGTTGTTCTCGCAGATCAGGAAGCCCTACTATTGAAGAAGAATTCTAGACTTTGTTTGAAAGTAACGGCCAATATAAGAAAAAATCTTACCATTTATCTTAAATTGGAAACCGTGCAGTTATCTAAATGTACCGCGTGCTGAAGGAAACAACCTCACATGACTCCAAAGTGTGTATTCTGCCACGAGCCCTAGTTTTAGAAGTCTTACATACCATTCACAATATTCATTTTCCACCAGATAACCCCAGTCACAAACTCTTCTTTCCACACTTGTTCACAAGCATGACTTCGATGCAGAATTGCTACAGTATGAGCTGGCACGCTACCAGCGAGAGAATGTTCCTCCAATGGGCTACTACTCCTACTTTGGCATCCACCTCGCCGACATCTATGAGAACTGCAGAATTTCACTCCTCACCATGATTGGGGGGAGTTCGTTCCAGAAACACATTGCGCAAAGGTACATGCTCATGGTGAATATGATTGGTGTTTCTATCGCTGTATTCATCGAGATCCTTGATCTCGGTATCTCGGGCTTCCAGGCCTACACATTGTGCCAACAGTGGAAGCATCCCGTGAATGATGCATGATCAGCCCATGTTCATGGCTCCCGGGAAGATGGGCTTGGAACGAGGGTGGAAGTGAAGCAGATGTGCTCAAGCGAGATGCGTCACAATGAGTCAGGGGTGGAAGAATTGAGGCAAGGACGTGCAAGCGAGGATGTGTTGTGATAAAACGATGATGGAAAGTGTGAGGCAAGTAGGCAAGAACAACCTTCCAAGCGAGATCCCTGCCCTACTCACGTGATGATGTGCTACGCGACGGAACCACCAAATCTCCTGAAACAACTTCAGCATTATTCTAGATCCCGAATTCTCCGTCCCGTCTGCCTGCACCTGCATCCCTTCCATCCGACCGGGCAAAACAAAGCACTCAATTCTGACTTGCCGTCCTATGTAAGCGCCACATCACGTTTTGACCTCCCTCCCCCTGTCCAGTCCGCAACTGCGACATGTCGCTCGCATCAACAACCCCAAATACGAGCAATCTAGATCCTGGAGCAGACGCAATACGAGGCCCCCCTTCCAACCCCAGCACCGCTTCACGGTGTTCCAAAATTTCGGGCTTCCGGACTTTTCGCTTATGCAAGCCCAGGCCAGGTGGTGTCTCGTATCTCATGATATGAAAGTCCGCGGAAGGACGAAGAGGAGGGTACGTGCCATATGCAACGAAATGCGACATGCATGCGCCTCAAGTTGCGAATGCGCTAGTCATGCTAGAAATTCAGCTTCTCTTACTGTATGCAGTACTAGTTTGTGACGGAGAATTAACGCGTTCGGACAGATCGACAAGCAGAAGACGGGAAGATTCGATCCACCTATTGCATCGATTTCTTTGATCTTTGTTTTTTATGTGTCGGTAAAGATTTACCTAAGTGAGGATGGAGCGGATGATTCTTTTAACGATTAGCCACCAACGATGGGATTTAAAGATAGCCATCAGATCAGCAGAGAACTAAGGATCGTGGTAGATTCATGTACATGGATCTTTTCCCTCCATCACACTTACGATATAGCACGGTTATAGGCACTCCACGTATGACTCTATCACCGTCATAAATCACAAACAAACCATACCGTCGTCCTCGGAGTCCTCGGAGCCCCCAACCCATATCGCCAGCCTCCACTTCCACTGCCTCCTGTACACGCATTGCAAAATGTCTCTTCGGCAGTCAACAACCCGCGCTAACAGCCCCAATGCTAACAAAACTTCCTTCTGTTGACCGGTGAGAGAAAAGTTTTTCTCAGAACCTCCTGCATACCATTAACCCTCCATCCACCCATCTGCACCCCATCTCCCCATCCCGCTTCCCCGCCTTCAACCCCTTACCCACAGATGCCCCCCATATGCTCACCATCGAAACTCGGCTCAAACCCCGTCCGGTGAGAAGAACATTGAAAAAAGCATACGCAAACATACTGAGAAACCTGCTTTTGCACCCGCATTGCGCTAACCCGTTACAAACCCCCATGCATACAGCACATGCATGTAAGCCCCCTCATGTATTCATCTCCCTCACACACGCATTCCATTTGAAACAACAAGATTATGATTCCCCACAGGCATGCCTTAATGACGAACAAATGGCATGCAGCAACAGCACGGGTTCGTCTTGCAGGGCGCTAAGACCGTCGCGTAGAATTTTCTCACTGCTGGGGGGCTTGAGCTGGCGTCGATTGGATTGCGTTGACATGGGTTCGTTCGTTTCCTGCCGCTTCCTGTGCGTCACTGTTCTCTCACACTTGGACGTTTGTTATCCCTTCCAACATACGAAATGAAGAGTGCCACCTAACTCTCGAGCTCCAGTCCGGCTCCTCTAATGCTTTAGCTTTGGTATACTGGGTTCAGCATCCAACAAGAAACAGAAAACACACAGTGGAACCCCGCTACACTGTACCGTGTTGTTACAACCAAGCAAGCGAGTATCTTAAACCCCATGCAGGAACACCGCCCGTCACTTCCTCCTCTTGTTTGCCCCTCGCCTCTAGCCGCGCATCACATATAAACAATAGAAACCTTCTTGTTCCTTTCCCCAAGACAAGCATTACCCCCATCCAAAGCACAACAAAAATAAACAAAAGAAAACACCTTCCTAAATAACTAGTTCATACACGTAAATGTATAACAGACCTTATAACCTTGGTTCGAACTTGTCCTTACCAACAACACCCTCGCGAATCGGCCAATTCACCACGCATTTGCGCAACTAGTGCGGCAACGAACAGTGATATGGGCGGTGTGTGGGTCAAATAAATGATGCAATATTCCATTGAAGAAAAGTCCCTGTCCCGATGCCGTATTTTGCCTTACCCATACCCCATAGTTCCCTATACCATAATCAATACCGACACCCCCACTAAGATAACCATACCTTCCAGATACGTATGCGTATGTCTGTGTGTTCGTGCCGTGTTGTAGACAAGGATCATTGTCAGTTAGTCAAGCCGGCGGATTTACAATCGACATGGAAGATTTGCGGCGTAGAGGCATGCATGGGCTTTTCTCGCTTGTCTTGTCTTGGCCTCGGTTGCGGCATGCATTGCATGCTTATATGTGCGCGGAATATAGGTATTACGACAAACGAAAGACGACGACGGTGGCGCGGGCTGTTTCTCATGAGGCGGGGTGAAGCGAGAAGGAAGGGGTGGTGGAATGTCATTGTTCGGGGGAAAAGCGTGTGTTGGGTTGGGCTAGGCTGGGCTTGCCGGCTTTGCTAGCATCCCCCCCTCCCTCGAGTCATTCGTTTCTAGTTTCTCAAGGGTTACGAGGCATAGCGAAAATCATGCGAGGAATTCATAGTGTCGGAACATGCGCGTACAGCCAGCCCGGCGAGTTTTTCCGGGCCGGAAGCTTGGACCACTAGTTAGACCAAGCTTCCCGCTTAGCTCGCAACCGTACATATGGAGATCTCTCCATCCAGCTCTTGCTCACTACTAATCAAATACTATACACTTTGTTCGTTGCAACGACTGCTAGTATTCGACACCTTTGCCGTGTCAACACTGATCAGTGGTTGATATGACCACAGATCGGCAAGACATCTGTGTACAGAGGGCCCATCAGCATTGCGTCTGTGTAGCCTAGGTAAAGAAGCGACTCTTAGTACGACCTTGTATCGTATTAAGCAGTGCGAAGAACAGATCCGCCCACGAGCGTTCGTTTCGGCTGACGGAGTCTGAAAGAGATCCAGAACTAGGGATCTGCGTCAACTACGCACCAAAACCCGACAAAATCACCGGCGAGCAACCCCGCCACAGTCAACCCCGCGACGAGCGACCTACGGGCAATCTACAAGCGACCCACAGGCAACCCCGCGACTCACAAGCAACCCACCGGAATCATGCCTACAAGCATTACTACCCGGCAATGGTACCCAAAGGTGTACGCGGACGAGTACACCAATACCCAACTCGACATTGCAACCGATGCTATTATCCCTGGTCAGATAAGCACTATTGCTATCGACTGGATGATACAGGCCGAAGAGAACGGAGACTTTGACATCATGCTTATTCAAGACTTCCAAGAGACATTTGCAGGATGGTCTCTCAATCATTTCAATGCAATGGACATGCGAGTCCGTACAGCAGTCAAGAACATACTCCGCGACCGAGGTGTCTACATCGAGAAGAACAGCCGCAACACCATCGCACAACAGCTAGTCAATCTCCTTAGCCTTACACGCTCTCCCGACTGGCCCATTGACGAGCTCAACGTTATGCGACTCAACCCAGACTTCAAATGCCGACAGATAGCAGAAGAGGCACAACACGCTAGAACAACTCAACAAAGCAGCAACCCGCCAACTCAAAGCGCCAGTATAAACTATGCGCCATCTCCTGCTCAGGCAAACGTAACAGCCCTCACCAACCTCGCAAAGGTATACAGTGAGGAGGAGAAGTTCAGTGGCGACAAGTATGACGTCCTCGACAACAAGATAGTCATCTTTAAAGACCATTGCGAAAAGGTTGGCATTACGACACCAGCACAGTACAAACTTGCAGTCTCTACTATGCTTAGAGGCAAGGCCTCAGCATACTACTACAACTACATTGCTCCACTCAACCTAGACTACGACAGCATTATCAAGAAACTAGGGGAGTACTTTCACACGAGCGAGAACTACCAAATGTTCTTAAGTGAGTGGCGCACCATTATGCTGAAAGACGTCATCGCCAACAACCCCGACAAGACACTCACCCAGTGTCTCGACATAGTCATCGACAAGCTCCAGCTGCTGCACCAGGCAATGACTCAACAGAATGGACCAAGCGAGCTCGCTCTTACAAGCCAACTTATTGCTGCCTGTCAAGGCGTCGAAGCATGTAGCGCAGTCCTTATCCGCCCAGCTTCAACCTTTGAAGCCGTTGCCTCAGAACTCCGCAACGCTGTCGGCAACTGGACGCGCTGCCATCCGCGCTCACAGTTCAACTGCGAGGAGTCCGATCCGAGCGAAGACGCGTTCTACACAAACCGCCGATACAACCGCAACGATAGCGGACAACGCGACAAACCGCGCAACTATAGCGCACAGGCCAAGGCGAAGGATCCCGCAACTACAACCGCGGAGGATCCCGCCTTCCAACGCAGCTTACCCCCGATCGCAGTACAACGATGATACACCAGCGCCCGCAATAACAGGGAAGTGCTACGTCTGTAGCAAGCCAGGCTGCTGGTCAACTCGTCACTCTAGAGAAGAGCGAAAGGAAGCGCAACAACGTTTCCGGACGTACGTGCAGACCCGCAACGTCGATATAGACTACGAAGCTTTCCTTGCCCAGTTTGAGGGCATTGACCTTAATGACGACGACGATAACGGCGGCACGGACGAAGAACTCGACGCGTTCTTCAACAACGACCAGTTTGATACAAAGCACCAGTTTCTCACTGCTACCTGCGGTGCAGTTGATGGAGGAACAATGGTACGCAACCTCAACAACGCCGCCGCTCTACACGCGATCACGAAGATCGACCCATACGCCGGCAACGACATTGCCAAAGAGGCAAGCCACCTCTTCACACTCGATCACCGGTACGGGCGCGAGCAGTTCCAAGGCATCATGCCAGACACCGGCGCGGCCGGAGTGTCTACAGCAGGCAAGCAACAGGTTACAGCGTTACACCGCATCCAACCGTTATGGATTGACAAGTCAACTGCTGGCCGACACCGGATCCGATTTGGGGATAACCCGGAGTGTGTTTCTATCGGCGACGTCAACGTCCAGACACCCGTTGGAGTGATTAGGTTCGCTGTAATGCCTACTAACACACCGTTCTTACTCTGTCTTGATGACATGGACCGCCATGGCATCTACTTCAACAACGTCGACAATACGCTAGTTCATCAGTCCAAGGAGTACCCAATTGTCCGCAAGTGGGGGCATCCATGGCTTCTTCTCAACAAGCAGGAGACTGCCACCCACTATCTCACCGAAGGAGAACTCCAGCAACTCCACCGACGTTTTGGGCATCCAGCCGCCGCACGCCTCTACAAAGTCCTAGTAAAGGCAGGCCACGACGACATTGACAAGACGCTAATTGATGAGATTAACAAGTTCTGTCATCAGTGCCAGATAACTGCTAAAGCACCAGGCCGATTCCGCTTTACTCTACGCGATGACAACCTCGACTTCAACTCCCGCGTCATCGTCGACATTATGTACATTGACAGTAAACCAGTCCTCCACGCCGTTGACGAAGCAACTGCTTTTCAAGCCGCCCGCTTTCTTATAGACATAAAAGCAAGCACAACATGGGACACGCTGCGCGCTATGTGGATTGACATGTACGTTGGACCGCCCGACACTATCGCGACCGACGCTGGCACAAACTTTGCGAGCAAAGAGTTTGTTGATAATGCCAACGCGATGATGATAGAAGTCCACGAAGTACCAGTTGAGGCCCATCACTCGATTGGCAAAATTGAACGCTACCATGCTGCCATCCGACGAGCGTTCGAAGTCATCTCCGCCGACATCGGTGCATCTACGACGACGAAGGATGACATCCTCCAGATGGCTGTCAAGGCTGTCAACGACACCGCCGGACCTGAAGGACTTGTACCAACGCTGCTGGTATTCGGCACCTATCCACGTCTCTCCAAGACATCACCGCCATCTCCCTCAATCACCGCGCGCGCAACGGCAATACGCAAAGCGATGGCAGAAGTCCGGAAGATTAAGGCAAAGCGACAAGTCAATGAAGCTTTAGGTACCCGTAACGGGCCAAACAACATCGTCACGCAAGTACTAGAACTACCGCTGCAGAGCAACGTCAAGGTGTGGCGTGAAGGCCTCGGATGGACTGGCCCGCACACTCTCCTCGCCCTGAACGACGATCAGACTGCTGCTATCGTCGACGCTCATGGGAAACAAGCAAGTTTCCGCATCACCTCTGTCCAGCCGTATCATCAAGACAACACTACAAATCTCCCGCGACCTGACGAGGAACAGCACGGCGATGAGGAACAGCACAGCGAGCATCAGCGCGACAATGACGACTTTGTTCCCCCAGAAGAGCCACCGCAACGCCGAGGACGCGGCCGTCCCAAAGGCTCCAAGAACAAGCCGAAGACACACGCTGCTAACCTCGCACAGCGCGAGAAAGACGACATAGTGCTAGCCAGGACACTGCGCACTACCGGTAAGATCACGACACCTGGAGAACCTTTTGAGCTGTCAACCAAGACAGAGATTGACGCTCTCATTACCCGCGGCGTCTTCCGCTTTGAGCCATTCAATCTAGCCAAGCATGGCGGGATCCGGATCTTCAAGTCCCGCATTGTCAATGAAGTGAAAGGCAAGACCACCGATAAGCCGTACGAGAAATCTAGACTAGTTGTACAAGGCTACGCCGATGATGGCAAGAAGATTGTACTCACCCAGAGCCCCACGATACAACGCGCAAGCCAGAGGATCATTATTGCTCTTGCACCGGTATTGATCCAAATGGGCATGAAGTTATGGCTCCGAGACATCACGCAGGCGTACACGCAGTCCGACGACCGCCTCCAGCGCACTATCATTGCAGACCTGCCTGTACAACTCCGCAAAGTGTACCCACAAGGAACCATCATGGTCGTGGTGAAACCACTGTATGGCATCGCCGAAGCAGGTGCCTACTGGTGGTCAACATACTTCAAACACCACACGACGACACTCAACATGGAGACGTCTACGTACGACCCATGCCTCCTCATCTCCAAGGCCACCGACGCTGGAACAACCACAGGTTTCGGCATTGTTGGCATGCAAACCGACGACACTCTTGGTCTCTCAGACAACGCATTCGCTGATAGAGAGGACAAGGAGCTCCGTTTCAAAGCTAAGGACAAAAAGTACCTCACAGACACTGACCCTATCGAGTTTAATGGCTGTATGGTACATCTTGGCAGTGGCAACGTCATTACTTTACGGCAGAAGAAGCAAGGTGAGAAACTTGAGAACGCTGTTGATGCAAAGTCCTACATACAACAACGAGCACGAGGAGCATATATCGCGACTATCTGTCAACCAGAGGCAAGCTTTGATCTCGCCGCTGCAGCGCAAGCGACTGAACCGACAAAAGAAGAAATATCCAGATTGAATAAGCGCATTAACTGGCAGAAGAAAAACGTCTCTCGCGGACTTAGCTACGTGCCTATTGAGATGAAAGATCTCAAGCTATACACGATGGTGGACGCCTCGTTTGCCAACAACAAGGACATGAGCTCTCAAATGGGATACGTTATTATTCTTGGTAACGAGACTGCATCTTCAGACGGCAGCTTTAAGATACGTGGCAACATTATTCACTGGTCCTCCACTAAATGCAAACGCGTCACAAGGAGCGTTCTAGCATCGGAGATCTATGCAATGGCACATGGCGTTGACATTGCACTGGCCATCGGCACCACGATTGACATGATTATGGACCGACTGTCTTTCCCTAAGGTCTCTATTGTCGCATGCACGGATTCACGATCCTTGTACGACTGTCTCGTCAAACTCGGCACTACTAAGGAGAAACGTCTCATGATAGACATCATGGCATTGCGCGAGGCATACGAGCGCAACGATCTCATGGATATCCGCTGGATTGACGGCAGAGACAACCCAGCAGATGCGATGACAAAGGCAGCGAGCAACTCTGCTTTAGAGCATCTCATTGACACCAACGAGCTCGAACTTCGTGTACAGGGATGGGTGAATCGCGACACCACAGGCATCGAGCCTACGAACAAGCCAGGCACCAAGCCTACGAACAAGACAGGCACCGAGCCTACAGACAAGACAGGCACCGAGCCTACAAACAAGACAGGCACCGAGCCTACGAGCGATGGCACCGAGCCCACGATTGATTGTGGTGAGAACTGAGACGGACACACATGCACACACACACAAGGGATGAATGGGTTGCATGTATTTGCGTTAGCCGGAATAGGAAACTAGATACTTTTCTAGGAGCAGGATATTGTAGCAGATTCGGGGTACTTGGGAGCTGACTGTACGCCGTCACAAAAAGAAGAAAAGCCAGTGTCGGAACATGCGCGTACAGCCAGCCCGGCGAGTTTTTCCGGGCCGGAAGCTTGGACCACTAGTTAGACCAAGCTTCCCGCTTAGCTCGCAACCGTACATATGGAGATCTCTCCATCCAGCTCTTGCTCACTACTAATCAAATACTATACACTTTGTTCGTTGCAACGACTGCTAGTATTCGACACCTTTGCCGTGTCAACACATAGAATCACCGAATTAGGAAATAAGTGCGTGTTTGGAAAATGGATTATTTCCTTGGTAATGATGATTTCATCCGCTGCCAATTTTGCGCGGTTTTTGATTGCCAGATTTCTGTTTTTCGGTCTGCTGCAGCTGCAGCTGATGCAAAGACAGATAGATACATGGTTGTAAATTATATTTGTACAAGGGTATGGCTGTAGTAAAGTTGATGTAGAGACGTGCAGAATAATACGATAGACGGAATGCGGTGTAACCAGATAATGTCGGTGCCATGCGTACAAGACATCAAAGAATGCTTTTAAGACAGATATCGTCGCTGGAAATGGACGTTTGAGAAAAGCAAAAACGCAGAGGTCGCAGAAAACAAACCGATGGTGACACCACAAACGCCATAAACCGAAGTCAGAAATGAAAGAAATGTAGATAGTGTGCAAGCTGAAATGCCGTTGTTGAGAGATTGCCGCCTTCGCCAAAAGAAATATGCCACTAAGGGGGTATCAGATTCAAATCATCCGCCATGAATGTCCTGTACATTTGTATATCGTTCAGAATCTTGCAGATTGAAAGTTGGGGTTTGGTTGGTTGTGCTTCGGTATTAAAAGGATGCATCGTCCCAAGGAAGACTTAGTAGCCCTGGTGTGGGTTTGACGTGTACTTTTGATCTGGAACGTACTTTTGATCGGTGACATAGTAGGAATGAGGATGAGGAGCTGACGGGAACTGTGTTTGAGTAAAGGGCTGCAGGTCGACAGGTGCCGACGCCCTCCTCTGTTGGTCATGCTGTG